TGAGTCGACCCTTGTCCCTAAAGCAGCATTATCTACAGTTTGGGAGAAGTTTGTGAGAGCAGAGGTTCGTATAAAGAGGTGACATCGGTCTCTCTGACTCCTGATAAAAGTCATTAGAGCGGAGCAGATGGGACATTAATCACAGAGAACACGTGGAACCAGCGGAAACCGGTCTATTCTGGATGTGTTTGCGAAGTCATAAATCATACATCACATTATAACAGGGTCAACTTGACTTTTACGTTGAATTAAGCCTCAAAACATTGTTCCCATGGCGATAACAGACCTGGATATTAGTGTTCTGTCTGTCAATATCAGGGACTAACATCGTCCTCACTTCTGTCATGAAGCCAAGTAGAAATTCAGACTTTAAAGTAGTACTAGAATTTAATATGCTGCTATCCAGAATATATAACTACAATATGTGTTTATAATATTTCGAGTGTTCATTTTGACATGTTCAGATGAATTATGTTAAAAAAACGGCTTTGAAGTGGCACCTTTTCACAAACGCTAGGGGGAGCCAAAATGGCGGCGATGACGTAGGAGAATGACCTCTCACAGCAGCAGACAGCAGTCTGGGTTGAATCTGTAGGAGGTTTCACTGTCATCTGAACAAGGTATAAACATATTTTCATCAGTTTTGTACATAATAGTGCGCAACTCTTTTAACCTTTTAGCCTTATTTGTGAGATTCAAGCTAATTAGTGTTGGGCAAGTTAGCTAACTCTACTTGATATCATAAAACATGCTAACAAGGCTAATATTAGTTTTTACATTATGCCAGTCTCACTTTGGTTACCTTAGATTTATTTACCACAATGTACATTGTAATATCCATAAATGCTAACACCTGTTAGCGGTTTAATTAGCATTTTTATCAATGATTGCATCACATGTAGTTATCATGTTAGCTCTTGTGTCTATGTTTTCAACTTCTGCAGCTTTTTGTTCATAAAAGTAAAATATGTATTTAATTCAAGTTATTTTGATTAGCATTTTTTGAATATTACAATGTAATATGTGTGTGTCGTCTCTGTCTGGCGCACACCGGGGTAGTCTTGCACAGTTTTTCCAATGTGGTTTTACTGCAAATGGCAAATAAATGAATCTGAATCTGAATGTACATTGTGGTAAATAAACTAACTAATAAACTCTAAGGCAACCAAAGTGAGACTGGCATAATGTAAAAATTAATATTAGCCTTGTTAGCATGTTTTATGATATCAAGTAGAGTTAGCTGTTAGCTAACTTGCCCAACACTAATTAGCTTGAATCTCACAAATAAGGCTAAAGGGTTAAAAGAGTTGCACACTATTATGTACAAAACGGATGAAAATATGTTTATACCTTGTTCAGATGACAGTGAAACCTCCTACAGATTCAACCCAGACTGCTGCTGCTGTGAGAGGTCATTCTCCTACGTCTTAGCCGCCATTTTGGCTCCCCCTAGCGTTTCTATGCGGAAGTGAAAAGGTGCCACTTCAAAGCCGTTTTTTTAACATAATTCATCTGAATATGTCAAAATGAACACCCGAAATATTACAAACACATATTGTAGTTATATATTCTGGATAGCAGCATATTCAATTCTAGTACTACTTTAAGAACAAAAGAGGCTGCAACACTGACTCCTCCCCCTCAGCTCTGACTCCTCCTCCTCTGGACCAGCTCCTTCCCGTTGCTCTAACTCCTCCCCTTTGCTCTAACTCCTCCCCTCTGCACTGACTCCGTCCCTTTGCACTGACCCCTCCCCCTCTGCACTGACTCCTTCCCTTTACTCTGACTCCTCCTCCTTTGCACTGACTCCTCCCCCTCTGCATTGACTCCTCCTCCTCTGCACTGACCCCTCCCCCTCTGCACTGACTCCTTCTCTTTGCGCTGACTCCTCCCCCCTCTGCACACCTGCTCCGTATCAGCCTCAGCTGCTCAGTATCACACCTGGGCTCATCACTTCATGGCTAAATCTAAACAGAGCCTCTCTGCAGCTTCAAGCTTCTGTTTGAGCAGCAACCCATCACCACCTATTCTGTGATAATGTCCTGTCTTCCACTCAGCTTTCTTCAACACCAGGGGCCGTATTCCTAAAGATTCTTACTGCTAAAAGTTGCTCCTAGTGGCCAAATTCTAAGAATTTTCTTAGAATCTTGACCAACTCTTAGAATTTCCCCTAAAAGTGAGGAGTAGCTCCTAGTTAAGATAAAAGCTATTCCTAAAAAATCCTAGCTCTTAAGAGTGCTCTTAAGGGGAGATCCCTTAAGAGTTGAGAGGAGGACTTTTAGCGACTTAAAAGTTCCCTAAGAGGACAAAATGGTGGACGGTGGAGATAGGAGAAATATTCTATACACTGGATGACAGTGAATCAGTGAAACGCTACAGATTCAAGCAGGAATCATGTTTGTGGTATATTAATATTGTTTCCTTAATTCCTTATAATTCAGTCTATACTTTATATGGCAAACAAGAAAAAAAAGGACAAAACAAACAAAACAACAAATATACAGTTTTGCCAGCTCAAAAAGGAGTGGGAGAGGATAAGACTTTTAAGCTCCCTTGTACTTGATTTGTACAGTGTATGTATACTAATCACCTACTAATCCTAACGTTATCATTATCATCATTTATCCATATAATATTTATAATAATAATTTTCTTTATCATGTATATTATATATAGAGTAATATTTAAATTATATGTATATATATATATATATATATAAAATTATAAGTGCTCATGATATATACGTATTATGTGTGATAAATTGGTGCTGAGCAAGCTCTGATGATGGTGTATAAGTCTAACTTTACTATTCACAGTATTTATGTACCATTGATATATCTGACTTTATAGCTTTTGGTTATTATTTACAATAACACAGTCTTCCTAAGATTAGATTCCATGATTGAGTTTGTCCATTTTAGGGCCCTTATTTTGCCTATTATCATCAAAAATATGTTTGTTCTAACTTTTAGGATCAACCAATCACAGCGTCTGAAATGATGACTCATACCTAGCAACGGGGTCGGCCACGCCTCCTCACTAAGATAAAAGTTGTTGTCAATTCCTTGCTCAGAGTTCTCTAAGAGTGTTCTGGAATAACTTTTAAGCTAAGACTCCTAGCTAGGAGTTTTTAGGTTAAGATAAGAGCTCTCTGAGAGGACTCTCAGAATCTTTAGGAATACGGCCCCAGGTTCTCGGCCCCTTGTATACGTCATACAGTATTCCTGCTGAATGCCAAGCTTAACAAACATTAATGTTCAAATGCAATATATTTATCCATCCATCAGTTTCCCAAGATTGAGCATAGGACGTGCCCTTTAGAACACCATATAAATAATGTCCAGTGTCTATATATTATTATTACTATATACAAGCAGAGGCTGCAGACCGAGGGGAGAAGCCTGCTCTGTGTATAACGAGAGGTTGTGGCCGCGGCATTTCAGTGAGAGGAAAATTACACACTGGACACAAATGGAAGTGATGGAAAAACACAGGGGCTCCGCTGTCTGGAAAGCACTAATCTATAACGTGTGCTGAGCATCCGAAAGGTCGTATCTGCATTCAGGCTTTTAACACGGGAATCCTGCCTTTGCTTTTTGGTGCAATTCGCCAGACTTAAAGGTCGTTCTGCGCAAAAGCAGTTTTCATTTCATTTATTTCGGTTTGGTCATTTACAGATCATTCAAACAAAACATTTGAAACTTAGAACACAATAAATGACCAGGTGCAGGCAGAAGCTAGAGCTTATTGTGCCTGCCCTTAACTTCAAAATCATAAATGCAGCACATTAATGACAACATCTATTCATAAAATTAACACATTAATGGACCATTGTCCACACCAGAAGAATTCATTTTCATTCCATTAAATATTTTTCCATTGTTATTCTCTTGTATATATTTTTAAACTGAAAAAGAGACGTGGCTTGTTTTAACTCATTGCAGCAACTAATAATAATAATAATAATAATGCATCGGTTTTATATAGCGCTTTTCTGGATACTCAAAGACGCTTCACATGTTCACTATTCCATAATTTAACTCCTTTATTTGATAAACAATGTTCTCTTAATGTAGAATGTACTTGTGGTTGGTTAAATATACACAGTCCTCTGAGATTATAATTACTTTCTCGTTGAGTAAACAATATTTGCAAGCATTTAGGAATTTTATTATGTTTAACTTGGTAAATGAACTTTGCCGTGTACAAATCGACTAAGTCATAAAACTTCAAGATTTTTGATTGAAGAAACAGTGAATTACTTGGTGAATTATATGGTGCATAATTAATTAATCTGATAACCTTCTTTTGTAATAGAAAAATTGGATTGGTTCTAGTTTTATATGTATTACCCCATATTTCGATACCATATGTTAGGTATGGTGTGACAAGTGAACTATAAAGTAAATGTAATGCATTTTTATTCAAAATATATTGCAACTTATACAAAATTGCAATCGTTTTTGATACTTTCTTTCAGTGTTTGAATGTATTTAAGGAAAATGTCGGACTATTTTCTATCAAATCCCTAAAGTTTTTTTCTCTCTCTCTGTCGCTCTCTCGCTCTATCTGGTCTCTGGCCTTTCTCTCTACGGTCTCTCTTGTCTCTCTCTGATCTCTCTTTGGTCTCTCTTGTATCTCTTTGAATTCCCTCTCTGGTCTCTGACCTTTCTCTCTCTCTTTCTGGTCTCTGGTCTCTGGTCTCTGTATCTTGTCTTTCTGTCTCTGGTCTTTCTCTCTGTTCTCTCTCTCTACAGTAGTGACATAGATTGTATGACATAGCTGGTGAGTTAGGTACCACAGCTTTAATGAATAAGCATAAAAATTGGTAGAATTGTATTGATTGATTTCCTCCTTCTCAAAGTTGTATGTGATAGATTCATATTCGCTCTCTCGTCCCAACACCCACTTTAGCAAAACAAAAAAACACAATTTCTTCTCGTGTTTTACCAATAATCTTGTGAGATACAGTATATTGACTTTCTCCTGGTCTGCTGCAGCCTTAACATCGGCGTGAACGACCTCCTGACCTTCTACGACGGCGATGACCTCACGGCTAAAGTCCTGGGGTCTTACAGCGGGTCTAAGTCCAGGTTCAAGCTCTACACTTCCACCGCCGACGTCACCATCCAGTTCCAGTCTGATCCTTCCACCAACGTTTACGGCTACGGCAACGGCTTCGTGGTCCACTTCTTTGGTGAGAAATCTCAAGTTTTTATTGTATGTGTTATTATTTTCTGCATCGAGTGTTGTTGCTTAATCCTGTCTCTACATTGACTAGAGGCCACCAGCGGTACTGCAGCTTAAATCAACACAGGTTAAAGTGATAGTCTGTAACTCTAAATTAATTACAAATTTTAGGAAATGTGCTAAATTGACCTCCTGGCCTTAAATGTTGATATAAAATAAGTAATTTTATTAATTCTAATATTACGGGCAAGTCCCGCCTTCCCTGCTCTTAGCTGTAGTTCAGAACCCACGATGCCGTCGAGGTTAACCAATGGAGTCATGCCAAGGGCTGTCGATCATCAGCGCTGATGCTCGCAGCTGCACGCATGCGCAGTTGTTTGTTTTCACGGAGCCTCCGAATCAAGCCTCTATTAGGCTCTGGAACTACATGAAAACTGAACAAAGAATTCTGAACATCCGCGCTGAGGTACTTATGTATTTACTGAACCTATATCCATAATCAGATCCTCTGCAGATGTGTCCTATAATGTGCAATTCATGATAATAGCACTTCCTGGTTTGCCGCGATTGCTTTTTTGTGTGCATAAAAACATTATTTTTTTCATTAAAACGTTCACAAATAATTCTGAAAACCTTCGTGCATGTGTATTAATAATGTATATGTATAATGTGTTCTCTGATTAACATTTCAAAGTGTTACGGAAACGTAGGTGTAGACCAATCAGAAAGGAAGGGGGAGGGAGCTTGGGTCGTTTTTTTCAAATCAAGTACCTCTGTCTCTCTTTCTGACAAACTCCAGACAATCACTTTAATGATATTTCCCTATAGACCTCGTCCTCAGCTGACAGGGAACCGAAAGATTTCACAAAGGTTTTATTCAGTGAGGAGGTTGAGTCTCTCTCTTTAACTTTTTTATCTTTTGAAATCCATTGGCTCTCAATAAATCCTCAAACATTCGTCCTGCTCTAGCTACGCTCAAAATGCTCACTCCTCCGGTCTCTCTCTATAGTCTCTCTTTGGTCTCTCTCTCTGGCCTTTCTTTGGTCTCTCAGGTCTTTCTGTCTGTTCTCTCTCTGGTCTTTCTCTGCTCTTTCTCTAGTCTTGCTGGTCTCTCTCTGGCCTCTCTCTGTTCTCTCTCTCTAGTCTCTCTTTGGTCTCTCTCTCTGGTCTTTCTTTGGTCTCTCTCTCTGGTCTCTCAGGTCTTTCTGTCTGTTCTCTCTCTGGTGTTTCTTTGCTCTTTCTCTAGTCTCACTGGTCTCTATCTGCTCTGTTTTTTCTTTGCTCTTTCTCTTGTCTCACTGGTCTCTATCTACTCTCTCTCTCTGTTTTTTTCTTTCTCTAGTCTCTCTCTGCTCTCTCTCTGATCTTTGCATGTTTTGTAGTTTGAAAGTTACAGCTTTGAACACAAGAAATATGTTAGTGTAAGTTGTTTTGAAAATCCACGTATTTTCCATTTGCTTTACCTTTTAAAACCACTTGCAATGCAGAATGTGTCTCTTTGTGTGGTTTTAAAATGCATTGGCAATCGCTCCGACAACAGGAACAGGTCAAACGGTCAAAGAGCAGAATTTGGGAGATAAAAATAATTGTTTTATTTAGGAGCGAGAATGAAAACAGCGCTGGTTCCATCTTCTGCTGCTGCTGGTCCTGCTGCTCCATCAGGCCCACAGCAAACACCGTATCAGATAAAAACTAATGCATTTAAAAGAAACAGACCACAGCGATCCACGGAACAGGACTTTCTCATGAATCTCATTGAGGGAAAGTCAACAGTCGGCCTCAGGTGGGAGCGGCGGGTTTGTTTGTCCAGGAGAAATGGCCAATTATAAAGCGGATTTGAAAATATGTTTGAACAAAGCGGAAGAATTAAAACATGAAGCGATTAAAAGCCAACAGTCAGGGCCGGAGGTAGGATTCGGAGGCCCTGAGTCTGGTCCCCACAATGTTCAAATCCAGGTTAGCTGTGGATACAACTGAAGGACACTATCTTCACTCTCTTTATGTACTGATTATTTATGATTTTCAATTCAATGTATTTGTGTATAGCCCTAAATCACAACAACATTTGGCTTGCAAGGTTGTCAATTTATCCATTCATCAACAACAGACCAGAGAATAAAATCGTTCAAACACAGGAAACACATAGGAACCATCAGTTCATAGGGAGCGGGATGACCACCGTCCAGAAATCATTATACATTTTCTAAATGTCCAGGATCATCACTGCCCTTTGACCCCTCTGCATCGGCGAGGAACAACTTGCAGAGAGGAATCTGCTCCCATACTGAGGCTGTAGACCCAGGACTGAGGCTGTAAATCCAGGACTGAGGTTGTAGATCCAGGACTGAGGTTGTAGATCCAGGACTGAGGCTGTAGACCCAGGACTGAGGCTGTAAATCCAGGACTGAGGTTGTAGATCCAGGACTGAGGCTGTAGATCCAGGACTGAGGCTGTAGACCCAGGACTGAGGCTGTAGACCCAGGACTGAGGCTTTAGATCCACGACTGAGGCTGTAGATCCAGGACCAGTGGGGGCGGGTCCCAGCTCAAAAGTGGCCAAAATGATGTGCGCTGACATGCTGCAATACCACCCCGGGCCGATGACGGTGGACCCGGAATAAGAATTAGCCAATGCTGTGTATGCGTTGTGTATATATATATATATATATATTTTAATTGTCTTTGTTTTTTTGTTTTGTTTTTTATTATAAAAATATAAAGTAAATAATAAGTAACACACAGACACACACACACACACACGCACAAACATGGAAGCCCCCCCACCCCCCCCCCCCCCATGTATGTATGTTCATGTTGTTTTTTGTTTAAAAAAAAAAAAAAAAAACAAAAGAATTAGCCAATGCTAACATATAGCATTGACAGACATCTCAAAACGTCTTTACAGGATGGTCCAAAAGTTGGCTCTTGGCCCAAAGCTCCGTTCCACATGTGTGTCAATGCTGAGGGGAGTGGATTTCTTTGGTCCACTCTAGTTTACTTGCTGTGAATTTTTGAAGTCTCTCATTTAAATGAATGGAGTTCTCGCCAGCTGACGCATGCGCAGATGCGTTTTTTAACAATTGTCTTGTGGGCGGGACCACTCGCGGCCATTTTGGATAGCTCCAGTAGAGCACTATTATTGGCCCATTAGTTTGAACGCCGGAGATAGGCGTGACTCTGTCCGTTAATATATACAGTCTATGTCCAGGACTGAAGAGGCTCCCAGACAGGGTATTGAGAAAAGAAAGCAATAGTTCTTGAAATAAGACTAACAAGATTGTCCCATTGGCAAAGACTACTGTACTCAAATTAAGGTAAAGCTCTTGATTCATGCATTTATTACCATATACATGTATTTGAGCATATTTTGCAGTTTACAGCTGCTTTTTACAGGAAATCTACTCATGGACAGTAGTTTTGCTCAACACAAAATGTACTACAGACTTTTTAACCCTAGTTTTGAGTCCGCTCTTATCAACAAATGTCTAGCTTGATGTGTTGATTTTAGCGTCAGAGACCAGAGACACGCGCTGATTCTGTTTCCTTGGGGTTTCTCACAGAAGTGGCTCGTAACGACACATGCCCTGAGCTGCCGGAGATCTCCAACGGCTGGAAGAGCTCGTCGCACCCAGAGCTGGTGCAGGGGACCGTGGTGACATACCAGTGCTACCCCGGCTTCCAGCTAGAGGGCGCCGAGCTGCTCATGTGCCAGTGGGACCTGACGTGGAGCGGAGACCTGCCCAGCTGCCAGAGAGGTGATATACTGTATATGTGTTTAAACAGGATCATGCAGGCTCCCATTGGCTGGTTTATTAAATTAATGTCCATTTATTTGTACACAGCCCTAAATCGCAACAGTAGTTATCTTGGAGGACTTATCAAAGCTGTCGATTCGCCAAAACACGGATCAAAGAATTAAACAGTCTATGATTAAAAAAAACACATAGAGCCAATGGTCCATAAGAGGCAGAGACCAATGTCCATAAATGCTGAGTGTCCTGGATCCTCACCACAGTCTATAGACACATCTGAATCGGCAAAACCCAGGGGGAGAAAAGTGAAAAACCCTTATTCACAGAGCTGAGTTTGAGACATTACATTTATCCTCTTTATGTCCCTCTAGGGCTTCGTAGTATTTCAACATACACTGCAAAAATATCAAACTTGAGGAAATCCATGAATTTCATCTTTACCCAAATAAGGATAAAATTCATGGATTTCCTCAAGTTTGATATTTTTGGAATCATTGCGAATGGGACAAGCGGTTCTCAAGGTTGGTAGTTGGTGGTGGTGGGAGGGGCTGATGGAACAGACTGGTTGTCTCACTTCTGTCAGTGTGCCCCAGGGCAGCTGTGGCTACAGTGGTGGTTCATCACCACTGTGTTTGGAGTGAATGAATAATGACGCGTGATGCATCTTGTGTCCAAAAAAGTGCTATATAAACTTTCTCCTCCTCCTGTCCCTCTTCCCTCCCTCTGTCTGTCTCTCCCTCTATTTGTCCCTCTTCTCTCCCTCTCTCTTTCCATCTCTCCCTCTGTCTGTCTCTGTCTCTCCTTCTGATTGTCTCTCTGTCTCTGTCTCTACCTCTGTCTGTCCTTGTCTCTCCCTCTGATTGTGTCTCTGTCTCTCCCTCTGTCTGTCTCTGTCTATCTCTCTGTCTCTCCCTCTGTCTGTCTCTGTCTATCCCTCCGTCTGTCCTTCTGTCTCTCCCTCTGATTGTCTCTCCGTCTCTGTCTGTCTCTCTCTCTGTCTGTCTGTCCCTTTTTCTCTCCCTCTGTCTCTGTCTGTCTCTCTGTCTGTCCCTCTGCCTGTCCCTCTGTCCCCGTCCCTCTCAGTTGTGTCGTGTCCAGACCCGGGGAAGGTGGATCACAGCCGCAGAGTCCTGTCGTCCTCTGGCTTCAGTGTTGGCTCCAGTGTCCAGTTCGTCTGTGAAAAAGGCTTCAGTCTCCGTGGAAACAGCCTCCTCACCTGCTACAGCAGAGGGACAGGAGGCCCCCGCTGGAGCCAGAGCCTGCCCTCCTGCACACGTATGTCCTCACACTTTCACACTCACTATCTCACTCTCTTACTATCACTCTCACTCTCTATTACTCTCACTTTCTTACTCTCACTCTATCATAGGGTTGCCAACCGTCCATTGAAAAACTGAATTGTCCCGTATTATAGAAAAACTATGTGCGTCTCGTATTGAACTGATACGGGACGGCTTTTGTTTTTTCAGAGCCACCTTAAATGCATCACTCACTCACTGCATGTCACACGTGCGCAACACACGCACACACCATAGACTATACACACAACACACACAAAGTAATCACAGTTTAAGCGTCTACCTTTCGGCCAATCAGTGTCAAAGGGGCGTAGGCTTGATCACATACATTGGTTTAATGTTGACAATCACCAGCGTGGGGCCTGCCCGCAGCATCATCATGGAGAAGTTTGGTAAAGTAGCGTCATATTCCCAGATCCGGACTTCCGCGGTCAATAGCTCACGAAAGCTACTTTGTTGAACAAAAGTAATTGTGCTAAAATGATCATCTCTACGTTGATTTTTTAAATCCAATGCGCTGTTTTAATGCAGAGAAATCCATTGAATCCAATGCGCTGCAAGCGCCGAGAAAAGCGCTTAGGGAGCGTCAACAAATGTCCAGACCAGCTTTGTAAACGAACAATAGCTTTTACTGAAAGCTGCACTAACTGACTTTGGGATTTTGAAGCAGCGGACTCACTGGCCTCGCTCTTTCTGCTCCCCTCCCCGCACCCACGAAGCTATCACCCCCCACACACACCCACTGTTGGGACGGAGCTAGCGTCTCCCAATATGGATAAATACATGGACATGGATTAGCACGTGGATGGCGTGACCATAGAACGATAGAACCGGGAAGCGCGGAGGAACAGGACTTTCTTTTGGATGGCTGTTTTGCTGTGTAAGCAGTAACCGGTGACGAAGACACGAAGTTTCAAGTTAGCTCCTCGGCTTGTTGTGCTAACTCAGCTGTCTATGCTAACAGGGACCTGTAGATTTCTCACAAAAGTGGGGGCTAGTGGTCCGCTGTGATTGGTCACAATCTGAGACCCGAAACACATCTCTTCCTTGTTTCATCAAAACTCGATCTAAAATATTATGTCACACCAGAACAAATCTGCGCTACTTTTTCTTCAAAAGGACGTATATCCCAATGCACTACATGGACATGGATAGCATTTTCGTAATTATTACGAAAATAAAGTCAGTTAGTGCAGCTTTAAGCCATGTACACGCACAAAACTCTCAGACACTATAAATAATGACCATATCTAACTACTACAGACTTTGATTTCAACATTTGTGAGTTTTTTTTAATGAATACATATGTTTTTATTTTTTTCTTTGGTTTTACGGTAAATGGTCTTTACTGTAACATTCATAAATAATGTATGTAACAGCATTTGTCTTTTTTATATTTTTTATTAGTAATAAGAATGCATTGAGTCCTTGACCAGCCAAAGAGTTCCACCTTTTTATTCAATTTAATTTTTGACTAAGGATTTGTTTTTTTTATATGTAGTCAATAAATTACATTCTAAGAACTGTGATTATGAAATTCCATGATTACTGTGTAGATTTAAATTAGGACTGAAAAGTGCTCAACCCGATCCACCCAAATGGTGTCCCTTATTTTTTTGTTCTAATGTTGGCAACCCTACTCTCTCACTATCACTCTCACTCTCTTAGGCTGCGGTCACATGCGCAGCCTAAAGCCCGGTTAAAGTGTGCCAGGGCCCACTTTGCGATTAGATCCGGGCTTTAGGTGCCATCTGGTGCATTCACGCCAGAGCACGGTGCCTGGACTCGTGCTCTGGCCTGGTTAGAGACTGCGGCCAGGGTCCGCTTCCCAGCGCAGATGAGGGGGGTCAGTGTGGCGGGTGGTGGGGAGTGGGGGATTAGGTGTGGTGGGGACTTGATATTGTGCGTCACATTACGTCTTCCTGTGACACGCATTTTCACACAGTCTCTCCCTGCACTTTCGTATTCTCCGCTTGTGTTAAACCTGTCATATAAGCCCTGGACCGTGGTATATCCTACGGGTATAGCTCTCTTCTGTCCTGACCTGAGTGTTGGTGCTAATGCAACAACACTTCAGACATTCAAGAATCAGTCTTTATTTAATCGGCAGAACACACACACACACACGTGCACGCACGCTCCGGTCGCTCGTAGCCACTTTTCTGTCTTTCATTCATTCTCAGCGCTTTACGCTCATTACTATTAAGGCACGCTCCTGTGTCCGCAGCGCGCCTGCACACACAGACAACACACACGTGTCACACCGCTGCATTTTGGGGAAAGACACTTGTTCACACTGCTCTGATGCAAACAACGCATTGCATGCTCGAGCCTGCTAGCTGCAGTAGCAGAATGTAAACAGGAAGAGAAGCGGATACTCAACTCGGACAACGTGGTAGTCACTGGAGTTATTATTAGCGCCACCAGCTGGACCGGGCGTTGTACCACTCTGGCACGGTTCAGAGAACACGTTCATGTGACCGCGGGCCGATTTCACACCCCTGTGGCGACGATCCGGGCCACTTGGCCTGGTTCTTTTGTAAAAACCTATGTGACCGTGCCCTCAGCAAGAATATCCTGGGTTCGAATCCCGGTCAGAACAGGGTCTTTCTGAGTGGAGTTTGCATGTTCTCCCCGTGCTTGCGTAGGTTGCCTTCGGTTTCCCCTGCAACTAAAAACATGCTCACTAGGTTAAATCCTCCAGCGCTGGTCCTGACCAAGCAGAGCATCAACATCTGGAGATGGGTTCCCGGGCGCTGTTACTACGGCGACCACTGCTCCTGACGTAAGCCCTAGCGGCTTCAGGATGGGTCAAATGCAGAGGATGAATTGCCCTACGGGGAATAAAGTGCACCTTTACCTTTACCTTTCTCGCACTCTCTTACTATCACTCTCTCACTCTCTTACTATCACTCTCTTACTCTCTCACTATCACTCTCCCTCTCTTACTCTCACTCTTACTCTCACTCTCTTACTATCACTCTCACTCTTACTCTCTCACTATCACTCTCCCTCTCTTACTCTCACTCTCTTACTCTCTCACTATCACTCTCCCTCTCTTACTCTCACTCTCTTACTATCACTCTCCCTCTCACTCTCACTCTCTTACTCTCACTCTTACTCTCACCCTCTTACTATCACTCTTACTCTCACTCTCACTCTCTTACTCTCACTCTCACTCTCTTACTATCACTCTCACTCTCTTACTATCACTCTTACTATCACTCTCACTCTCTTACTATCTCTCTCTCACTCTCACTCTCTTACTATCTCTCTCTTGCTCTTACAGCTAATTTACACAGGAGGCGTAACAGCACGTACGGGTTGTACGTGCAGTAGACGCGTGTAACAGTTTTCATGTTAACCAAGGGTGATATTACTAGTGTTATACGCGCATATGACGGACGTATGACGCGAGGCTGCGCCTAATTTAGAATGGATTTCATATTTTGTGCGCAGCAACGAGTCTCCCAGTCAAAACACATGGAAACATGATTTGTATAGCGGTCCTTGGCTCTAGATCACATCCACGCACACACACGTGACGCACGCACACAAACGCACGCACACAGGAGCAGCAGGTTTTACAGTGATTCTGGACATCGTTTTATTTTCATTCATAAAGTCTTGCGTCTAGCCAAACTTGCGCACGGAGACCATGAAGACAAACACATGCATGTGATTTGTGTTGCTCTACATCAGTCCTCTGTACTGTCCTCTACACTTCTCCATAGACTACACAGGGACAGCACCAAAAGCCGCGGACCTGCGTGCACGGCCAGTGTACATACAGCCAAGTAATGTTACACGCATATGCGCGCAGTCAACGTGTACGCGCTGTTAACGCCTATGCTGGAAATTCCCTGTTACTCTTACTCTCACTTTCAGACTCTCACTCTCTTACTCTGCTCTTACTTTCTCTCACTGTCTCTTAATCTCACTCTCAAGCTCTTACTCTCACTCTCTCACTCTTACTATCTTTCTCACTCTAACTTTCTAACTCTTACTCACTCTCTTATTATCATGCTCACTTTCTTACTCTCACTCTCTAACGCTCTTACTCTCACTCTCTCTCTCACTGTGATTTACCAATGAAACTTCTAAGATCAATGATAAAATGCATAAAAAGCACATTAAAAACATTGGTTTCTTTGTCGGGAGCGCCCTCTGCTGACAGACAGGGAAACTGTTTTGAATTTTGCACATAAAAGCTTGAGTGTGTTAAAATTACTGGTTTCTCTCTGGTCTCTCTTTGGTCTCTCTCTGGTCTGTCACTCTTGTCTCTCTCTTTGGTCTCTCTCTTTGGTCTCTCTCTGGTCTCTCTCTCTGGTCTCTCTCTGGTCTCTCTCTTTGGTCTCTCTCTGGTCTCTCTCTGGTCTGTATCTATTATTTATGTATGTTTTTCTGCCAAAACTCTAAACCTATCCCTGGCTCCTCCTGGTCCTGCACCTGTGACCAGGACGTATTAGAGCCTTATCTCTGACCTCTGACCTCACGTCTGCTGTTGTCATTTCCTCTTTTTCTTCCTAAATGAATTATTGTCGATCGCACAGAAAATGAAACATGCAAATGAGACTGAGACGCAAGAGGAAATTACATTTACATAAGTCCAACGAGAAGTTACAGCGCTGGGAACAAAGAGGAGACAGAGGTCGGAGGTCAGGGTTCTTCTGCTGATGGATTCTACAAAGGACTTTTTCATTTGACGACGAAAATTAAAGTCTCTCTCTTTAAAATATGCACATTTATTTTCTTAAAGCTGTGACTCTCTGCATTTTATTAGAAAACTTACCATTTCTAGCTTTAGCGTAATAAAGAAACAAGTATAAAATCTCTAACTGTAGCCTAAGTTAGATTAAAGTTAACTGGTCTCTAGTCTCTTTCTCTGGTCTCTCTCTCTCTCTCTGGTCTCTTTATCTGGTCTCTCTCTCTCTCTCTGGTCTCTTTATCTGGTCTCTCTCTCTCTCTCTGGTCTCTCTCTCTCTCTCTCTGGTCTCTCTCTGGTCTCTTTCTCTGGTCTTTCTCTCCCATCTCTGTCTGGTCTCACTGATCTCTCTCTCTGGTCTCTCTCTCTCTCTCTCTTTCCCATCTCTCGCTGATCTGTCTGGTCTCTCTCACTTTTGGATCTCTCTCTGATCTCTTTCTGCTCTCTCTGCTATCTCTCTCCGGTCTCTCTCTTTGATCCCTCTCTGGTCTCTCTCTGGACTCTCTCCAGTCTCTCGCTTTCTTTTTCTCTCTAACACAATTAGAAGTTTTAAAGATCTCTAAAGCCATCTCTAAATCCAACTCTGATCTCTATGTTCTCGCAGCGGAGGCCTTTGAGCCGTGTGCCCACCCTGGGACCCCCTCCTTCGCGTTGCCCTCGTCCCGACAGAAGCTCTTCCAGCCGGGGGACAGGCTCAGCTTCTCCTGCCTCAGAGGACACCAGCTCCTGGGGGATCCCATCCTCCACTGCCTCCCTGGACACCCGTCTCAGTGGAGTGGACTGCCCCCTGTCTGCAAAGGTCTGTCACTGCAACACGTACAGTGCCTTGCGAAAGTGTTCAGCCCCCTTGAACCTTTCAACATTTCGCCACATTTCAGGCTTCAAACATAAAGATATAAAAATTAAATTTTTTGTCAAGAATCAACAAGTGGGACACAATCGTGAAGTGGAACAAAATTTATTGGATAATTTAAACTTTTTTAACAAATAAAAAACTGAAAAGTGGGGCGTGCAATATTATTCGGCCCCCTTGCGCTAATACTTTGTAGCGCCACCTTTTGCTGCAATTACAGCTGCAAGTCGCTTGGGGTATGTCTCTTATCAGTTTTGCACATCGAGAGACTGGAATTCTTCCCCATTCTTTCTTGCAAAACAGCTGGAGCTCAGTGAGGTTGGATGGAGAGCGTTTGTGAACAGCAGTCTTCAGCTCTTTCCACAGATTCTCGATTGGATTCAGGTCTGGACTTTGACTTGGCCATTCTAACGCCTGGATACGTCTATTTGTGAACCATTCCATTGTAGATTTGGCTTTATGTTTTGGATCATTGTCCTGTTGGAAGATAAATCTCCGTCCCAGTCTCAGGTCTTTTGCAGACTCCAACAGGTTTTCTTCCAGAATGGTCCTGTATTTGGCTCCATCCATCTTCCCATCAATTTTAGCCATCTTCCCTGTCCCTGCTGAAGAAAAGCAGGCCCAAACCATGATGCTGCCACCACCATGTTTGACAGTGGGGATGGTGTGTTCGGGGTGATGAGCTGTGTTGCTTTTACGCCAAACATATCGTTTTGCATTTGTTTATTTGTTTATTTGTTTATTTATTTGGATCCCCATTAGCTGTCTCCAAATGGACAGCTACTCTTCCTGGGGTCCGGTTCAAGCAATTACAATATTCACATCATGCAGTTAAATTGAAAAAAAAAACACTTCACATACAAAACCTCTCCTCAGTTATACGCACACATACTGTACATATAAAGAATTTAAATATACTGTATATGAAGTTATAGACATACACACACAAACAGACTTAAGCTTCCATCAGAAAATGTCTTTTCAATAGTCTTTTAAAAGAGAGCTTTGTTTCAGCCTGTTTAACAGCCGGTGGCAGTTTGTTCCATAAAGTCACAGCTCTAAATATGACCGACCTACGCACGGCTTCTGTTCTGGGTTTGGGGCGGGTCAAATGACCCTGAGCCGCTTGCCTAGTTGGATAGTTGTGCAGATCTCTCACATAATGTAAAAGGTTGTACAAATGAGTAGGTTTTTGACTATAGCATATGTTTGTGAATAAAGTCATTAAATGACATTTGAGTCTATCTTCTACTCTGAGCCATGAGAGACGGTCATGATGCTCAGCTGAGCTCTGTCCCCACACGAGTGGGCAGCCCAGAGCCAGCCTGGCAGCCTTGTTCTGTGCTGTCTGCAGTTTCATCATGTGTTTCTTAGCTGCACCTGACCACACCACAGAGCAGTAGTCCAGGTGAGACAAGGCCAATGACTGAACCACCAGAACTCTAGAAGCCGGTGTCATGAATGAGCAGCACCTTCTAATACATGCCATATTTCTACCCATTTTTTTCACAACAGTGTTAATGTGCTTATCCCAAGATAAACGTTCATCGAAAGTAACTCCAAGGAGTTTTACCTCCTGAACCTGCTCTATTTGCATGTCTTTTAATACAATGTTAAGTGGATCGGCACTATCTTGGTGTCGAGATCTAAACAACATACTCTTTGTTTTAGACACATTCAAAACCAGTTTGTTTTCGTGAATCCAGTCCAATAACAACTGCAGATCATCCTGTAGTGTATTTCTCAGCTCAGACATACTTGATGCTGCACAGTAAACAGTGGCGTCATCTGCATAGAGAGTTGCGCTGCACCTTTTAAGGCCGTACTGCATATCATTAATGAAAATTGAAAAAAGCAGTGGTCCCAAACAACTGCCTTGAGGTACACCACACTGCAGACTTTTAGGCGCAGAAAAGCTTCCATTAAAAAATACTGATTGTGATCTACAAGTTAAGTAACTATTCATCCATTTCAGTGGTGTAGCATCAAATCTATATGCAGATAATTTATCAAGTAGCAGTTTATGATCCACCAAATCAAAAGCTGCGCTGAAATCTAGGAATACTGCACCCACCATCAACTTCTTATCAATATAAAGCCTGGTTCACACGAGACGATTTTAAAATTGTCGGCCGATTTTTCTCCGTGTTAGACCCCACACGGGGAGATTAAAAATCCTGCGTCTAACCACTTTGGTTGTGCAGTGTGTGGTGCGTAGCCACACGGCAAGATCACGCAAGCCACAAACGTCACACACGAACCCCCCCCCGAGCATTCCCAGGTCAGACGGAAATCTCACAAAATCTCTCGAGATCAAGCGTGACTTCAGAGTAAACAGTCATGGCGGACGAAGAGGATGCAGTGGCGATAGTGTGCAGTTTGTTGTTAACAGAGAAGAGACGTAATCCAAAGAAAAGGCAATGGTCAAAGCCATGCTGCTGTGTTTTGGTTTTTTTCCGGTGTTTCCTCACCGGCTTGTCACCTCGTCTTCTTATTGGCTACACGCCGTAGTCATGGCAACGCGCTCGCTTGTCCTCGGAGGACACCACACACGACGAGAAATCGGGCCAAAACAATCCAACATGTTGGATATCCCCGATTTGAGATCGGGAGCAGTCCCGATGTCCTTCCGAGCGACGAGTGCAGTCTTAACACACCACACACGGCAGGATAATCTGTAAGATTTTGTTACGGAAATCGGAGCGTTTCTTAAGATTGTCGTAAGGGGTAAATCGGGTCTAAATCGGCCTAAATATCCTGCCGTGTGAACCAGGCTTAAGACAACCAATTATCTGTCATTTCTGTAAGTGCTGTACATGTCGAGTGATTTTCCCTGTATGCATGCTGAGATCCAAAATGTATCTCATTTATATTTAAATAATTAAAAATCTGTTTAAAAACAACTCTTTCCAACAATTTACTGAGTATCGGAAGAATGCTAATTGGTCTACTGTTAACAGCAGTTAGACTGACATTTCTATTTTTTGAGAGCGGAAGTATTTTGGCCGATTTCCACATTTGAGGAAAAATTCCCTGCTCTAAGCTTAGGTTGAAAATGTGACAGACTGGAAAAGCTATTGTGTTTGCAGCAAGTTTAAGCAATCGACCATCCACCTCATCAATTCCTGATGGTTTGTTGACATCTAGCGTGAAAAGAGACTTTTCAACTTCTGCTGAACTTAACATATTAAATGTGAAATTACAATTTTTGTTTTTAATAATTACATCTTTGATTATTTTGGATGAAGTGCAAAAATACCCTGAATTTGTAGTGTCTTGTCTCAGATTGTCAATTTTATCACCATAATATGTACTAAAATGATTTGCAATATCCTTTCCTTTTGTCAGAAATCCACCGTCCACTTCTATAAATGATGGTAAATTGGTTTTGCTCCTACACATTAACTCGTTCAAGGTATTCCAAAGTTGTTTGCCATCATGTTTGTTATTCTCTATCTTATTTCTATAATATATTTGTTTCTTTTTTCTGTTTTGTTTAGTCACTTTATTCCTCTCAATACAATAGGTTTTCCACTTCTCAGATGTCTTTAGAACACACGCTTCATTTTTCAAGTTGTCTCTGTGTGCCATAGACTGCTTAAGCTCCTTGTCAATCCACGGGGCCTTATTTGCTCTAACTGTAAATTTTCTAAGCGGCCCATGTTTATCTGCCACTGAAAGAAATAAGTCATTGAATAATTTTACAGCCACATTCACATCTTTTGTGTTCAGCACTTGGTTCCAATCCATTTCCTTTAAATGTGTGACAAAATCTTCTTCACAAAAATTCTTGTAAGTTCTCTTCTGTAATACTCTTGGTCTACTTCTAGGTACCTTAGACTTCCTTACAAGAGCAATGATATTGTGATCTGTAAAGCCAACAGGAATGGAGTCTGCCTTCGAACAGCCCGAACTATTGTTTGTGAAGATATGGTCAATGCATGTTGAAGATGTTTGTCCCAGCTCATTACAAAAAATCCTTGTAGGCTGTTTAACTAGCTGTTTTAAATTACAGATACGTGTTGTATTTTTAGGCCGAGCCAATACGAAGTATTGGGGAGGCCTATTGTTATTCACCGGTTTCATATTATTCTTTTTTTTCCGCATCTTCAATTCGATTTTTGACCCTGAAGACATGCACGAAAGTCTGCACATGGGGGGTCTAAAACGACCGGTCCGGCGAAAAATTTGATAAAACGGACGTTTCCAGATTGTCCGACAAAAGGCGAATCAATAGCGCCCCCTTGAAAATTCAAAATTTGCCATTTCTATTGGAGGCAGGATTGCATATTTTGGAGTAGGTACACGAAATTCGGATGAGTGATAGATCTCTATGAGACGAGCATAAAAGCCGGTCTAGCACATGTCTGGGACCAACAGGAAGTCGGCCATGATGGGCCAAAGTTTCGCCACTAATTTGACTTTTCATTTACAAATTCGAACTAGTCCCTGGTTTTTCATCACACAGAGTTCTACCACGTCATTTCCCAATCTGGACGGATTGAAGTTATATAATCATCGAAAAAAAGTTAGACAATCTTCACCGTTTTCGTCCCTCGCCATGGCGAATAAGGCCTTCGTTTTGGCCATTTTCGCTGAGCCCTGAAGGCCACAAGCTCAGACCTACAGAGCTGAGACTCACATCAGTAATATTAGGTTATGGCCTGAACGCAATGACACTAAAATCATTCGCCCGATATGAGCTCTTTAGCGCCACCTGTCGGAAAGTAATAGGGCACTAGTGTTCGGATCGGCCCGAAAATCGCTGAGTGTAATCTCTGGACCGAGACAAGTAAAAAATTACATTATGCAAAAGTTGTACGTCCCACACCTGACCACTGGGGGCGCCGTAAAGTGAATAAATGAGCTTTTTGGGGCAAAATCTTTGTCCGATGAGGCTAAAAATGAATTCAGAAATACAGCGTATGACCCTGAACACAACGATATGCCACACACAACTGTGAGTGCAACAGCGCCACCTACAGGCAGTTCAATGTGTCTCATTTTTGGCTTCGTACTAGTCCCTGGATTTTCATCGCACAGACTTCTACCATGTCATTTATCCATCTGGACGGATTGAAGTTATGCAATCATCGCATAAAAGTTAGAATTTTGTTATCGTTTTCATGCGAGGTAGCGGGGAATTTCTCCATGTTTGATGCTCTCCTGACCACAGGCTCAGACCTACAGAGCTGAAACTCACATCGCTAACAGTTGGTAATGGCCTGAGAGTAATGGTGTGAAAACACACACCTAATATGACTCTACAGCGCCACCTATGGAAGGCTTCTGACCTAAACTTTTCCGATCTTCACCAAAGTTGCAAAATCAAATCTTTACATCTGCACGAGCAAAATACTACTCTACGTAGAGGGTGCATGTCCCGGAGGTGACCACTAGGGACGCACTTTATCATATAAATGAGCTTTTATATACGTAATCCTGGTCAAATCGGGCTGCCAATTCGTCGGCGTGACGCTTGTGGGACCGGCGCCCAGGAGGCGGTCGCAAGAGGGGCGAGGCCTTTCATCGCCGCTTGCGGCTTTAATTTAACTTTCTCCTTAGATGACATGAATTGGAGAGCCAGTCAATATTTACATCACCCAAGACATACATTTCATTGCCTAAGTCAGACATTTTAGCAAAAATGGAGCACAATTCATCAACATACAGTGCATTTGAGCTTGGAGGTCTATAGATACAGCCAATTAGAATAGGTCGACTATAAGGGATATGCACTTCCAAACATAAACATTCAACAGAAGGAACCATCAAGTCTGTCCTAACTTTGACAGGAATTTGGCTTTGTATGTAAATAGCCACTCCACCTCCAAAGAGATTCCGATCACATCTAAAAATATTATAATCTGCAATAGCCACACAATCATCATCAACAGTTTGATTTAAATGTGTCTCAGATACAGCCATGATACTTATTCTTTCATTGCGCATAACATTTGATAATTCATAAACTTTGTTTCTTAAACTCCTAATATTTATATGAGCAATTCTCAATCCTTTATTAGGTAAATTGAGTCCATTTGAGTGTCTGTGTGACGCCATAGAGATGTCAACATTATAATCCATTCCTCCCAATATTTCTCTTAGTCCCTCATTTTAGGCTTAACGACCAAACGATCATAGCTGATAACAGCATAGTCTCCTCTCGCTCTTGCTTCTTTAAGAGCAGGTAGCAGCTCTGCTCTTCTCTTCCTCACTCTTTCAGAGAAGTCCTCATTGATATATATTGAGGTGTTCTTCAGCAGTGATCTAGCTCGAGCCATGATTAATTGTTTGTCTTTAAAGCGCAGTAGTTTTACTATTATGGATCTTGGTCTGTCATTTTCAGCTCTGAATTTCCCATTTCTGTGAGCGCGCTCAATCTCCACTGGTGCTTCTACTTTCAGATTTTTTGTAATTAACTCCTTCACTTTATCTTCAGTTTGTTCCCAGGTTTCTTCAGCTCTATCAGGACCAAGTCCAGTGATCACAATATTATTTCTCCTGGACTGATTCTCAATGTAGTCTAATTGCTCATCACAGCTCTTCAAAGACAGTTCAGATTTTAAATCTTGGATGAGTTTGTTAATACCATTAAAATCAGCTTTCTGCATTTGAGCTTGCTTTTTCAAGTCATCAATATCTTTCTGTGAGTAGTTTAAACTCACCTTGAATTCTTGTATCTCACCCACAAGAGAATCCACCCTTTTAATAGTAGAGTCCAAGATCATTTGACAGAAATTGCTGAATACTTTCTCTTGCCTCCCAAGCAGGGTCTCATACTGCTCCTTTTGGTTATCCAGCATCTCTTTCACAGTCTCCATTGTTACATACTCCAGCTCCTCAGTGTTGACGACTTTATTTCCACCTTTACTGCGAGTGGTCATGATGTAGCAGACAGCAGCGGCACTCCTCTCCCACGGGCAGTTAGCCACAGAGCCTCCTCTCACAGTGCACTCCTCACACACCAGTTGTCTGGGAGGACGTGAAGCGGTTAGACTCCCTCTGCACAACAGAACCAGAACTCAAATCTGGTTCTGGTCAGGTTTCGGGTTCAGCACAAAACCCAGTCCAAATTCTGGTCTGAACTTGTGAGCGCGTCAACAGCAGTCACAGCGTGTGCAGTCCAGAGCGGAAGTCTGTCGGTTTTACCGTTTAGGCAGAGTTCAGACCCGTTCCAGAGCTGTCCCTCTCATCTGGGGACAGCATTGTGGCCAAAAAGTTTGATTTTGGTTTCATCTGACCAGAGCACCTTCTTCCACATGTTTGGTGTGTCTCCCAGGTGGCTTGTGGCAAACTTTAAACGAGACTTTTTATGGATATCTTTGAGAAATGGCTTTCTTCTTGCCACTCTTCCATAAAGGCCAGATTTGTGCAGTGCACGACTGATTGTTGTCCTATGGACAGACTCTCCCACCTCAGCTGTAGTTATCTGCAGTTCATCCAGAGTGATCATGGGCCTCTTGGCTGCATCTCTGATCAGTCTTCTCCTTGTTTGAGATGAAAGTTTGGAGGGACGGCCGGGTCTTGGTAGATTTGCAGTGGTCTGATACTCCTTCCATTTCAATATAATTGCTTGCACAGTGCTCCTTGAGATGTTTAAAGCTTGGGAAATCTTTTTCATCCAAATCCGGCTTTAAACTTCTCCACAACAGTATCTCGGACCTCCCTGGTGTGTTCCTTTGTCTTCATGGTTCTCTCTGCGCTTTAAACAGAACCCTGAGACTATCAAAGAGCAGGTGCATTTATACGGAGACTTGATTACACACAGGTGCATTCTATTTATCATCATCAGTCATTTAGGACAACATTGGATCATTCAAAGATCCTCACTGAACTTCTGGAGTGAGTTTGCTGCACTGAAAGTAAAGGGGCCGAATAATATTGCACGCCCCACTTTTCTGTTCTGATTCTGTATGTATTAAAATATTATTTTATATCTTTATGGTTGAAGCCTGAAATGTGGCGAAAGGTTCAAGGGGGTCGAATACCTTCGCAAGATACTGTATTTGAAAATGCTGGGTTTAAGTTAACGTTTTCATTGAGACTAATATATTTGAAAATGTCATTATTGCTCCACGTGGATGAGAGAATCATGGATCTCTCACTCACTGGTCTCCCTCTTGGTTCTCTCTCTCTCTCTCCTCTCTCTCTTGCATCTCTCTCTGGTCTCTCTCCCTCAGATCTCTCTCTGGTCTCTCTCCCTCAGATCTCTCTCTGGTCTCGCTCTTTTGGGTCTCTCGCTGGTGTCTCCCTCTAGTCTCTCTGTCATCTTTCCCACTGGTCTCTCTGGTCGCTCTCTCTCTGGTCCTCTATCTCGTCTCTCTCTGGTCCCTTTTTAAAGTCTCTGGTCTATTGTTGGTCTTTCTCTCTGGTCTTTCTCCGATCTAACTCTCTGCTCTCTTTCTTTCTCTGTGGTCTCTCTCTGGACTCCCACTCTGCTCTCTCTCTCTGGTCTCTCGGTGGTCTCTCTCTCTGGTCTCTGTAGTAAGGGCTGTATAGGTAAAAATAAACCTTATATTTACACGATTCAATTCTAATTGTATTTTTGACATTGATTGTGATGTCACACACTCAGACAAACCTGGTAAATGCTTGTTTCTCTTTTGGCCTTGAGCCTCAGAAACTCGGGGCTGATTTCTCGTGTTCGTTGATCCCTCCATTCATCCGCCTCCGCTCGCCGACAGGTTGAAAGACAATTTAACAAAACAAAGAAACGACTTAAGCGCGGAAGAAAGAGCACGTTTCAGAAAATTCACAAAAACACATCAGTCAGAAGCCACGGCGGGGAAGAGGCGGCGAGTGTGTCTGTGTGCGTTTCTGTGTGTGTGTGTGTCTGCGTGCGTCTCTGTGTGTGCGTCTCTGTGTGCGTCTGTGTTTGTGTGTAGCTAGCACTTTGAACAGGGAGGTGGTCTAAACACAAGCTGTTTATTCAAATCTGTCCAAAATGTCTTCAAACCAGAATAACCAAGAAAAAATATATTCTAAAACAAAAGATTCAAACAGTTTCTTAACACAACATTGAATTGTGATTGAGGGATGTTTTTTTTTCCAAAGATTCAGTTTATTTTCCATTTCCAGTAAAAAACCCAGGTCTCTTTCTGACTCTTCTCACTGAGAGACAGGCTGGTGTGTCAAAACGACCTGGCATTCAACCCGCCTTGCGACCTAGTCTTTTCCAATACGGCGGTAATTTAGACACATCAAAAGCAAGCTATTTTCTCATCCGTCACTTACATCTGGCTCAGGGGAAGAAGGTTCTAAAACTACACACACCATACATAAGGTAAAGGACTTGCATAATGTCAGCGTAACGAGCCGTGGAGCTGTGTTTAGGTGAGTGAAGGTGTCATCGTCAGACCATTTTGAAGTTGTTGTTGCAGTGGTTGAGCCTCTGCCAGGCTAAGTTTCAAGACAGCTTTGACAATGTGATAAGTCTCCAGCTTCTCAATAGCATACAGCACCTCTCATGTAGACCAGCCCCAGAGGGGTCAGACCGGTTTGGCAGTCTCTACTGTAGATTCTATTGCTGGTTCTGATTTTGCTCTTTCTTTCTGCAGCTCGGTCCGAAGACGAGAACCGCAGACTAGACGGTGAGTTACATATATATATAAGGGTCTAAACAGGCTTTCATACTCGAGCTTTAGGTCTAAACAGGTCTTCGTTCTGCAGTAGAAAGATATTTACTGTAGTCTGGTCTCCTCAGTTTCCTCGGTGTCTGTGCGTCTGGACGGAGCTCAGATTCTGCTGCTGATCTTCGTCCCGGTGGCTCTCATCCTCCTCCTCATCACAGCCGTCTACCTCTACTTCTTCAGGTACAGGAGCCTCCTCTGTCTGTGGCCATTGTCTCCTTTGAAACCGGATCATGGAAAATACAACTTTATTAGTGGTGGTGGGAAATCGATTCTGTTCAGTATCTCGATAATTTGCACTTAGAGCAAAGTATGGCTACATTTACTTAAATATCTGTTAAACTTTTGTGTTTTTTCTGAGTTTACTCTGGTGATTTACATCAGAGACCAAAACAACACATTTGTTAAAAGTCGAGGGCCGGACTGGTTTAATTTTTATTAAAACATAATTATGCATAAAACCTATTGAACCAAGACCTAACACTGTGGACTGTATTTTATTTAATGATTAAATTAAAAATCCAAAATGTTTCGTGGGTCTGTCAGTGATGTCAAGTAAAAAAAAAAGTCAACAGACTCAAAAACAAACTTCCTTCAAAGAGAAAACACACGTCCTGAATTTTAAATTCATAATCCAATATGTTCTTATGGCTCTGTGCGGCCGGTTCTAATCCTATTCAAATATCATCCCGGAGCCAAGATCATTCATTCGCCCGCGATTTTTACCAATTTTTACCAATTCTCAACCCCAGACTTCATCCAATCATTTCTTTAAAAAAGTATTAAAAGTGTGTTTGTAAGGACTGGTGGATTTCGGTTTTTGCTGTTTTTCCTTCCACTTTTAGAAACATGAAATCTTTGAGTAGTTAATCTCTAAATGGCTGCGGTTGTGTTGTTTAAAGCTGGTGTTTGTGTGTTTTCCAGAGTGCAGACGAACCCACTCAGACTCACAGCTAAGACTCCTCCGTATCAGAACATCAGCGACACTGCGGCCAGCGACACATCTCTGTGCGAAACGGTCAGTCTGCAACAAACACTCGTCTCCGGAACTTTCTCTGGTGTGAAAAGAACTCCACACATTTAAGTTCTGACCAAAATACTCACTTTCACTGCAGGACGTCGTAAAGTTAAAGTCTGTCTCTGGTTGAAGTTTGAATTATTCAGTGTCTTTTCTCTTGTTTCTTTCCTGCTTTCGGACGAACAGAACGCTGAGGTGAGAGTGTGTTTATGTTAGACCCAGGACTGAGGCTGTAGACCCAGGACTGATGCTGCGTTCAGACCAAACGCGTTTTGGCCGTCAAAATTGAGTCTGACGCGCGTCGTTGTACGCTTGTGACAAATTCTGGAAGACGCTGTCACAGAGCGTTCTGGAGGCGCGTCACACGCGTCCGGAACACCAGGGTAGAGAGCGTTTTGAGAGCGTCTTGGGGGTGGGGCTTCTCTCTTTTGCCTATAGTTTCCCAACATGGATGACTTCGAAAGAGTGGCTTGGCTCTATCTGATAAATAAAGCCAGACAACGTCGTGAAAGGGCGCATCGACGACGTGTCTGGATTCACTATATAGTCCGTAGACGTTCGGAGTTTGGAGAGTTTCACCATTTGCTCCAGGAGCTGCGCTCGGATGAGAGTCGCTTTCAGCGGTACTTTAGTCTCTCCCGGGCCCAGTTTGACGACCTACTGACCCGCATTGGCGCTCGGATCTACCAGGACACCAACTACAGGCGCTCTATTCCAGCGGAAGAGCGCCTGTAGTTGGTGTCCTGGTAGGAGATCCGGGCGCTCTATTCCAGCGGAAGAGCGCCTGTCCATCTGTTTCCGGTTAGTGTTTTTTTTTTTACCCCATTCTGAATTCCTAAATACTTACAAAGTGTGCCATTTTTCAACCACAATCCACAATTTATTAGCAGTATAGCAGTAGAAAACAGTATATGCAACAATATGGTGTCTATGGTTACTGTCTATGTTCACTGTCTACTAGTTAAACGTATTTTATGCTACAACTAAGTGCAAGTGTTGTCACGTAATTTTTATGAATATGTAATTTTAATACATGTGTACATTATTATTTTGTAATTGCAGGTTTCTTGCCACTGGGGACTCCTACAGGACAATTGCGGGGAGCTTTAGAGTGGGCATTTCCACATGATCATTCCAGATGTGGTGACAGCCATCTGGGACATCATGGCCAACTCTGCCTTTGGTCAGGCTCTGTACGAGGGCACACTCGACCTACCTCCTGACCAGTACATACCTGAGCTGACCACAGAGGACCCCAGCCCCATTTCCTTGTGGCAGATGAGGCCTTTCCACTGCGCAGAAATGTAATGCGCCCTTTCCCTGGACGTGGTGGCCTTACCCCAGAGCAGCACACGTTCAAAAACTGCCTCTCCCGGGCTTGGTTAGTGGTGGAGATGCTTTTGGAATTTGGTCTGCGCAGTGGAGAATGTTTCGCCGTCACCTGGAAATCTTCCCAGAAGTTGTGGAGAAGTGTGTGAAGGCCTTTTGTGTCCTTCACAACTTCATGAGGATGGCTGGAGATGGGCAGGTACCTGGAGAAGATGGGCGCCAACAACGCGAGCAGAGAAGCAGTGGACATAAGAAAAGTGTTCATGGCCCACTTCAGTGAGGAGGGAGCACTGCCGTGGCAGCACATGGAGTAGTCATGTCCACCACAGGAATGACCCACAACGGAGAGCCTAACTTCATTTATAACATTTATAATATACCGAGCCTCTTGATTATGAAATTTTAGACATTTTTTCTGGCCATAGCCCAAACCCACAATGATTTGCACTTTTCTGTTCACCTGTACCCTCTGTTTCTCGGTAATCACTGCCAGACTCCACTGCGACTACACTTCAACTTCAGGTTAATCACAACATGCACATTCAGGCTTTTCCCTAATTACAGGGTTGTTCAAACAGAAGGTGAAATGAATAAAACATATCGTCAACAACTTTATCGCTCTTGTCCTTTTTATTTTAAGTGTTAACTATTCTTTCTTCTTTTCTGTCAGTATTATATGAAAGGTAATTATGGTGGGCTTGAAGTAGAACAAATTTGAGCTTTGAAATATTTCTTTATAAAAATCAACACAGAATGAAATCAAATAAATAAAAAATGTACATATAAACAGAAATAAAAAGGGGCTTGCTTGGAGGAGGTGGGGTGAAAGAGGAAAAGGCACACATGTCTGTTTCCTCCCCTGCAAAAGTTGTCACCTTAACTCAAAAAACTGTCTGTACTGTTCAAAGGATCCAAATTGAGCAGAACGGTGCTGCTTTCATATAAAAGTTTGTGCATTTTGAATTTAACAAAGTCTTTTGACTTTGGTGGCACCTTTTGCAGTAGAGGAAAGAGAGTCGCCAGCATCTCCCGCTCCCACTCTGTTGGCGGCTCTACGGACGTGAGCCTCTGCCGAGCTCTCTTCCTTGGTGGGCCTTCAAAGAAAACAGTGCAATGACAGTGTAAAGAAGTGGAACATGTTTCTCAAAAGAAGCAAAAAATAAGAGACCAAATAAAAGCTGTATCAAAGGCAGAGTGTGTAGACATTGTTAATATAGACAACTTTTAAGTTATGTGTTTGTGTTTTAATGAACTCAAACATTGCAGTTATCAGTGAAATTATTATTTAGTTTAAGCAAACTCATATCTGAATAAAAACACTTACCATAGATTTAGTACAAATTCCTACATTTACACACAACCTCTGAAGATAAATATGTAACTGTAAAGATGCATTTAGTATATTTCGCAATAACATTTGAAATTGGCTGTTAAAAGAAATACTGTATTGTCAGCATTAAACACGCTGTCATCTTGTGGCAACCATTGGGTGTATTTGTTCAGTACTTTTATAGCATATGGTATTTCGAAGAAAGAGGAAAGATGCGTTGTATCAGGCCAAAGCACAAGCGCTCCTTTCCACCTGTAGTGCCTTGAGATCTTGTAGTTTCTCTGTACATTTGTCGTCTACAATGATGTAACAGCCTTTGGATAATTTTGGCTTATTATGCAGTAACACTAACACTTAGTAGCAGTAACACTAAGTAACACTTGGTGTATATGCACAGTCCTGTAATAAGAAAACAAATTAAAGCCGCAAGCGGCATCTAACGGCCCTCGCCGCACCGCGCAAAAGAGGTGGCGCTAATGCGCCACTTTCCCACTGCCCTGACGGGAGCGACACTGTGCATTTTGAATTCCTATGGTCAGTGATTGTGTGTCTCTACTGAAAAGGTAAACCCCATTCTCCCCATGTAACATTTGAATCAGTCTGTAGGGGGCGCTATTGCTGCAATTTCATTACTCACACTTTCAGTTTATTCAAACCCAAGAGTTGAACAATCAATTCAAATGTTGTGCAAATCGGACTTTGTATGTGCAAATGGTGGCATTTAATGTTGTACAACAGCGCCCCCTACAATTAATTTTTTTTAGTCTTATACCAAAGAACACCAAAATAATACACTTCATGCTTGAAAAAAAATTTGTTCAGTGGGTCAAATATGAGATCAAACTACAGAAAACCTAAATACGTTTATCCCCATGTAAACCTTTACTCAGTCTGTAGGGGGCGCTAATGGGCCAATGTCATTGTTCACACTGTCATGTGACCTAGGCCCAGAAGTTGAACAACCGAGTCAAGTTTAGTGCAAATCAGAGTTTTTAAATGTGCTCCTGCCAAATTAATGAAACGGCCGCGGCTGGTTTGATGTTTGAGCGAGGTGTACTTTTCAGAGGTATAATGATTTTCCCATAAACACAGACAGGGGAGTGTTTGTCGTCGCCACGGCAACAGGGTAAAATATAATCATATGTTGTCATTGACTTTTTGAATCCAGATGACAAAACAGAATTATTTACAAAATTTCAAACATTTTGAGAAAACTAAATTTTATTAGGCCCATGCAAAACTTTGACATGGTCTGTAGGGGGCGCTCATGAGCCAATTTCAATATTTCCACTTTCATATGACCTAGACCCTGGAGCTGAACAATGGATAAAAATTTTGTGCAAATCCGGCTTTGTTTGTGCAAACGGGAGCAAATTTACTTTTGTCAAAAATTGGGAAAAAAATGTCACATTTTGCCGCTCCGCTGCTCGGACAACGTTTAACTGATCCAAATTCTATATTCAATAATTGATGGTACATGTGTTTAGACCATGTGGAGCGATTTTGAGACAAATCGGTGAAACGGCCGAGGAGGAGATAATTTCCAGCCGACGTGTGAAAAAGATCAATTTTCATTTTTCCATTTCCCATTGAAATTAATGAGCTCCCTGTTTGTCAGGGGGCGGAGCCATAATAACTTTTTTTTCATGTCTTGACCTGAGGAACATGTGTACCGAGTTTCGTGGCTCTACGACAAAGTTGACCTCCGACCCGCTCCCATAGGCGCAATGTAAACTGACTTTTGTAGGGGGTGCTGTTCGGGCATTTTGTTTTTGTCCCATAAAAAAATACACCAAAAAATCGCCAGTTCTGAATTTTGGGCAAAATTTCACAACTTTTCATCAATGTTCAGGGGGTCAAATTAAGGTTCAAAGCGCAGAAGAAAAAAGAAAGAAAGAAATTTGGGGGTAATACTGGACTCAGACCTAAATTTCAATAGCCACATAAAATCAATAACATCAACAGCTTTTTACCATCTGAAGAACATTGCCAAAGTTAGAAATATAGTGTCCAGGGCAGACTTGGAGATTCTTGTCCATGCATTTGTCTCCAGCAGGCTAGACTACTGCAATGGCCTGCTTACAGGTCTGTCCAAACAGACCTGTAAGCAGCTGCAGTACATCCAAAATGCAGCAGCTAGAGTCCTGACAGGAACCAGGAAGTATGACCATATTAGTCCGGTCCTCAGGTCTCTGCACTGGCTTCCTGTGACTCAAAGAATAGATTTTAAAACGGCTCTGCTTGTGTACAAGTCTCTCCATGGCCTTGCACCAGAATACATTAGTGACATGTTGGTGTCATATGAACCAGCCCGGACTCTGAGGAGCACAGGGACTGGCCTCCTGCTGGTGCCCAGAGTGAGAACCAAACATGGGGAGGCTGCGTTTCAGATCCATGCAGCTAAGATCTGGAACAATCTCCCTGAAAATGTGAGGGAGGCGTCTACTCTGTCAATGTTCAAATCCAGGTTAAAGACTGTTCTGTTTGCCTGTGCATACAACTGAAGGATTTTATCTCCATTTTTAATGCACTGCTGTCATTTATTTATTTATTTAAATTTCTTGTGTAATTTTGAAAGTTTTAATGGTTTTATTCTTTTGTGTGATTTTAATGTTTTAATTGTGTTTTAATCTTTTGTGTGATTTTAATGTTTTAATTGTGATTCTGGTGTTTGTTTTATGTGATGATTTGTGATGTGGACTGTGAAGCGCTTTGTGTTGCCATGTGTATGAAAGGCGCTCTACAAATAAACTTTGATTGATTGATTGATTGAGAAAGAAAGAAAGAAATAAATCAAGGATTTTTTTTTTTAAACTTCGGGCAAAAACAATATAGGTTTTCATAGTAACCTATAATACAAATCAAAGGAAGGTTTCTCACCCATCATCTGTACTTCTTAGCAAGTTTTCCCGACGTTTCGTCCTCAACCTGGGGACTTCTTCAGGGAAGTTTGTGTAAGCCCTCAGTCGTACAGGGATTAGTCAAAGCAAAGGAAGGTTTCTCACCCATCATCTGTACTTCTTAGCAAGTTTTCCCGACGTTTCGTCCTCAACCTGGGGACTTCTTCAGGGAAACCTGGAGACTTCGTCCTCAACCTGGGGACTTCTTCCCTGAAGAAGTCCCCAGGTTGAGGACGAAACGTCGGGAAAACTTGCTAAGAAGTACAGATGATGGGTGAGAAACCTTCCTTTGCTTTGACTAATCCCTGTACGACTGAGGGCTTACACAAACCTATAATACAAATGATACGTCGTTTTAAAGCAAACGACGAGGCGAACGCAACTATTGGGTTCTCGGTGATTGACGAGCGCTGACGCGCTCGTCAATCACCTCGCCATCATGAGGTCACCCACCCCCCCCCATAGGACCCCATTGATTACACTGTGTACCACAGCAGGAGCAAAGCCATTCAGTGCCTCCGGCACTGTTTTGTCAGTGTCTCGGCACGCACCGTCGGGCTTGGGCGCCCAGGCATTACTCGTTGGAAAAGCAATAGGCCCTTACCCCGGTTGGGGCTCGGGCCTAATAAAACAAAATCAGAAAAAAGCCACACCTGTAGGTGCAGAAGCAGGGGAAGGTCCAGCCCTCACAGAAGAAGCTGCAGCAGCAGGCAGCTCATGCAAAGATTTCTCGCCTTGTGTGGTGGTAGTGTCAGAATCTGTGCCAAAAGAACAAAAGAAATACAATTATTTCATAGCATGTGTATATTACGCTTCATGACATAAATTCATACACAGAAATCAATATATATGTAAAAGTCAGCAAACTGTGGGTAATAAACAGGATATCAATGATTTATTTTTTCCAACTGCTCGAGGTCTTTGTTTGCTGCATGACACCGAGCTTCAGCACCTGACAGCTCTGCTGCTGCTTCTGGCTCTTCTTCTGGCTCTTCTTGTGGGTGGTTGTACCCTGCGGCCTGTTCCTCCTCGGCCCTTCGTTTGTTGGCCGAGCTGTCACGGGGAGTGATGTAAGGCTCGAGGAAGGACATGACCACAAGGTACTTCCACGTCTGACCTGTCCCTGCTTCTGCACCACTTTTCTTGATTTTCTCCTTCTCCTTCCTGCTCTCCTTAGCAAACGTGTCCCTCAGACTCGTCCACCGCTTTTTGCAAATTTCCACAGAATAAACAACTCGTAAGCGGGAAAGTACTAGTAGTTACTCGAACATAGATTTATCGCGGGGAAATATTTACTATTGTGAAAAGTTAAAATAACTTACCCGAGACACCAACCACCTCGCTAACCCTCTTCCAAGCAAGCTCCTTTTTCTGTCTGTCCCGGTGGCTGTGGTCCGCGGTGTTGCAGAGCTCAGAATGAGCACCGACCTGAGCAATCCGCCTGTCCTCCGTAGCTGCCATAATTTTGTTGTCTTCCTGTTTTCCCGGTCTACATTTGTGTCGTGAAATGCGTCACTACGTCACTGTTACAGAAAGCTCCTGATTGGTCGAAGCTCGCAAATTCTCCCAAAATGTTCAACAATGTTCGACTCTTGCGTCGGCCGCGTTGGAGGCGCGGGACGCGCGTCAAAACGCTCGAAATCTCTAAAAGCGCAGCGTAATCTCTCAACGCTCCTCGAAGCGCGTCCCCCATGTATTTTCAATGTAAACCGACGCTTTGGACGCTCAAAACGCGTTTGGTCTGAACGCAGCAGGCTGTAGATCCAGGACTGCTGTAGATCCAAGATTGCAGATCCAGGACTGAGGCTGTAGATCCAGGACTGAGGCTGTAGACCCAGAACTGAGGCTGTAGACCCAGAACTGAGGCTGTAGACCCAGAACTGAGGCTGTAGACCCAGAACTGAGGCTGTAGACCCAGGACTGAGTCTGTAGATCCAGGACTGAGTCTGTAGATCCAGGACTGAGTCTGTAGATCCAGGACTGAAGCTGTAGATCCAGGACTGAGGCTGTAGACCCAGGACTCAGACTGTAGAACGAGGACTGAGGCTGTAGATCCAGGACTGAGGCTGTAGACCCAGAACTGAGGCTGTAGAACGAGGACTGAGGCTGTAGACCCAGGACTCAGACTGTAGAACGAGGACTGAGGCTGTAGACCCAGGACTCAGACTGTAGAACAAGGACTGAGAATCATAATCAAACTAAAAACATGTTTGTTTTTTCGCAGGACACGAGAGAATACGAAGTCTCAATCTAAGAACTGCCTCCTGCAAAGACTGAACATAAAACTGACACACGAACACATTTGTGGAGCATCTCGGCGATCAGCAGATGTTTTTGGAGACCCCAGAAAACACCCTATAAACTTTAGACTCTGAGTCATGACATTTTTCTCCTTTGTTGAAAGAAGTTTTGTTGATTTTCTATCGTTTCTCACATCTGTGCGTCCTACTTATGCTTTCATTTGTTAGGACTTGGTCGAGAAGGAGGGGGATCGTTCAAAAATCCCGCTAAATATAATGAAGTCGCTGCTAGAATTTACTGCCAAAGAGTAAATTGTGAGCATAATTTTGTGTTTTTCTGCCACATTCACATTAATATCATTAGAAAATACAGGTTAGTGCCATAGATAAGTACAGTTGTTTTATTCAAGGTTTTAGTTCTGCCCCTTTTCAAAAATGTTACTTTTGCATCAACGAAAGAGAGACTTAGAACTGGTCTCCTCTCTCAATCCTCCTTCCTCAACTGGTCTCCTTCTCCTTCCTCAGCTCGTCTCCTCTGTCCTTCTCCTTCTTCAGCTCGTCTCCTCTCTCCTTCTCCTTCCTCAGCTGGTCTCCTCTCTCCTTCTCCTTCCTCAGCTGGTCTCCTCTCTCCTTCTCCTTCCTCAGCTGGTCTCCTCTCTTCTCCTCATTCCTCAACTTGTCTCCTCTCTCCTTCCTCAGCTCGTTTCCTCTCTCAATCTCCTTCCTCAGCTCGTTTCCTCTCTCAATCTCCTTCCTCAGCTCCTCTCCTCTCTCCTTCTCCTTCCTCAACTTGTCTCCTCTCTCCTCCTTCCTCAGCTCGTCTTCTCTCTCCTCTCCTTCTCCTTCCTCAGCTGGTCTCCTCTCCTCTCCCCTTCTCCTTCCTCAGCTGGTTTCCTCTCCTCTCTCCTTCTCCTTCCTCAGCTGGTTTCCTCTCCTCTCTCCTTCTCCTTCCTCAGCAGGTCTCCTCTCCTCTCTCCTTCCTCAGCAGGTCTCCTCTTCCTCTCTCCTTCCTCAGCTGGTTTCCTCTCCTCTCCTCCTTCCTCAGCTGGTTTCCTCTCCTCTCCTCCTTCCTCAGCTGGTTTCCTCTCCTCTCTCCTTCTCCTTCCTCAGCTGGTCTCCTCTCCTCTCTCCTTCTTCTCCTTCCTCAGCTGGTTTCCTCTCCTCTCCTCCTTCCTCAGCTGGTTTCCTCTCCTCTCTCCTTCTCCTTCCTCAGCTGGTTTCCTCTCCTCTCCTCCTTCCTCAGCTGGTTTCCTCTCCTCTCTCCTTCTCCTTCCTCAGCTGGTTTCCTCTCCTCTCTCCTTCTCCTTCCTCAGCTGGTCTCCTCTCTCTTCCTTCCTCAGCTCGTCTCCTCTCTCCTCTCCTTCTTCCTCAGCTGGTCTCCTCTCCTTCTCCTTCCTCAGCTCATCTCCTCTCTCCTTCTCCTTCCTCAGCTCGCCTCCTCTCTCCTTCTCCTTCCTCAGCTCGCCTCCTCTCTCCTTCTTCCTCAGCCTGTCTCCTCTCTCCTTCTCCTTTTGAGGAGGATTAAGGTTAATTTTCGACTCATGGCCAACATCTTGCTGAACTTTTTTGAGTCCAAGATTCTAAGTTTTACAGTCTATTAGGAGTGGACTGACCATAGTGTTAGCCTTACTGCAGAAGAAGCCGATTAAGCTAGCTGAACCCGATTTCCTTATATGGGCATTTGTGTCGGCAGGGTATGTATACATCATAACAGGGAAAGACGTGTTGCTAACGTGATTGCTAAGGTAAGCTGGAGTTTCCCTAAATAATTACCAAAACTAATTTATTGGACAATACTTGTGTTTTAAAGGGAAGAAAACCGCTCTGAGTGTGATGTCATAGGATCACAATGAAATTATACTTTTACAGGAGTGAGACTGGAGCTTTTAGACGGACATGTTTTTGCCGGATGTTAGCATGGCTCGAGCTAAAAACAACTCCAGGTCTGTCACTGATGCAGAACAGTGTTGAAACATGGAGAAAAAGCTAAAATAGTTGGTTTGCAGAGTGTGTTTCCTAAAAGGTAAACAGGACTAGAAGACATTGTTGTTTTTTAAAAATGCTACAGATTCTGTTTCCAGTCTTGTCTTTTGCAATGTCAAACTCGTCATGATTTGCAATAATAATTTTGGGGTTAAACCCTGAGGTTTGAGGCTCCGCGCGGCTTCGCTGTAACCAGCTATTTTTGATCCATTGTACAGAAAGTCACAACATCTTCAATAAAATCTATTGTAGAAAACTGGACTCGTTTCTGTTGTTCTGACTGAGAGACTGAGACGTGGCCTGAGGCGTCCCTTTGCTACACACTTGTACCTGTGCTCATTGGCAACATACATGGCTGCATTCAAAAAGAGTCTCTCCCTGCATCAAGCTGCTGTTCGTGCTGGAACCCTCCTCCTCCCGGTCACTGCCTCTCTTCAGTGGAGAATTATCTTGCTCAGCTTCCTTCACAACCAGGATTTAGGCCCTGGGACTTGCACGCTTAGCCTGGCTAACGCCAGACTGCTGTGTGCGCTCGAATCCTTTCGAACTTCACAATATCACTTGTGATATTTCGTCTGGCGTTAGCCAGGCTATTGCACGCTCATGATCTCTACTAAATCTCTAAATCAAACTCCCTCCTGGAAAGAATGTTTATAACTATCTTTTACATATGATTTAAACAAATGTATTGTGTTGGGTTTTTTTCTATTTAACTTAACTTTAAGAATTTTCTCAAGTGTGTCTTTTTGTGTGCATGCCTTTGTTTGTGTGTGTGTGTGTGAGACCATAGAGCAACATGGACACACCTCCAGCTCATCAGGAATCTAGAGCCAATCAAAAATAAATTAATAGAAGAAAGACTTTATCGTCCAATAGGGCATAGAGCTAAAATATATGACTATTGTTTGGGATTCACATTTCAGTAGTTTCAGAGTTCATTTAAAATTCTAATACTAAGTTCTAGATAGTTCTAATTCTGATCAAATTTAATCCCGGGGCCAAGATCATTCATTCGGGCCTTGACTTTGACCCCATGCATTTTTTTTCAGCTGTGATGCGATTATCAACATTATAACAAAGGTTTGTTCTATCGCACTTTGCTGCACTGGGTCTATAACATATTAGTTCCACATTGTGAGATAAAGTACAAAAGTTAATGGACTTTTGAACAAAGTTTCTGAGTTTCACCTACTCTAACTACTTCTGTAACATATGGTTTAATAATAGTGCAACTGTTTTATACAGTGCTTTTCTGGACACTCAAAATGCGTCACATGTCTTCATTCAACTACCATTGAAGCCACAGCTGCCCTGAGGCACACTGACAGAAGCAAAGTGACCAGTCTGTGTCATCAGCCCCTCCCACCAACATCACCAACACCAGACTCATTCGAATGTGGGTAAATTGTAGAAATTCAGTGGTGTCACACTGTGGCACCTGGTGTTCTCAGAGGACTCCCATCACAGTACTAACCAGGCCCTGTCCTGCTTAGCTGCAGAGGTCTGACTCGATCTGGCTTTCTCATACAGGTGACTACTTTTGTTCTGAATTATTACTCACAATACTGCTGAAATTAGTGTTGGACAAACTAAATAAATATTAATATTGTAAAACACATACAGTACATTTCTGTCTGTAACGTTATATATAATAAAATACCACTGCACACCTCTGTCCTCAGCTTCTTAAACTCTCTCCTCTGTCTCTCTCTCTCTCTCTATCTCTGTGGTAATGACTGTTGTTTTGCTCAGAGACTGTTGTCTCATCACGTCATGTAAACACACATTAAATCCACATTCATTAATAATTAAAGGCCAAACAGGCGCTCGAGGAGAAGACACAGTTTAGTGCACTGCCGCCCCCTGCCGGACACAAGCGGTCATCAAGAAAGTTTTCATTCAACTACACCAGACAAAAATGCAGTTCCATGTTCTCACCTTTAAATTAATGTGTTTTTTAAAGAACGTATTACTTAACAACAATGATAATAATATTAAATAATAATGAATATGTAATAATGGATTTTATATATATATAATGTTTGGACTCTCAAATTCTTTCACTCCATATGTGGTGCTAATAATACTGTAGCCACGTCTGCCCTGGGGCACACTGACAGAAGCTACCAAAACATTCACACACACACCAGGAAATGTGTGTGAAGGCAAGTTTAATTCTTTATTAGCACAGTTCATACACAAGGCAACTCAAAGTGCTTCAACAAAACAAGAAAAGAAACATTGGAATCACACAAAAATAATCATAAATAATCATACAAAAGATACAATCCTTCAGTTGTATGCACCGATAAACCGAACTGTTTTCAACCTGGATTTGAAAGACTTTGGCAACAGCAGGAAGCCAGTCCCTGTGCTCCTCAGAGTCCCAGCAGGAGGCCAGTCCCTGTGCTCCTCAGAGTCCCAGCAGAAGGCCTGTCCCTGTGCTCCTCAGTCCCACACACCATTTTGGGCTTTGTGAATCCATGATTTATTGCTCTCTTTGATCCTGGTGTTTATGTGACGTTGTCTTCCAGATAAATCTAAATCCAGATAAGATCTTTTATGAGACAGGAGGGTCTTATATAAAGACATTTACAAATTGGAGACGTCCGAACCAGCACCGAAAATACAAACATAGCTCAAACCAGATAATGTCAACTTTCCATTCATTATGATCATTATAAATCATTATTATTATTCTTGTTCCACCAAAAATATGAACAACAACTATAGTAAAAATAATAACAACAATAATATTCGATGCAACAGTGATGCATCTAATATATTATAATTCATATGTGTGTGCCCCCATTATTATAATATCAAATTACAGTATTTAGCTCAGTCACACGGGAGGAGCTCGGAGTAGAGCCGCTGCTTCTCCACGTCGAGAGGAACCAGTTTAGGTGGCTCGGGCATCTGTTCCGGAGGCCTCCTGGAAGCCTCCCTGGGGAGGTGTTCCGGGCACGTCCCACCGGGAGGAGGCCCCGGGGAAGACCCAGGACACGCTGGAGAGACTATGGGGACGCTGGCCTGGGAACGCCTTGGGGTCCCCTCGGACGAGCTGGAGGAAGTGTGGGCGTCTCTGCTTAGACTGCTGCCCCCGCGACCCGGCAACGGATAAAGCGGAAGAAAATGGATGGATGGAATAACAGCATTTCTATGTTATTGTAATGTCATATATGTGTAGTATATCTCTCATGTTTTAGGGCTAGGGTTATGTGTGTGAGTATAGATATATATATATGTGTGTGTGTGTGTGGATTGAAGGAGAACATGTCAGTGCTGAATCCAGGCCTCTCCACAGATGACAGAGAGCGATCGCTGAAAACCTGTTGTTACATTTAGAATCATTTGCATTAATTACACACAGCGCGACATAAGTTACGTCTCCTGCTCCAAGACGCGACCATCACAACGTTTAGCGCCTCAAAAAACACACAAAAAACCTAATAACGCTATAAAGACACGGGCTCAGAGCGCATGCGCAGCCGGCGATCCGCGGTTGCGCCAACAGAGGATGTTGCTAGCCGCCAGTGTAGATGCACAGGGTTTTTCACAACAATAACATCCACCAAACCTGCTCCTCCATCCGCGCCTTTCTCCGGGACTAGTGCTTCTGCCTCTGCGGCCCGGGAGACCTCGCTTCCCGCTGGGGTCCCTCCTCCACAGACCGTGGGCTCGCGTTGACGATGGGAGCGCGGAGCTGTTTGGGTTTGCACGGCTCCTTCTCTTTGCAGGAGCAGAAACAAGAATCATGGCTGGCGAGCTAGGCCTCTACTAGGCTTCCCCAGCTCTGTAGCATCCACCCTCTCCCTCCGAACACCGCGATCTTCTGTGGGTTTAGCATGTGAGCTACACCGTGCCAAGACGACAACTCTTACCCATTGCTTTTACGCGTCCGTGGGGTGGTTTTCCAGTCGCCAGCGCAGAACTCCTGGAACCTAGAGCAACACAACCTTGACGTCTCGCCTTTCGTCGTTAGCATTTTAGCTTGTTAGCATCGGAGGAAGCATCTGAACCGAGAACAGAGCCCGTTTTGGACACAGCTCCACGGCTCAACTGGACCTTTTTACGCACGGGGAGTTTGTGTGCGCCTTGAGTTGATGTGGGCCAAAATGGACACCCCTACAATTGTGTACGATTTGGATACATCGGGGGGCTTAATGGAGGTAAGCCTGACTGAGCTGCTTCGTTTGGTTTAGGCCCAAGAGCTGCAGAAATCCTGGGTTTTGAAAGCCTATATCTCTGTATACTTCTTTTAACATGCTTTTAGGCGCTGTTCCATACATTTGCACAGGTTTTGCACCCTGGTTCAGCTTGCATTGGAGGCCACAGCGTCCTGCAGAGAGGAGTAGAAGCATTGGACTGGGCAGGCAGGCAGGGGAGGACCTCCATGTTTGATCTGACCTGCTCTTCGCCACATAGAGACTTGTGTGCAGATTTCTCTCGTTTCGTGCGTTTTAGCTTCAGTGGAAAGGTTATGGCTATAGTTTACCTGCTGAAATGACAGGTCCCTCACTAGTGTACTTTACATACATGTCAGATCTATCAAAGACTGTCATTAGAATAGAGCTATGACTGTCCAAATGGGAATGGGGCCGAGTTGACTCATATTTTGTCATTCAAAACTAGCTCAAAGCAGCTCTATATGAAATACCTAAAAGCAGTGACAACAATAGCATTTCATTATTGCATCAAAAGCTGTCAATAGCGGTTCAATATTAGTAGTTTACAAGACTATTGCTGTAGAAAATTTGAATAAAAAGCTTATAGATATAGCTATAGATAGACCCCTGTGAAACGACAGATGGTCCTGGTCTATAGTCTATCCTTAAGAAAGACTAACTATAAATACTTGTGTGTATAAACTAGAATAAATACTGTTATTACACTGTAGATGGCCTGGGAGTTGACTTACAAACCCAGAAAGATTCTAGCCACTCTCACTGTGCAGTAAAGTAGGGCTATAAGTGAACCCTAAGTTGCCCCGTGGTGTAATAATTTCAGTGTTGCAGGACTGTAGTAAGAGCACACAAGGAGTGGGACAAAAGAGACGGAGAGAAGTAGCTGTGATTGCTTCATGATAAGAGAAATGAAGAAATATATCTAGTGGTGCGAGATGGCTGAATGTATAGAAGTAGGTGAGATTCAGGGTTGCATTATTTCTCTGCTGATAGAAAATCGTCAAAAATATATTGCTGTTGATTCCAGGTTTTTAAAAGATCTCAGCGGAGACTATAAAATGTTAGTTCTGTGAATCGCACATGAACCAAACGGTGAGATTTCCTAACATTTATTAACCTGGGTGACATAAAATGTTTGACACACACCCAGTGAATCTGCTATAAGTCTCTGTGCGTAATTATTTAAAGGTGGGGTTCCTAACTTCCAAACCAGATTCCATATAAGTATGTATTCAAATCTATGTCACGTGTTCCTCGCTCTCAAAAAGGTTTGGTTCTGTCACTTGTTTTCACGTGTATATATTTGAAATGAGATTAGTTACACAGAAAAGTGAAAAAAGAGGACCAATCAGCTGTCAGCTCAAAGAGTCAAAAAGTAACTCACAGGGTTCTTAAAGTAGTATGCTAAAGTAGTATTGCTAAAGATATGTGTTCTAATCCAATGAAGACAGTTTGTTGTGGTTCAGAAACTTTTTCAAGACTTTTTTTTTTTCTGTTGTGACAAAGAAAATGTAATATAGAATGTATTTACCAGTCTGGGAGAGAGAAGCAATGTGTATTATAGAGGAGGGTAAATTTAGGTACCCCAGCCTTAACAGATTTGATTGATTCTTACAGATAAACAAACGAGAACATATTTTCTAATACATCAGAGACTGCATTTTGTGGTCTCATATTTTCACGACATTTTTTGGTAAAGTTCAGTACCCCAGCTTTAACTTCTTTCTTCTCTTTCTTTTTCTCCCTTTAAAGCAAATCCAGACGCTCCTGGCGCCCCCGAAGTCCGAGGACGTGGAGAAGAGAAGCAGGAAACTGGTTCGGGACGTCCGGAGAAGTGGAAGAGCCACCAACCACGACACTTGTGACAGCTGCAGAGAGGGAGGCGACCTGCTCTGCTGCGACCACTGCCCCGCCGCCTTCCACCTCCAATGCTGGTACGGCCAATATCTCACCCCGATCTCTCTCTAATCTCACCCCGGTCTCGCTCTGATCTCATTCCGATCTCACCATATCTAACCCCGATCTCGTCAACATCTCACCCCGTCGTCTCCCTAATTTTCTATTATACAACATAGGTATACACGTATTAGCATTAGCATTGTTTGAAGCCATATATTCTTGAATCTGAAACAAGCATTTAATGCAAGGCAACCCTGGATTTTACAGTAACTGGAGGATTTTTTTTTATCAAGATCAGAGAAACTGAGAGGCTCTGAGTGATAGAGTTTCTGTTGTCATGATCATTTGAAATTTTAAAATGTGTGTATGTGACAATCTTTGGCTTTGCACAATCAATAATAATGATGGGGAACCTTCATCACAACTAAGTATCAAAAAATATTATTTTTTACTTTCATTAGTAATTTAGTCCACAACATTCTCTGGACTGAGACGTCACAAAAAGTCCCGGTGTTGGTCTCTCTTGTCTGCTTTCCATTCCATTTTTACGTATGCACCAATTAATCTAATGTAGACAGTTTTAAAATGTTTACCTGGGAAGTTACCAGACTTTTTAAAAAACATTATAACATTAATAGACATGCAGCATTCAGTCGAGAATAGACAATACAGCCTAATGTCAACCACACTACCCAAGGCCATAGAATAAAACAAAATTCAAAATTAAAGTGAATAAAAATATTAAGCAGAGACTCACAAACACATACATAAAAAGGGAAAAAATATGAATTTAAGTGTATAAACAAATAGCCTATTCCCCCGTTACAATTTAATCCTCCTCCAGGTCATGAGGAAACGTCATAGTCGATAAACTTAATAAAAGGAAACCAGGTTAAATGACAGAGCCCCTGAACGTCAACTTGGTCAATTGTTATTTTGACTATAAAGAATCATTTTCATTACCATTAAACTTCGCTGAATGACTAACGCCTCAGCAGCTGTACTTGCAATGCGGCAAAACATTTATTCCTTGTATTTTGAATGGTTAAAATCAGATGCATATTGAACCAAAACTAGAAACTCCAACTATGTAACTTTCTGTGCAGATGAATACCGTTTTTTGTTCTAAAAAAGTATAAAACTTTGCCCTGAAGGGTAGATTCTGTTCTCTTTGTGAATGTATGTGTAGGTGCAGTTGTGTGAGAACCCCAGCAGAGGGCGCTCACTGCAGTAATAACCTTCAGAGAAGTTTTAAAACTGTTTTTTTCTCTGTTCTCCTCAGTCATTAAAAGAACTCTGCAAAGTCACCGTCAGAGCTGCACTTGTTTTGACTGGGAACATATAGCAGTGGGAAATGTTAATGAGAATCCAAGTCAAAAGCCTGGGAACAGTTGAGAAGCAGAAATATATGTATGCAGTACATATAATACACCCATACATATACATACACAGAACTAGTCATGTTGAGAAAAAATTGACTGGACAATACTACTGAATCGTACGTTAGATAAAATTATAATGTAAATGTGCATATATCCACAGCTTCAAACTCTTATATACTCATTGCCTCCATCAAAATGAGGTTGACAGCCCTGGTCTAAAGAAAGTAATTGAATTATTTTAAAAATAGTTATTATTTATTATTATAATATATAATATATAATAGTTATTATAATTAATATCAAATAGCAGTGAACAAGATCTTTAACCAATTAAAATGACTGCAATATCAGAAACCACACACTTCTACTCTAGCTTCTGGTCTGTTTGTTGATTATTTAGTGAATGCTTAATTCTACCATTGATTGGACACTTGACATTATTTATCCACTCCCCTTTAGTACTTGCATATTTAATTATTTATTAATCCGTTCATTCACGGCGAGCTCCCGTGTGTGTTTTCAAACGGCACAAAGCGCTGTTTATATACATAGTGGTGTAATAATGGACTCTGATTTAAAGATGTATCGACTTCACAGCTAGATCGCACTGTGGCTAACGGGAGCTAACGGAGCTAACGGAGCTAACGGGAGCTAACGGAGCTAACGGAGCTAACGGAGCTAACGGAGCTAACGCTAACTGAAGCTAACGGTTCCAGCTAGCGACGCAGGCTAATGCTAACTGCCCCGAGCTGCTAGCCTGCTTATGGTTAAATCATCTTTATCTCGACGTGGCATCGCATGGAATTTATACTAAACACATACACGCATCTGTATCAGGCATGGACATAGATTAAAAGCGATGTAATATGTTTTAAATTGTGGTTTGCTTCTGGTTTGTGTCAAAAACTGGAGACCACAGCAGCGACCGTGTGTTTACAATATGGCGACTCCCCCCGGGGTTCTCCTGCTATTAAACCGCCATCTTATCAAGCTTTACATTAAACCTCTAATAATACACGCTTTATTTAGACATCATGCGTGTTCTAAGTTCAGTTTTGGGCAAATTCGAACGCGCTATTCTTGTGTAGCTAAATCCATGCGTGAAAGACGAGTTTGTGTCCGTCTAATGCTTGTCCAGTTATGGCCCAGTTCTGATCAAGGCGTGATGAGTACTTTGGCATTCTGCAGACAGGCGCCTTCACACGTGTGTCCTTATAAGGTGAAAACGGGTCTATTACTGTCTGCTTAACTAAACAACTGCAGATGGACACACGCCAGTGGCAGTAATACTTGCTTAACACTGGGACTGCGTATTATCTTCAAGTTTATTTGTATGACAGTGCATAGAAAAGGGAACTCAAAGTGCGTAACAAAACAAGATGGAGACAATCACACAAGGCATTAAATCATAAACGATCACAGTACATTGAATATAGAGTGCAGATGCAATCCTTCCGTTGTATGCACAGCTAAACTGACAATGTTCAAATCTAGGTTAAAAACAGTTCGAGTAGACGCCTGTCCCACATTTTCAGGAAGACTGTTCCAGGTTTTAGCTGCATAAATCTGAAATGCTGCCTCCTTGTTTAGTCCTACATTCTGAAATATAGATTTGAATCATGTAATGTCTCGCATGTTCCACTAGATGGAGACAAAAGGCCAATTTGTGACCCTGAGGCATTGAAGTCCTTTTTACTAGATTCAATCCATATTGTCCTAAATAAAACCATAGACTTTATATAGAGGGACAATGCTAACATGCTCGCTCAATGAAGCCCAATAGGGAAGTGCTCATGAACGAAATGTTGCTCCAACTAACTCTGGCTCCTGTTGACTTGCATGTAAAAGTAAACTCCTTGCTCTGGAACCGTTTGTGTGGCACTCACCAGCGGTCTTGTTTTGTTAAGCACTTTGATAAATGTAATAGAATGTTGTTTTCTCCACAGTAACCCTCCTCTTAGTGAAGAGATGCTGCCTCCTGGGGAGTGGATGTGCCACCGCTGCAACGTTAGGAAAAAGGTCAGTCACTGGTGCAATGGGTTTTCAAAGTCAAACTTTTTAAAGCTGAAACTTTCAAAGCTGGACCTATGTGTGAAAGAAAGCATGTTGTGGTCTGACTTTTTCACATCTAATTGGAAAACAAGTGAACAGAGCTTTTTGGCCTTAGCTCTGATTGTGGATGGTCCTCTTTGTCATACCTTTTTAGATCAGATTTTTTGACAGAAAACTGACCAAGAATACATGCATGTGAAAACCTCAGCACAGAAGAATGGGAAGATTAAAACAGCAGTTCTCTGTGCGCAAAGGTGCTGAAGCTGTTGTGGGTTTTGGCGCCGCTGTCTCGGCTCTGATCCAGTAGAACGCAGAGCTGCACTTATGAAAAGTATGCGGCTCAACATGGCTGTTATTTCAAAGAACGTGGACTATTTTAAACCACCGGTTTCAACCGGTTTATGAGGCTCGGTGGTCGGTCATGAAAATGTATAGTTTTTTACATCCCTAGTCATTCGCGCCACTGCCCTGACGTCATATGAAACCCAAGAATACATTTATTCTCCTAATGTGGTTGTTGTTATTATCATTATAGTGTTTGAACGGTTTGATTCTCTGATCTGTTGTAGTGATTGAATTGAGCTGGTTTTTCTCCTCAGAAGCGAGAGCAGAAGTTGGAGCAGACGAACGGTTTGCCGGAGCGTGGCCTGAAGCGTTCTGTATCTCCGGCCGTGGAGCTGGAGCTGACGCCGGGGCCCCTCAGACTGGACGGTTTACCTCCAGGAGCCGGAGCCGCGGGGCCTGGGCTCCGAGTCGCACAGGTCCGACTCCTGGACCGAAGGTGAGAACACCTCCCTCTGACACACTCTCTCCTCAGAGTTGGATTCTTTTGGAAACTGATCAGAGATTTTAACAAAGCACGAATCAAAACCGGATCTTTCACGGACTCGATAGCTTTACTTTACTTTACTTTACTCTTCACTACTCTACCCTACCCTTCTCTACCCTACCTTACTCTACCCAACTCTACTCGGATCGGGAGTGTTTCCACTGGTCCTGTTTAACCAGTACTAGGTCCCCATTTTTGTCCTGGTTCTATCCAGGCCGAGCTGATTCTAAGTGTCAGTGATTGGCCAGAGTGCTGCTGGAAGTCATGATTACCAAGGAATTTTCACCGTATATTGGTTTGTTATAGGCTAGGTTGCTAGGATACGGTACCACAGCCATTCCCAAACTCAGTAACACCGAGGCCCCCTTAAAAATCTGACGGGTCTGCGTGGCCCCCCAAAATAATAACCAAGAAGACAACATTAAGAATAGGCTCTTCTGGTTATTTTATTTTGGGGAAATAGCCTCTGCTACAAACATTGTAATACAAAAATGATTACAGTGGATTATTCAAGTCAAATAATGAACACAAATATTTTAATATTACAAACAAAACATTATAAATTTAACATTAAATAATATTATTTTTTTAATTTTTTTTATGACCTCCGCGGCCCCCCTGCAGTACCCTCGCGGCCCACCAGGGGGCCGCGGACCCCACTTTGGGAGACACTGCGGTACCAGATACGTAAGTGTAATGGTAATGGAAACGCAACCAGCTGGAGTAGAGCAGAGTAGAGCCTAACCCAAGTTTTATTTTGTTTTGTTTTTTTAAAGATTTCTGACGGGAATAATATATTAACATATTTTCTGGTAAAAAATACTTTTGGTAAGTTGTTCCATAGAGTAACTCCTACTTATAAAACTATTCTAAATCCAGGCACATGATTTTCTTAATTTATTAATTGCTCTGCTGTGTTTGTGCGAATGGCATCAACAAGTATCCATCTACAGTCCTGTGTCCTCTGGTCTCGTGTGGGTAACTGGGGTCTGGTTCCTGGCAGGAGCAGCTCCAGGCCCAGCAGTCGTCCTGGGACCCCCACCTCCAACACCTCCTCCACCCCTACCCCCTCAGAGGAGCAGAACGAGGGGGAGGAGGAGAGCGTGGAGCCGGAGGAGGAGACCAGCGCTCCGGAGCTGGAGGGAGCCGCTCTCTCTGCTCCGCGCCTCAAGAGGCCGTTCCAACTTCTCATCGCCGCCGCGCTGGAGAGAAACCCCACACAGTTCCAGCTGCCCAGCGAGCTCACCTGCACCACAGCGCTTCCAGGTGGGCAGGAGGGGGACTGTGCATGTGTTCTGTTATCGTCTATCTTCGTTTGGAATAGATTGTTTGTTGACTGGTTGTTACTAATATTCAACACAACGATCCACGATCACTGCTATATTTACATTTTTTGATTCAATATACAGTTTTTATGCTCTCTTGTCTCTCTGTGGTGTTTCTCTGGTCTTTCTCTCTCTCTGGTCTCTCCCACTCTTTCTGATCTCTCTGGTCTCATCATAATAGTAAGCCTTTTAAAACAGAATTATTGCCCATTCGTTAGTATCTGCAATTTCTTAAGTTAAATGAAGTCTTGTTTGCCCAGGGTCATTTTCAAATTTGGGAAAGAAAAAACATCTGCTCCCTCTAGTGGTAGCACAGATAATTACAGCCGGAAGTTATTTATCTTTTTTCTCTGGCCTCTCTCTGGTCTCTCTCTGGTCTCTCTCTGGTCTCTCTCTGGTCTCTCTCTGGTCTCTCTCTGGTCTCTCTCTGGTCTCTTTCTGGTCTCTCTCTGGTCTCTCTCTGGCCTCTCTCTGGCCTCTCTCTGGCCTCTCTCTGCCATTCTTCTTGACAAAAACCTTCCAGTTCCTATACATTTTTTCCAGTCTTCTGTAGTCTGGGGCTGGGTATTCCTGGTGTGTGTTGTTGAACATGTCTGTGTGTGTCTGGTTGGACTTGTAGGCAGCAGTAAGCGGCGGAGGAAAGAGGAGCTGCTGGGGAAACCGTTCAGGAGGCCTCAGCACGAACTGGACACGAACGGTCTGGTGCCTCTCCCTGTGAAGGTCTGCTACTGCTGCAACAGGTCTGTGCGTCTGTCAACACAAGAGGCTGTAAACACAAAAAGTTCTCATAAACTCATCATTTTGATAAACCAAAATTATTATTTTTAAATCTGGTTCCCATGTGGTCCTGCTTAAACTCTGCCTCTGTGTTCCTCTGGCAGGAGCTGCAGACTCGCGCCTCTGGTCCAGTGTGACTACTGTCCTCTGCTCTTCCACATGGACTGTCTGGACCCTCCGCTCACCGCACTGCCTGCTGGGAAATGGATGTGCCCCAACCACGTGGAGCACATGGTGGTAAGAGGCACTCTCCGTCATTAGCTCTGTGGGTTCAACTATTCACAGTGATGATGATGATGCTATCTCCGAGGCATGGATGTATTACATTATAGCACTTAGCTTGAGGGCCTACAAAAACACAGATTGAACATTATAAAAGCGGTGGACGTGGCATTTATTGTCATAATTGACCCATTGCAGTCATAGCACTTACTCTTTATTTAATCAGGGAGGCTTTGGGGTAACAGTGACTCAGCTCTCCTAGCTCCTATGCTTGTTCCATTCACAAATATTCAACAAAAACTTCAATCAATCAATCAATCTTTATTTATAGGGCGCTTTTCCTGCACAGGGCAACACAAAGCGCCTCACAGTCCACACCACACAATGCACAAATCATCACCATTAAAATACAATTAAAAACACATATGTAATTAAAAAGCATTAAAATCACATAAGTAATTTAAAAACATAAGAATCACACAAGTAATTAAAAACAAAATAGTAAAAAACACAAAAAGTTACAACAATAAATAACAAGGTGTGTTAAAAAGATACAATTCTCTAGTTGTATGCACAGGAAAAAAGAAAAGTCTTTAACATGGATTTGAACATTGACAGAGAGGCAGCCAGTCTCACATCCTCAGGAAGACTGTTCCAGACATTAGCTGCATAGATCTGAAAAGCAGCCTCCCCCTGTCTAGTCCTGACTCTGGGCACTAACAAGAGTCCCGTCCCTGCGCTCCTCAGAGTCCGGGCTGGTTCATATGGGACTAGCATATCATGGATGTACTTTGGTGCAAGGCCATGGAGAGACTTGTACACCAGGAGAGCTGCTTTAAAGTCTATCCTCTGGGCCACGGGAAGCCAGTGCAGAGACCTGAGGACCGGACTAATGTGGTCGTACTTCCTGGTTCTAGTCAGGACTCGGGCTGCAGCATTTTGAATATACTGCAGCTGTTTTACTGCATGTTTGGAGATACCTGTGAGCAGGCCATTGCAGTAATCCAGCCTACTGGAAACAAAAGAATGGATAAGAATCTCCAAGTCTGCCCTGGACACAATATTTTTAATTTTGGCAATATTTTTCAGATGATAAAAAGCTGCTGATGTTACCGATCCAATGTGGCTATTGAAGTTTAAGTCAGAGTCCATTATTACTCCCAGATTTCTGACCTTATTTAAAGGCCTTAGGGAGAGAGACTGAAGGTGACAAATGACGGTCTCTCTTTGTTTCTCGGGACCAAAGACAATCATTTCGGTTTCGTCCGCATTTAGCTGGAGAAAATTGCATTGCATCCACTCACTGATCCGCTGGATACAGTGAAGGAGTGAGTCCACTGGTCCATGTTCTCCTGCAGTCAGTGAGACATAGATCTGAGTGTCATCAGCGTAATTGTGGTAGGACACTTTCATACTTTGAATTAACTGACCTAATGGCAGCATGTAAATATTGAACAGAAGAGGTCCCAGAATCGACCCCTGTGGCACTCCGCAGGTCAGGGCCATATTATCTGAGACATAGTCTCCAATCTCCACACAATACTTCCTTTCTTCTAGATAGGACCTAAACCAGCTTAGGGCGGTACCAGCAACACCAACCCAGTCCTCCAGTCTCTGCATGAGAATCTCATGGTCAACGGTGTCGAAAGCGGCACTCAGATCTAACATGACTAAAACAGAGACTTTTCCTGCATCAGTGTTAAGCCGAATATCATTTGTTACCTTGACTAGAGCGGTCTCAGTACTGTGGTGTGGTCTAAAGCCAGACTGAAACATGTCAAATGAGTCATTAGATATTAAAAATTCAGTAAGTTGTTGGTAGGCAACTTTTTCAAGAATTTTTCCCATGAATGGCAGATTTGAGATGGGACGGTAATTTTCAAGTACCGCAGCATCCAAACTGCTCTTTTTTAGGAGGGGCCTAATGACTGCCTTTTTCAGGGCCATTGGAAATGTTCCAGATAAAAAAGACATGTTTACTATTTGTGTCAATGAGGGTAATAGACTACACATAACAGACTTCAGAAATCTAGAAGGTAGTACATCCAGACTGCAGGTAGAGGAACTAAGACCTGTGATTATCTTTTTAACAGTTTCATCATTGACAGGTGCAAATTGAGCTAGCTCACAAAGCCTCACTGGATGTTGCATTGTTACTTGTGTTGTGGAGGTGATGGTATTTCTGATACCCTGAACCTTGTCTCTGAAGAACTGTGCAAACTCATTACACCTGGATTTGGAGTAGTGTTCTAATGGCAACTCAACAGGGGGGTTCGTTAATCTATTGATTGTTGAAAATAGAACACGCAGATTGTTGCTGCAGCCTTCAATAGTTTCAGAAAAGTATAATTCTCTTGTTCTACGTAGTACTCTGTTAAACTCACACAACTTGTGTTATTATTGACTCTCGTCCGTTTCTCCTGCAGCTGAACCAGCGCAGCCTGAGCCTCTCGCGGCGGTGCCAGCTCTTCGATCAGTTCCAGGACAGAATGTCTCAACACGCAGTGAAGCTGGACTTTCTGAGGAGAGTCCACCGACCAAACGGCCCCAACCGCAGATCCTCGCACCAGCACAAGAGGACCATCAAGGTACAGTGTTCACATGGTCCAGGCTGCTTCATGTGGGAGAGTTTAGAATAAATACTTGTGTTGTAGAGGTAAGAAGTGGCAAAAATGTGATAAGTGACTTTGACAATCATAGACTTAGATAATCATAGTTATTGATCATTGAATTCTGGTAAAGCACTATATTCTTCTTATCTAAACATTTGTCTGTGTGTCTCTGTGTGTGTCTCTGTGTGTGTCCAGGTCCCAGATGCCATCAAGTGTCAGTACCGCAGTCCCCCTGTGCTGCAGCCGCCTGTGGGAGTGCGGCAGCTGGAGCTGATCTGTGGAGGAGACCTGCAGCCGAAACACATGACGTCTGACAGCGAACAGGAAGAGGTGAGGACCAGCCGGGATCTTACACTCTAGGATTCTGTCAGGGCCTTCTATTAAAGCAGAGAGAGAGATAGAGAGAGACTTTACTAAATCAAATGATTAAAACCACAGATAAACATAATCTCAGGTCTTTTTCTCGATCTCTTCTTCATATTGTGTCTTTTTTTCTTCCAGTGGCTTCAAGACGTCATCTCGCTGCAGTGCAGCATCATGCGACACCTCTCTCTCAAGCAGAGACCTCCCTCAGCGGAGTCCGACTGGAACCAGGTCAAAACCAGCACAAACCAGAGTCCAGACCTGGACCAGGATCAGGACCATAAACCGGCCGCAGAAAGGACTATCCCCTCCCCGGCCCTGTGCCAAAAGCAGCAGCAGCCGCCAGAGCAGGGCCTCTGTAAATGCCTTTCCAAACCCTGTCAGAACTGTAGGAAGCCCAACGGCCCCGTAGGGGTCCAGGACGGGCCCCCAGCCAAGGCCAACGGGCCCCTGGAGTGTCGGAAGCCGGGCGAGCTGAGGCTGACTGTCTCCGTGCTGCCAAACCACGTTGGGGAAGTGAAGAAGGAGCCTGAGAGCTGTCCGTCCGCCCCAACGATACGAAACCAGACCAGCACCACAGACGCACTTTCAAAAGGCGAGGAGAAACGGAATCTCCCCACGTCTTCACCCACTCCAGGTACAGACCACACCCACCTCTTCACCCACTCCAGGTACAGACCACACCCACCTCTTCACCCACTCCAGGTACAGACCACACCCACCTCTTCACCCACTCCAGGTACAGACCACACCCACCTCTTCACCCACTCCAGGTACAGACCACAGTGAAGCAGCGTGAAGTGTTTAGGTGTGTAGCACAGTTTATACACAAGGAAACTCAAACGTGCTGAATAAAACAAGGAAAGAAACATTAAAATCATAGATGATCACAGTACGTTAAAAACATTGTATGGACATCAAACAGAACTGTTCTGAGACTCCCAGATTTGTCTCGCTGTGTCTGTCCCTCTCTCTCTCTCTGCCACAGTGGGTACATCTCAGTAACGCTCTGGTCTTAAACATCACTAAAACCATTAATTCAAATGTCTCTCCGTTTGCAGATGTTAAGTCTGGCTCAGGACTCATCGGCAGCTCTCTCTCCACGGATCACCTCTCGGCTCTCAGAGAAAACCTGGACACGGAAGGAGGTGAAGCTCTCCTCATATTGCTTCTTTCCCACAGAGTTGTCTGAAATACTGAAATCCATCTCTACAACATCAACACAACCTCAACAACTATGGCTTCTGCTATTTTTTTGTATTTATTTTGCAAATCTCTCTCCTATCTACATGTGAGAAATGTGACTAATTTCTGAATATTTGCGTTCAGGTATCGAGTTGGACAAACTGGACGCAGAGATGATAAAGATCTTGGCCTGGCAGAGGATACAGCAGCTGTTCCCCAAGAAGGAGCCCAGCCTTCCCACTCCCCGAGCCGCCTCCCTCACCGCCAAACCTCCTCCTCCCAACGACAGTAAGTCTCACTGCACTACCAGGTCTGGGCAGGGTTTCTCTTCTTCTTTTGCTTCTGAATAACATTTGATTGTTTGTCTTCAGGTCCGAAAAGTGTCCAGGCCAGAGCAGTGTTCTACCCGCTCACAGGGAAAGGGCCAGCGGTCAACATGTGCTACAGGACGCTCTACATAGGAACAGGTGACACTCCACTCTCTCTACAGCTCTCGTTATAAAAGGAGGATTTGTCTGGTGCTGGCATGTCCAAGCTGGTTTCTCTCTGGTCTCTCTCTTCTCTGGTCTCTCTCTTCTCTGGTCTCTCTCATCTCTGGTCTCTCTCATCTCTGGTCTCTCTCATCTCTGGTCTCTCTCATCTCTGGTCTCTCTCATCTCTGGTCTCTCTCATCTCTGGTCTCTCTCATCTCTGGTCTCTCTCATCTCTGGTCTCTCTCATCTCTGGTCTCTCTCATCTCTGGTCTCTCTCATCTCTTGTCTCTCTCTCACTCTCTCGGTGTCTCTCTCTCTCTATCTGGTCTCGGTCTCTCTCTGTCTCTCTGGTCTCGGTCTCTCTCTGGGTTCTCTCTCTCTGTCTCTATGGTCCCCTCTCTCTCTCTCGCGCTCTGGTCTCTGTCTCTATGGTGTCTCTCTCTGTCTCTATGGTCTCTCTCTGTCTCTCTGGTTTCCTTTCTCATCTCTGGTCTCTCTCTCTCCCATCTCTGGTCTCTCTTATCTCTGGTCTCCCATCTCCCCTCTCTCTCTTCTGGCACAAACATGTAGCCCCGCCCCTTCTGTCTAAAAGCTCCAGTCTAAGACAGTGTGATGTCACGTGTTTGTGCAGGTGCTGATATGGACGTGTGCCTTACCACCTACGGTCACTGTAACTACGTGTCGGGGAAACACGCCTGTATTTTCTATGACGAGGTAAAAAACATTTTTTTGAAACGCCCTAAACCATCACTGCATCTGGGGCCGAGGCTGTAGACCCGAGACTGAGGCTGTAGACCCGGGACCGGGACTGAGGCTGTAGACCCGGGACCGGGACTGAGGCTGTAGACCCGGGACCGGGACTGAGGCTGTAGACCCGGGACCGGGACTGAGGCTGTAGACCCGGTAGACCCGGGACCGAGGCTGTAGAGGCTGTAGACCCGGGACCGAGGCTGTAGAGGCTGTAGACCCGGGACCAATAAAGTAGCAGAGGACAGTGAACCCACAGACTAACCAAGTGTTTAAATGTTTGTGTCTCTCGCTGCGTTTCCAGAACACGAAACATTACGAGCTCCTGAACTACAGCGAACACGGCACCACGGTCGACAACGTACTCTACTCCTGCGACTTCTCTGAAAAGGTCTCGCCGTCGCCGCCCAGTGGACTGGTGGCCAAAGTGCAGGGCATCATCCGTGAGTCTCCAACATGTTTGATTCAAGACTTGAACAACACTATTTTACATAACAAACAAACACAATAAAAGTTTGAAAAAGGGATGAAGCAAACACACCTTACCTGCAACACATAGACAATTTGGAACAAAAACATGAAATGACACATACATACTGTATGACTTTTTGACGTTCTGTAAGTGGAGAATGGAATTTAATTTAATTTCTCACTGGTTTCTGCTCTCCTTTCTCTTCTCTTCTCTTCTCTCTGGTCTCTCCTCTCTCCCCTCTCTCTACTCCACTCTCCTCTCTCCCCTCCCTCCCCTCTCACTCTGTCCTCTCCTCTCTCCTCGCTCCCCTCTCTCTCCTCTCTCTCTCTCCTCTCTCTCTCTCCTCTCTCTCTCCTCTCTCTCTCTCTCCTCTCTCTCTCTCCTCTCTCTCTCTCCTCTCTCTCTCCTCTCCCCCTCTTTGCTCTCACAGGTCGCAGTAAGAAGCAGGAGGACACGGCGCCCCTCTCTCTGCTACCTGCAGGGGGAGTCATGAGCAGCCGGTCCCAGGGCCCGTCCGCAGGGGGCGTCTGCGGCTGCAAATCCAGCAGCTCTTCCCTGATCGGGGGAGGCGGGGCGGGGTGGGAGGGCACGGCTCTGCTCCACCACGGCAGCTGCGTCAAACTGGGCTGCCTCCAGTTCGTCTTCAGCGTCACAGAGTTCGCCAAGTCGCCCAAGGAGGAGGAGCAACAACACCGCCTCTCCACCACCCCCAACCTGAACGTCCAGGCCCTCGGCTCGCTGGCGCCCCCTGTGGCCCTCAGCAGTCCCTCCAGTCAGGACGAGATGGAGGCGGAGGGAAGCGAACTGGTACAGGAAGTCCCGCCCTCCTCCTCCTTGTAACGTCCATGTTTAGCTTAGCTCGGGTTGAGTCCAAAAAGTTCACACTATTCCCTATTTACTTATGGTGCTATTTTTAAAGCTGTCCAACGTGAGAATAAGTAGTGAAAATAATTAAAGCTGGGGTATCTAACTTTTTGTTAAGCTTCCATGAATACATTTTGTCCCAACAGAAGAAACATGCATAGACTGTATATGTATGAGAAGCTATTATTTACATAAGCTAGCTTGAGCCAATTTCCTTATAATGGGCATTTGTTCCGACGGCGTTAGCTTTGCGCCATAACGGGCACGTGTTGCTTAGATGGTTGCTAAGGTAAGCGCGAATTTTGAGCCAAAATTTGACCGAAAAACAAATCCCTATTGGGCTTCGTTGAGCTAGCAGGTTAGCATTGTCCATCTTTATACAGTCATGATTCATTCAAAGTTAGGTACTCCAGCTTTAAAAATGAGAGTGTGACAAATTTAAAGCAATTGACAAGATTCCCCAAAAAGATCTGTTTGTATTAAAGGTGACAGCGAGTGAGAACTAGCTAGCCTCTAAAACATGTCTGAAATATCGAGTTTACTTTCACAGTCTATTACCACTTGAATTTCAGTCCGATCTGATTAGTATTTTATAGAAATTTGACGTTTGGGGAATAGTGTGAACGGTCGGACACGGTTGGTGTGACGTGATTGGTTGGTTTCTGTCGGGGCTGAAGTATTTCTCAAGTTTTGTTTTTACGTTTTATTTCTGTTCAAAAATTTGGATTCTGACAGTTCCAAAAACACGTATGTACTTTAAGAAGCTCCAGAGGATTTCAATAATTACAGAAGTATTAGAGAGAGAGAGAGCTGATAGAGACCCCGAGAGAGATAGAGACCCGACCGACCAGAGAGAGACCCAGAGACCCCCAAGAGAGAGAGAGAGAGAGAGAGAGAGAGAGAGACCGACCGACCGACTAGAGACCGACCTCTGATCTACTCACGCCGCTGCAAAGAAACCAGAAAAGTTTTCTTCTGACTTTAAATAAACTGTCGTGTGATAAATCCATGAAACGGCTGCTAAAGGAGAGCCACACTGGCCTTTTCCATATCCAATTGAAATGACTCTTTTCTACCACTTTTATATAAAAACCAAATGTTATAACGATAAATGACTGCACCAGCACGTTTAAAGTATCCACATGGTTCCCAAGTATTCGCTTCTGGTCAAAGCACTTACAACCTCAGAAATTTGGGACACTGGTTTGGTTTGTTCAGAAATGTTAGAATTTCTGTTTTTAAATCTTTAGACATCCACAGAATCAAATCAACCAATCACGTTTGTTTGGAAGGTTATTGGGTTTTGAACTGACAATTTAGGAAAAGTTTGTTTCATTTTTACTGTTTTTCTTGCTGCATTTCCGGCTTGAAATGAGGAATTATGTGTTAAAATCACATCTTTAAACAAGTTAAATTATTTTCATCACTGGGGGCCACGACCTGCTTTAGTCATTCACACACCCTTCTGTTAAAGACAGATTTAACCATATTTAAAGTAAAAGTATTATACTAGATTAACTTTTTGAGCGTCTAACCATGTTTACAACACTGGTCCTCATCAGTCACGGACCTAGAGTTGTGTTTTGCACCATCAGTGTAGCTCCGCCCCTTCTGTCTCAAAGCTCCCATCTCAGTCCTGTATCACTGATGTCACACTCAGAGCCGTTTTTTGTCTTTTTAAAACAAACTTATTGCACATGAATTAGTTTTGGTAATGTCTCAGGTGAAGTCACATTTATAATCGCATACATCCAGGAAGTTTTTTGTAATTTGGACATAAACAGATGCTATTTCTCCCTCTGGTGGCTGCTTAGGGAACTACAGACAGAAGCAATTCAAATTCTACAACGTGAAACGACAAAATGGTCTTATTGCAGTCTTTTAATGGCCGGAATATAATGCAGTCTTTTTCTTCTTTAGGAGTCAAATTGTGCTAAAATCAAGAAATTTTTTGCTCATTTCGTTTTTGCTCATTTCTTGCATTTTTATAGATTTTTTTTTTTTTTTTTTTGTTGCAAAGAGCTGGTTTGATCCTTGACAAATTATGGCCCTAATCTTAATCCAATGACCTTCCATCCACACGTCTCGATGAAGGGAACACTGCAGACGGTTTTGCTCCACAGGGAAACTCTTTATTTTTGTAACTTTATTTTATTTTTTACTCTTTTGCATGAACTTGAAGTATTATTGACAATCTGTTGTTTTTTCAAAATGGCCGACACACACACACTTTGTTCTTTGTTCGGACAATGTTTGGATTCTCGGGCTTTGAACCTTGTTATTGCCAGTATATCCATGCGTTCTATACATATATATAAATATATAAATATATTCTAAAGATATTACTTTGTCAGTCTCTTAGCATTTATTTTTAGTATTAAACTCATAACATTCTTTTTATTTTTGCTGCTTTTTGCACCACTGGTAGCTATTGATGTATGAGATCCATACACTATTCTACATATGTACATGTTGTAAATACTGGGATTTCGTGTTTAGAATTCGCCATTTTTTGGATTTTAACTGTACAGCGCAGTGACTTTGATACCGTCGGATACTTTTGCGCTTTTTTTCTCCCCGTTTTTGCCGTAGCCACAAAAAACACACACTTTTGTAAATAAATGAGAAGTGACGGGCTGTTTTAAGCACTGGTTTGAACCGTGGTGCTGTCTCTGTACAAAAGCACTGTCTGTTCTTTGGCTTTGTCTGTTCAAATGTGTAAATACTAAAAGATTTTCTAAGAATGAACTCGTGTTTGGGCTGGTGTCTTCTTCCACTCAGCGTCACCGGATTCTGATATTTGTACAGGTTTAGATTCAATTCAATTTACTCTTGTTTTTCCCTAAATCACAACAGGAGTTTTCTCAGAGGACTTTACAAAACTGTTGAATTCGCCAACACAGATTCAAACACAAGAAATGCAACGATAGAAACCACATTGGTATTGGTCCATAAGGCGCACATGACCCTCAGAAGTACTCACAATGGCAATAAAAATAGAGAAACTAGGAATTTGGTTTGGCTCAAGGTCCAAACAAGTTAAAAAAACCAAAAAAATCTTCATATAATTTCTTAAAAGTGCGACTATACATATAGTCCCATAAAAAACAGAGCACTGGGCTCAGAACCAGGAATGATACACTATAAATGAGTTTTATCCAGTTTCCAGCTGTGGTCTCAGGTCAGACTGATGTCGCTGCAGGACACCATCTGAGATCAAGTATTCAGCCTCATTCCAATTGAAATACAACCTAAACGACCCACACATTTTCTCTCATAACCATAAATATACGTGTGCATATTCATGTGCAAGTGCGTTTTTTCACATTTTCCTGCCCCACAGAAGGCTAAAGTGGAGGCACATTAGTTTCAACAGCGGAGATTGGTGTGACTACATCTGTTAATATTTAGTCGATGCTCTATCATCTGGACGTTACAAGTTTGACCACATTTTCATAACCCAGCATGCATACATACAATTTATTAGTGTATGTTTTTACATTAAAAACTAAGACTGGAGCCAAAACCAGCTAAATTTCACCAGTTGGGGAATTCTTCTCTGAATCGACAATCTCCTTGAAAACTATATAACATAATTCTACACAGACTTAATCAGCTTCCCATGTGGATTAGCTGCTAATTAGTGAGGGCTAATATAAAGTGTTAAATCTACTGCTATGAATCAAACATATTCCCAGTGTTTTCAAAGACCACATCACACAGATCCACAAATCATAGTTTTATTCCTGTTAAAATCACATTATGTACAAAAATATACTTTTGAGGCGTCTCGTTTCAAAAGAGTCACAGAACCACAAGGACTTTTTTCAAATAATCTGCAGAAACAGTTCTTAAATACAAGTCTGTCCTTTATTTACACATCTGTGACTGATCCACACGTTTGTCCTGTCGGTGCGAAGACAGAAAACCAGTTTAGCCGAAACTTCCCCATCATTAAGACAAGGTTCTGAAGTTCTGACAGAATGGGTTTTTAGATAGAGAAGAATAGAGCAGAGTAGATTGAAGTCGAATTGGGTAGAGAGGAGTAGGGTAGGGGTTGGATGTCGTTGGAAAGCTTCGAAACTGCACATTCTGGGTCAAGTTGCTGGTTTTTCTCATTTTCTGTGGGAAAAACCCTGAAGCTGAGAACGATGAGACCAAAAAGAGTGAAGCAAAGTGTGTTTTTCTCCCAACGGCGGCGACGGCGAGATCTCAGCTGTATTTGTAGATGAAGGGACAGTTTGAGTGAGAGCCCTGGCAGCAGAGACGATGATCCCAAAGACTGGAAGCAGAGCAGAACCCACCGGGACAGAACCCACCGGGACAGAACCCACCGGGACAGAACCCACCGGGACAGAACCCACCGGGACAGAACCCACCGGAACAGAAGCCAAAACAGAAGAGAGACAGAGAGAAAGACGTGAGAGAAATCACCAGGAGACACGGAAAACTGAGGAAAGCGTGTGGAGTGGAGGCTGTTCTGGGATCAGCCACAACATTACGACATTACTATGTGGCGCCATCTGCAGGTGAAAGCCAGATAGCTAATCAGGACAGGGCCAGGATCAAAAACATAGTGTCTAAAGCAGACCTCGCACCAAAATATATTAGTGACATGTTAGTCCCATATGAACCAGCCCGGACTCTGAGGAGCACAGGGACTGGACTCCTGTTAGTGCCCAGAGTCAGAACTAAACATGGGGAGGCTGCTTTTCAGATTCATGCTGCTAAAATCTGGAACAGTCTTCCTGAAGATGTGAGACAGGCCTCTTCTCTGACAATGTTTAAAACCAGGTTAAAGACAGTTCTGTTTAACTGTGCATACAACTGAGGGATTTTATATTTGTATCTTTCTTTTTAATGTTCTGTGATTATTCATGATTTTAATGCTTTCTTGTTTTGTTCAGCACTTTGAATTGCCTTGTGTATGAATTGTGCTATACAAATAAACTTGCCTTGCCTTGCCTTGCCTTACTGTGATGGGAGACCTCTGGGAACAGTGGGGCGGCTGTGGCTGTAAAGTGCCAAACTGTGCTTGTGTCCTTAGCCAAGACACTTCCCCCACATTAGAATGAGTCTGGTGTGTGTGTGAATGGTTGTGTGTTGGTGGGAGGGGCTGATGGCACAGACTGGTTGCCTCGCTTCTGTCACTGTGCCCCAGGGCAGCCATGGCTACAGTAGTTTATGTTTGGAGTGAATGAAAATTGACATGTGAAGCTACTTTGACTGTCCAAAAAATGAGCTTTATAAAACCAATGCATTATCACTATCACTCATTAACGGTATATAAATTAACAATGCTAACATGCTAGCTTAATGTAGCCCAATAGTGAAGTGCTCCTTGTTTTGAGTTGCCTTGTTTATGAACTGTGCTATCACTTTGCAGTGAAACAGAATGGGCCCAGTTATAATGTTGTGGCTGATCTACAATATTCACCAAAAAGCAGTCGTCACATTAAAAAGGCCTTTTCTCAGCAGGTTTTAACAGAATTCACATTTATGTACATCACTTTTACACCTTCCCTGATCTCTGGACCCGGCTTCTCTCGTCTGCATGATGGAGGCAGAGTTCTGGTGTAGTTTGGTGTAGTTTGGTGTAGTTGCCGCGGACAGGAGACAGGGGGCAGTCTAGGATACGTACTCTTGGGTTTTCCAGAAGTGTCCCGGGTGCGAGAGGCGGCGGTTCAGTTTGGGAAGTTTCTCCAACATGTCACTGAGCTGCGTGAAAGACGGACGATCCGAGGAGTCGAAAGACCAGCAGGAGGACAGGATCTCCTATATACACAGAGAGAGAGATCAGAGAGAGCGACCAGAGAGAGAGCAAAGAGAGAGAGAGAGACCAGAGATAGATGGAGACCAGAGAGAGAGGCCAGAGATAGACCGAGAGAGACCAGAGACAGAGACCAGAAACAGAGAGAAAGGCCAGAGAGAGAGAGAGACCAGAAAGAGACCAGCGAGATTGAAAGTGAGAGAGACCAGAGAGAGAGACCAGAGAGAAAGAGGCCAGAGAGAGAGGCTAGAGAGAGAGACTAGAGAGAGAGAGGCAAGAGAGAGACCAGAGAGAGAGAGAGAGAAGCCAGAGAGAGACCAGACTTTTGTCCCTCTTTCTAAAACAGTCCGGACCCCTCTGCTCTACAGTCGATTGGTCCTGGTCTCACCGTGACTTCTTTTCCGAGATGAGCCTGTCCCAGTTCCCTCCTGATGCCCGTCCCAGAGCCCAGGAGCCAGAGCCGGGCCTCCACCGGCTGCTGCTCCAGGGGCCACACCCCGGTCTGCAGCTCGTACCAGATCGTCCTGAGAGAGAGAGAGAGAGCCATGGATGGAGAGAGCACACATGGTCTCAGTTAGCTGGGTTTACTCTGGAGCCATTAGGCAACGCAAGCCAAATGTATTTATATTGCACCATTCAAGCACAAGCAATAAAACATTTTAGGAATAAAAACATGGAAATAAAAAAAATACTTATAAACACATACACAGATACACATACACACACATACACATACACAAATATATACATACATACACATACACACATACACACATATATACATACATACACATACACACATACATACACATAAACACATACACACATATACACACACATACAGTACACACATACATACATGCATCATACACATATACACATACACAGATACACGTACACACATACTTACACATACACACATACATACATGGCTCACTCGACACTAAACTGTACCAATGCTCGATCTAGCTGCAAGCGACAATAAAATAAATGTATGAACTAAAAATGTTTGTACCTAAACATGTTTTAATACTGTGTAGCCTATATACAGTATATACATAGTATATTCTGAGAAGGGCAGCTGAAACTATTTCAAGAGGAATGGATGCCTTTCAAAACATTTTTATTGAACTTTGGGGACATACAGTAATTGTTACATTTAGGACATGTTGTGTTGGAGGCTTTGTGAATGTGAGAATGAACAGGACAGAGAAGACTATTTAATGGTTAATGGTTGGAGATATAACTATAATCAATATTTAATTATAGATTTTACATTATGCAAAAAAGAATTATTCAATAACTGTTGACAAACTGGGCGTTTTGGACCTAAAAATTGAGTCAATTTTTGTTACGTCCAAAACGGCTGTCTTGGAGCGCTGATAATAACACGGGCGTGATTGAATCTGTGTTTAAGTAGAGCGCCCTCAACTGGACAAACAAGCTGGGGACAAAACAAGAGTCTGTGAACATTCAGCGGTAACGGCCGCGGACATTTCGGGACTTTTTGTGTCATTGACCAAAATGTAACACATTGATACAGTTTAGTGTGGAGTGAGCCACATACATACATACACAAACACACATACGCACATACGCACATACATACATACATGCACACATGCACACATGCACACATACACAAAAACACATACGCACATACATACATACATACATACGTTCATACACACATACACGCATACATGCACACATGCATAACATACATACATACATACAGTACATACACACACATACATGCACACATACTGTATATACATACACACATACACATTGAGAGACACGTACACACACACACACACACACATACATTACATACACACATACACACGTACACACGTGCACACATGCACACATACATACAGTACACACATACACATACACACATACATACATACAGAGACACGTACACACACACACACACATACATTACAAACACACATACACACGTACACATACACATATACGGTTAGCCGTTCGCGAGCACAATAGCCGAATAGCTGTGTTTTAATGTCTGATTTAAACACATATATTATTGGAATAGTTCTCAGTTGATGTGGAAGAATTCTAAGTTAGAAAACAGAAAATAAAACAAAAGTCAAACCTCTTGAACTGTTGGAATTCCACCCGAAAGCAGCAAATCCCAATCCCACTGTGAGTAGTCTGTATTTATTTGCAGTATACAAATATATCAGAGAGCATCTGTAGAGTTTTACCCAAAAGCGTAAACATCCGCAGCTTTGGAGAACGGCAGCTGGTCTTCGTCCTCGTCTGGTCTCATCTTCCTCACGATCTCAGACGCTAAATAAAAAAGCCAACCACGAGGAATCCTCAGAACACTGCTCCTCCTGCAGAGACATGGACAGATGTGGTTTAAGGAAAGAGAGGAGGAGGCACAGCAGCAGTTTTTAAAGATTGTATTGTCTCCCATAGAGTACCTCTTGGGAAATTTTCCTCATTTGAGTATGTCTCTTTTAAAATAGAACAAAAACAATCTTCTATTCTTATTATTGTTGTGTACAAGCCGCCACAGTCATGTCATAGTTTCACTGATCATTTCACCGAGTTGCTTTCAGTTGTGTGCACAGACTTTGATAGTTTAGTCGTCATAGGTGATTTTAATATACATGTAGATAACGTTAATGATAGATACGCGAAAGAGCTGAGCTCTGTGCTGGAAACCTTTGGTCTCACTCAGCATGTGAGTGGCCCCACCCATAGCAGAGGACACACTCTCGATCTGCTAATTACTAAAGGGGTTAATATCTCAAATGTAAATGTGGCCAATGTTGCTCTGTCAGATCATTTCTGTGTATTTTTTGATATGTGTCTCAATAGTAAAGCACGAGCTGAATCCTCAATTGTTAGAAGAAGAAGACACATAAACAAAAATACAGGTGAACTTTTCATGGGGATGATAAACTTTGATAACACGTTGTGTTCTACTGTGGATGAATTACTTAACTCTGTCACCTCTAGTGTTTTGGATGTTCTGGACACGATTGCTCCTGTAAAGGTCAAAATTGTTACAAATAAGCAAAAAGCGCCATGGACAAAAGCAGACTCTGTCAGGGCACAGAAGAGAGAGTGCCGGAGAGCCGAGCGGAAGTGGCGAAAGTCAAATCTCCAAGTTGACCATGAGATCTTCAAAGATGCATTGTGCAAGTTCAACAGTGTGCTACGTAGAACGAGGGAAACTTATTTTTCCGAAACAATCGAAGGTTGCAGTAACAATCTACGCGTTCTGTTCTCAACAGTAAATAATTGGATAAATCCCCCTGTTAAGATGCCATCAGAGCTTACCTCCAAAACCAAATGTAATGAGTTTGCAGAGTTTTTTAATGACAAAGTCCAAGGCATCAAAAATGCCATCACCTCCACAGTAGAAATTACAATCCAACAGCCAGTGAAGCTTTTTGGGCTGACACACTTTACACCAGTACAAAATGAAACTGTCCAAATGATAATTACAAGTCTGAGTTCTTCTACATGTAGCCTGGATGTATTACCTCCTAGATTTCTTAAATCTGTTCTGAGCAGTATTTTACCTTCACTCACGCATATAGTAAATATGTCTCTTGAATCTGGAACATTTCCAATGGCCCTGAAAACGGCAGTCATCAGACCCCTCCTAAAAAAGAGGAGTCTGGATGCCTTGGCACTTAAAAGTTATCGGCCCATTTCAAATCTGCCTTTCATGGGTAAAATTCTAGAAAAAGTTGTCTATCAACAACTTACAGAATTTTTAATAATCAATCACTCTTTTGATATGTTCCAGTCTGGCTTTAGACCCCACCACAGCACAGAGACCGCTCTAGTGAAGGTAACAAATGACATCAGACTTAACACTGACGCAGGAAAAGTCTCAGTTCTTATCCTGTTAGATTTAAGTGCTGCTTTCGACACTGTCGATCATGGTATCCTCATTCAGAGACTTGAGGACTGGGTTGGTGTTTCTGGAACAGCCCTAAGCTGGTTTATATCCTACCTACAGGACAGAAAGTATTTTGTGGAGATCGGAAACTGTATCTCAGACCATCTGGCCCTAACCTGCGGAGTGCCACAGGGCTCAATCCTGGGGCCTCTCCTGTTTAATATTTACATGCTGCCTCTGGGTAGGTTAATACACAGTAATAACGTGTCCTATCACAATTATGCTGACGATACTCAGGTCTATGTGTCCCTGACAGCAGGAGAACATGGACCAGTGGACTCGCTCCTTCACTGTATCCAACAAATCAGTGATTGGATGCAAAATAACTTTCTCCAGCTAAACACAGAAAAAACTGAAATTATTGTTTTTGGACCTCAAAAACAAAGAGAGAGCGTTATCTTCCACCTCCAGTCTCTCTCCCTAAAACCCTCAACTCAGGTCAGAAATCTAGGAGTAATAATGGACTCAGACTTAAATTTCAATAGCCACATATCATCTGTGACATCATCAGCTTACTTCCACCTAAGAAACATTGCTAAAATTAAAAACATTGTGTCTAAAGCAGACTTGGAGATTCTTATCCACGCATTTGTCTCTAGTCGATTGGACTACTGCAATGGCTTGTTCACAGGTCTCTCTAAACAAGCGGTAAAACAGCTGCAGTACATCCAAAATGCTGCAGCTCGAGTCCTGACTAGAACCAGGAAGTACGACCACATTAGTCCGGTCCTCAGGTCTCTGCACTGGCTTCCTGTGGCTCAGAGAATAGATTTTAAAGTAGCTTTACTTGTGTACAAGTCTCTCCATGGCCTCGCACCAGGGTACATCCGCAACATGTTGGTGCCATATGAACCAACTCGGGCTCTGAGGAGCACAGGGACTGGACTTCTGTTAGTGCCAAGAGTCGGAACTAGACATGGGGAGGCTGCGTTTCAGATTCATGCAGATAGAGTCTGGAACCGTCTGTCCGAGAGTGTGAGACAGGCGTCTACTCTAGCAGTTTTTAAAACTGAACTGAAAACAGTTCTTTTTAGCTGTGCATACAAGTGAATGATTTTATATTTGTTTTTATCTTTAATCTTTTTAATGCACTATGATTATTTATGATTATTTATGATTTTAATCCCTTGTGTGATTTTAATGTTTTACGGTTTTTAACTACTTGTGTGATTTTATATATCTTGTGCTCTTAATCTGTCCTTTTATGTTTACTTAAATTCTAATGTTTGATGATTTATGCATGATGTTATATGGGTTGTGAGGCGCTTTGCGTTGCCTTGTGTAGGAAAGGCGCTCTATAAATAAACGTTGATTGATTGATTGAGAGAGGGAGAGAGAGAGGAGAGAGAGAGCAGAGAGAGAGGAAGAGAGCAAAGAGAGAGAGGGGGGAGCAGAGAGAGGAGAGAGGGTGAGATAGCAGAGAGAGAAAGCAGAGAGAGAAAGAACAGAGAGAGAGGATAGAGAGAGAAGAGAGAAAGAAAGAGGATAGAGTGAGAGAGATAATAGAGAGCGAAAGAGAGAGCAGAGAGAGAGGGAGGGAGACCAGAAAGACCAGAGGGACAAGAGAAAAGAGAGGGAGGAGAGAGAGAGAGAGAGAGAGAGAGAGAGAGAGAGACCTAAATCCTCTTCTCTGTCAGGTAGAGTCAGACTGACCTTCTCTCGTCCACGACCCCTGACATCCCGAACAGGCCGAAGTCTGAGATCACCACTTTGTTTGTGTCGTAGAAGATGTTCTTGGATTTCAGGTCTTTGTGGACGATGTCTTTGGCGTGAAGGTAACTCATGCCCTGGAGAGAGAGAGAGAGAGATCTTTGAAAAGGTAAAAAAGGAAAAAGTACACTAAAAATACTCACAGGGTGTTTTGAAATATGCTACGAGAGCAGAGAGAGAGAGGAGTGAGAGAGAGGAGAGAGAGCAGAAAGAAAGAGCAGAGAGAGAAGAGGAGAGAGAGCAGAGAGAGAGAGAGAGAGAGCAGAGAGAGAAGAGGAGATAGAGCAGATAGTAAGGAGCGAGAGAGAGCAGAGAGAGAGCAGAGAGATAGAAGAGACAGCAGAGAGAGGAGAGAGAGAGCAGAGAGAAAACAGAAAGAGAGCAGAGAAAGAGGAGAGAGAGCAGAGAGAAAACAGAAAGAGAGCAGAGAAAGAGGAGAGAGAGCAGAGAGAAAACAGAAAGAGAGCAGAGAAAGAGGAGAGAGAGCAGAGAGAAACCAGAGAGAGACCAGAGAGAGACTAGAGAGACCAGTTCTATACAATTGTAATTTAGCTTTTTTTAAATTCAGTCACTACATCTGGTCATTACTCACCACAGAGATAATCAACTTAATAGTTTATACATTTGTGTTTCTCTCTCGTTACTTCTAGATAATTCTGGAGATGAATGATGAAAAGTCTCACGTTGACGATGTCTTGAGCGATCTGTTTGGTTTTGTTGTTGTCCAGAAGTGAGGCTCTCTCTCTCACCACAGAATACAGAGTCACACCACGACAGAAACTGCACAGACACACAACACGTTTATAATGGAATATATTCTCATGCTGTTTGAGAGAGACCAGGGAGACCAGAGAGAGACCAGAGGAGACTGAAAAGATACCAGAGGAGACTGGAGAGAGACCAGAGAAAGACCAGAGGAGACTAGAGAGAGACCAGAGGAGACTAGAAAGAGACCAGAGAGAGACCACAAGAGACTAGAGAGAGACCAGGGAGACCAGAGAGAGGCCAGACAGAGACCAGAGGAGACTAGGGAGAGACCAGAGGAGACCAGAGAGAGACCAGAGGAGACTAGAGAGGGACCAGAGGAGACTAGAGAGAAACCAGAGGAGACTAGAGAGAGACCAGAGGAGACCAGAGGGAGACTAGAGGGAGACCAGAGAGAGACCAGAGAGAGAGGTGTTAAACCTGGTCCTCACCTGGTGATGATGGCGAGGTGGGGCGGGGCCATGCAGGCTCCCATGAACAGAATGACGTTGTCGTGCCGTGTCTGTCTGTAGTTCATCACCTCCTTCTTGAACAGTTTCAGATGTTCCTGGTTGTTCCCGTCCACCTCCACCAGACGGATGGCCACCTCCCCGTGCCAGCGGCCGCGGTGCACCCTCCCCCAGCGACCCTGAGACCACAGGGAGAGGTGTAAGAGACCAGAGAGACCAGAGAGAGAGAGATTAGAGAAAGACCAGAGAGACCAAAGAGAGCAGAGAGAGACCAATGAGGGAGACCAGAGAGAGATCAGAGAGAGAGATCAATGAGAGTGAGACCTGGTGCCCACAGGGAGAAGCTTGGGGTAAGTATGTAGCCCCCGACCTGGTAGGGTCTTTAGTCCTGGATCTACAGCCGCAGTCCTGGATCTACAGTCTCAGTCTTGGATCTACAGTCTCAGTCCTGGATCTACAGTCTCAGTCTTGGATCTACAGCCTCAGTCCTGGGTCTACAGCCTCAGTCCTGGGTCTACAGCCTCAGTCCTGGGTCTACAGCCTCAGTCCTGGGTCTACAGCCTCAGTCCTGGGTCTACAGCCTCAGTCCTGGGTCTACAGCCTCAGTCCTGGGTCTACAGCCTCAGTCCTGGATCTACAGCCTCAGTCCTGGATCTACAGCCTCAGTCCTGGATCTACAGCCTCAGTCCTGGATCTACAGCCTCAGTCTTGGATCTACAGTCTCAGTCTTGGATCTACAGTCTCAGTCTTGGATCTACAGTCTCAGTCCTGGATCTACAGTCTCAGTCTTGGATCTACAGTCTCAGTCTTGGATCTACAGCCTCAGTCTTGGATCTACAGCCTCAGTCCTGGATCTACAGCCTCAGTCTTGGATCTACAGCCTCAGTCCTGGATCTACAGTCTCAGTCTTGGATCTACAGTCTCAGTCTTGGATCTACAGTCTCAGTCCTGGGTCTACAGCCTCAGTCCTGGGTCTACAGCCTCAGTCCTGGGTCTACAGCCTCAGTCCTGGATCTACAGCCTCAGTCCTGGATCTACAGCCTCAGTCCTGGATCTACAGCCTCAGTCCTGGATCTACAGCCTCAGTCCTGGATCTACAGTCTCAGTCTTGGATCTACAGCCTCAGTCCTGGGTCTACAGTCTCAGTCCTGGGTCTACAGCCTCAGTCCTGGGTCTACAGCCTCAGTCCTGGGTCTACAGCCTCAGTCCTGGATCTACAGCCTCAGTCCTGGATCTACAGCCTCAGTCCTGGATCTACAGTCTCAGTCTTGGATCTACAGCCTCAGTCCTGGGTCTACAGTCTCAGTCCTGGGTCTACAGCCTCAGTCCTGGGTCTACAGCCTCAGTCCTGGATCTACAGCCTCAGTCCTGGATCTACAGTCTCAGTCTTGGATCTACAGCCTCAGTCCTGGGTCTACAGTCTCAGTCCTGGGTCTACAGCCTCAGTCCTGGGTCTACAGCCTCAGTCCTGGGTCTACAGCCTCAGTCCTGGATCTACAGCCTCAGTCCTGGATCTACAGCCTCAGTCCTGGATCTACAGTCTCAGTCTTGGATCTACAGCCTCAGTCCTGGGTCTACAGTCTCAGTCCTGGGTCTACAGCCTCAGTCCTGGGTCTACAGCCTCAGTCCTGGGTCTACAGCCTCAGTCCTGGGTCTACAGCCTCAGTCCTGGGTCTACAGCCTCAGTCCTGGATCTACAGCCTCAGTCCTGGATCTACAGCCTCAGTCCTGGATCTACAGCCTCAGTCCTGGATCTACAGCCTCAGTCCTGGGTCTACAGCCTCAGTCCTGGGTCTACAGCCTGTCTGTCCGTGGATCCATCGCTCACAATGGGCCTCCCCAAGGTTTCTGACTCATTTCCCTCTGTTTTCCAAGACATTTATTAAAATTTATGGACAACTCTCTCCCCATCGACCAATGACTATGTGTTTGTTATTATTGCATTTCCTGTGTTTGAACGGTTTGATTCTCTGATCTGTTGTCCTTCTGTTGAGTTTAGTAGTTTAGTTTGAGTTTATCAGTAGTCTGTCCTGTACCTTCCCGATGAGCTCTCCCAGCTCCAGTTGTTCGTAGGGGATGTTCCACTCCTGCAGGTAGACGCTGTTCTGACTGATCTTCCTGTGGAGGTTTCCCCCAAACTTGTGCTCTCTCCTGCAGGAGGGGCGCAGGTCGTCCAGGCCGTCCTCATCCAGGTCCTCAGGCTGTGGATCTGCAGACCCCGACTCCTCTGACTCCAACTGTCACAGAGAACAGCACGAGTCACAGCTGCACCACTATCACAGTACTTTAACAATTTTAATCTCCATTTTCTCAAACACAGATATTCTTTCTGGAGTAAAGCTGGAGCAGATAGTACAGTCTTTGTCAATAATAATAATAATAATAATAATAATAATAATAATAATAATAATAGAAATAATAGTAATAATAATAACAATAGAAATAATACAAATAATAATAATAATAATAACAATAGACTGGAGATAGCACTTTTAGCTTTAGCACAATTTAATTATTTTTCTCTGTACACAGTGGTGGTAAACTACTACTATAGGGAGGCTACTAATCAAAACACACACACAGAGACACACTGACACACACTCACACACACACACACAAACACTTTACCACAGACCTGTTCAGGAACCTCCGAGACTTCTTCTTCTGCCTCATTCTCCTGATGCGATCTGAACAGAAAGATTAGATTATTATTGTTTTAATATCAGTTCTTCCTGAAAACTATCTCTCTGTCTCTCTCCCTCTGTCTGTCTCTCTCGCTCTCTCTCTGTATCTGTCTCACTCTCGCTCTCTCTCTCTCTGTCTCTCTCTCTGTCTCTCTCTCTGTCTCTCTCTCTGTCTCTCTCTCTGTCTCTCTCTCTGTCTCTCTCTCTCTCTCTATCTCTCTCTCTATCTCTCTCTCTATCTCTCTCTCTATCTCTCTCTCTATCTCTCTCTCTGTCTCTCACCCAGAAGTGAAACCACTGGAGTTCTGGTCTTCTGCTGAAACAGGAGGATCTGAGGAGCAACGAGAGAAACACATTTATCATTATTATTATTATTAATATTATTATAAGTAAGAGAGTAAGCAATCTTTATTTATGTATATTTGTTCAAGGGCCAAAAGAATAGAAGAGATTTACTTTTCTTATAGTTGTTTTTTTACAGTATGATATTTGGACATTTTTCTGAAAACCAAATGTGTTTATTGTTAAGAATTAACCAAAACTGGGACAAATGTAAAGTGAAACAAACTGTTTTATACTTAACTATTTGACTTGTAATGATGTGTTTGCTTAAAATGTGGAATAAATTACATTTTGGTAGTTTTCTTGAGAAAATAGATGGTGTATAAAATTCCATGGTAACCGTCTATTACCATCAATGCAGCAAGTTAATAATTGGAAATAATTTTAGGGGACACTAAAAATGGTATTGCGAGCCAGATTCTTCCCTCGAGCCAGATTTGTCCCTCGAGCCAGATTCTTCCCTCGAGCCAGATTCTTCCCTCGAGCCAGATTCTTCCCTCGAGCCAGATTCTTCCCTCGAGCCAGATTCTTCCCTCGAGCCAGATTTGTCCTTCGAGCCTGAGTTTCACACACCTGTTGTTTATGATTTTAGATTTTGTGTTTGCAGACCTGGGAAGTGGAAGCGCTGGCCTCTGTGTGCAGGCGATGCATTAGGGGTGGTACTGGGAGGGGTGGTCACACTGTGGGGGCTGCTCTGGTGACCGTGGGGGGAAGATGGAGCAGATGACGTGGCTGAAGACGGATTACTGCTGGAGTATCGTAGAGAGGAGATCGCCGGCACTTCCTGAGGGAACACAGCAGAATATTACACCTGAGCAGAGTTGGGAGTAATGCGCTACAAAAGTTATTACTTTAATGTTTTGAATTTTTCTGTGAGCAATGTGGGGCTTTTTTTTTTATTTAAACTGTATAATATTTTACTTGGTACAAAGGTCAGTATTGTTGCATTGTTGCAAAGATGTGGAACATAAAGTTAAGTTTCAGTTCACGGACTAAAAGCTCTATGAACCTCAGGCTAGCATCATAAGCTACATTTAGTTTGTATTTATATATTTGGTGAAACTAACTTAAAAGTGAGGAATGTGAGATTGACAGACAGATCGATGCAGGCTCAGTCCAAGCTCAGTCTAGCCTCAGTCCGGGTTCAGTCTATGTTCCGTTCAGGTCCAGTGCAGGTCCAGTCCAGGTCCAGACTCACCCTCTTGACCAGAGCTTTGGGCAGAGTGCAGAACTGAACGGGCAGCTCCACCGCGTGGTCGATCCGGTTGTTGATGTCTGAGGGAACAGACTCCGCTCTGCGAATCTGAGGCACTGGGAACATACCACAGTATCACACAGTATCACACAGTATCACACAGTATCACACATTATCACACAGTATCACACAGTATCACACAGTGTCACACAGTATCACACAGTATCACACATTATCACACATTATCACACATTATCACACAGTATCACACAGTATCACACAGTATCACACAGTATCACACAGTATCACACAGTATCACACAGTATCACACATTATCACACAGTATCACACAGTATCACACAGTATCACACAGTATCACACATTATCACACAGTATCACACAGTATCACACAGTATCACACAGTATTACATATCACAGAAAGAATCCAGAGAAACTAACGAGGAAAGACGAGAAACAACAAAAAAGCAATGCAAAGAGAAAAGGCCCGAAAAGTAGAGAAATTACGGGAAATATAATGCATTTGTACTTTGTTCTCTTGTATATCGTAATAATTCTAAGAAATTCTATGACAATTTTATAATTTGTTTGCCCTTTTAGCCCAAGCAAATTCTCTAGTTCAGGCATGTCAAAGTCAAATACATCAGAGGGCCAAAAAAAAAATGTTTGCTACGCGCCGAGGGCCGGACTGGTTCAATGTTTCTCAACATCCAGAGGCAGTGCCGGTGACACCTGTTGGCTCGATAAAATATGCTCTAAAGCCAATCCTCATAATGTACATATTAGATGTAATAGACATCTGAGAACATGAAAATAGTAAAAAAAAAAAAAAAAACCTCAAACTTGGTGAAATGTAAAAGAGCAGTCTGGACCTCTTTTCGGGGCATTTTTTGATTAAATCTGCACAATGGATTATACTTTGGGAAATACAAGTGGATATTCTTCTTCAATAGACAGTTACGGAGAGAAAGACTAAGCAAGGATGGGGAAAGTCTAATTTGTTGGAGCAGCAGAAGACAAAAGGTAAAAAACAAATACAGACGTGATTTATTTTGTGCCCATATTATGCGTTATATCTTTTTAATGCTAAGTCTGATATCGTTTACTCTTACATATACATATAGCAAGAAAATAAGCTTTAAAATGATATATAGCTTGTGGCTTATGAAGTTCAAAATACATCTGCTGGCAACAGTATTTTTTTCCTCGTTTGCTCCCGCCGGCGGGGGCTAGCGAGCTTAAGGGGTCAATACATTGCCTCAATGGCAGGCAATGTCCCGGGGGCCATAGATAATTCATTCGCGGGCCGGATTTGGCCCGCGGGCCTTGACTTTGACACATGTGCTCTAGTTTCTGTTTCTTTAGTTTCTGTGACTTTCTGTTACTTATAATGGCAATAAAAAATATTCTGGATCGCACTTTAGTTTAGCCCTCACTAAATAACAGCTAATTAAGTGCTAATTAGCGTATATTTCATGATAGATTAGCTCTCAACTAATCTGTGAGTATGAGGCTTACTTGCAAAAAAGGATATCCGACACGTGGGGGCGTCTCTGGTGCATTTATTGTGGCACTTTAACCTAGAAACAAAAGAGAAATATTCAAAGGAGAAAACAGAAATTGAAGAGGTAGACTTACATGTTTGAGCTAGAAGTTTCTGAAATTAGCCTAAATGGAGCTAAAAACAAATATAGGTATTATAAAAGTTCAGAAACGTTGTGATATAGTCGTGTTTCCACCTACTCTACTCTACTCTACTCTACTAACCAGTATCCAGGTAAATTCCACTGTTCTCTAACAGGAGCTTTCCACTAATCCTGTTTAATTGGTATCAGGTACTTCTTAGCACTTGCTTTGGCTTGCTTCTATCCAGGCCATGGTTACCACAATATTGAGTAGAGTAGAGTAGAGTAGAGTAGAGTAGAGTAGAGTAGAGTAGAGTAAAGTAGAGTAGTACTAGAGGAGAGAAGAGTAGAGTAGAGTACAGTACAGTAGAGTAGGGCCGTGTAAGTCAATCAGTATCAGTTGTAATGAGACGTTCGTACTTGCAGTGTTTGCACTTGACTCCGAACATGACGCTCTTGTGGCACACTTGACACGTCTGCGAGAACCAGGACTTTGTGGAAAACCTGCACGAGACAAAACAACACAAAAACAAAACCACTTTATCACCGTCTGCTGCAAAAGGAACAGAAATAGGACGAGGCTCCAGCTGCTGAAGCAAAACACGACGACAACATCACACAAGTCCTTCAGTCTCTACAACGACTGTGTCTTTGAATATCAGCTTTATGTGTCTCCAGTTTGGTCTTTAAAGTTGCAATATGTAAGATTTTCATGTAAAGGGCCCTAATCTGTCATCATTAAAGGGCCCTAATCGGTCATCATTAAAGGGCCCTAATCGGTCATCATTAAAGGGCCCTAATCGGTCATGTGGTGACAGTAGCTCAGTTGATAGAGCATTGGCCTTTGAGCCAGAGGGTCGTGGGTTCGAGCCCGACTTTCACCATCGACTCCCACTGTCTGCTGTCGTTGTGTCCTTAGGCAAGACACTTTACCCCCATTGCCTAGAATGAGTCTGGTGTGTGAGTGAATGGTTGGTGGTGGGAGGAGCCGATGGCACAGACTGGTTGCCTCGCTTCTGTCAGTGTGACCCAGGGCAGCTGTGGCCACAGTAGTAGTTTATCACCACCGTGTATGGAGTGAAAGAATAATGACATGTAAAGCGTCTTTGAGTGTCCAAAAATCTGTCATCATTAAAGGGCCCTAATCTGTCCAAACATGCTCTTTTCCAATACTTCTTTATATTGATAACAGTTGTTCAGAGATATTTGGATTACTAAACTACTTTTCCAGCCCCTAAATGTTTGTTTTCATTTCGATGTCCCGCCCTCCACCGTTTCATCAATCAGAAAGTCTGTGATTCGGGCGCCAGAAATCACAGCGTGGAACAAATCTCACTGGTACAGTACCATGTGGCGCAGAACTAAAAAAAGGTGATTCTCAAATCATTCACAACAAAACAAGGAATAAAACCAGGATTTCTATCTTTGTGAAAAAGGCGTTGGTTATAGATTTGTTGTTGACAAAACTCTGTTCAATCTCTACATGCTGCCGTTAGGTCAGTTAATACGCAGAAACAAAGTTTCCTATCACAACTATGCAGACGACACTCAGATCTATGTCTCACTGACTGCAGGAGAACATGGACCAGTGGACTCACTCCTTCACTGTATCCAACAGATCAGTGAGTGGATGCAAAACAACTTCCTTCAACTAAACGCAGACGAAACTGAAATGATTGTCTTTGGTCCCCAGAAACAAAGAGAGAGCGTAATCTGTCACCTACAGTCTCTCTCCCTAAAACCTTCAAACAAGGTCAGAAATCTAGGGGTAATACTGGACTCAGACTTAAATTTTAATAGCCACATCAAATCAGTAACCTCAGCAGCTTTTTACCATCTAAAAAACATGGCCAGGATCAAAAACATAGTGTCTAAAGCAGACTTGGAGATTCTTATCCATGCATTTGTCTCCAGTAGGTTAGACTACTGCAATGGCCTGCTCACAGGTCTGTCCAAACAGGCTGTAAAACAGCTGCAGTACATTCAAAATGCAGCAGCTCGAGTCCTGACTAGAACCAGGAAGTACGACCACATTAGTCCAGTCCTCAGGTCTCTGCACTGGCTTCCTGTGGCTCAGAGAATAGACTTTAAAACAGCTCTGCTTGTGTACAAGTCTCTCCATGGCCTCGCACCAAAATATATTAGTGACATGTTAGTCCCATATGAACCAGCCCGGACTCTGAGGAGCACAGGGACTGGACTCCTGTTAGTGCCCAGAGTCAGGACTAAACATGGGGAGGCTGCTTTTCAGATTCATGCTGCTAAAATCTGGAACAGTCTTCCTGAAGATGTGAGACAGGCCTCCTCTCTGACAATGTTTAAAACCAGGTTAAACACAGTTCTGTTTAGCTGTGCATACAACTGAGGGATTTTATATTTTTATCTTTCTTTTTAATGTTCTGTGATTATTTATGATTTTAATGCTTTCTTATTTTGTTCAGCACTTTGAATTGCCTTGTGTATGAATTGTGCTATACACATAAACTTGCCTTGCCTTGCCTTGCCTTCAGCTGTTATGGTCCCAGCTGGATTCGTCTGCATATCTGGCAACCTGAGTCAGGGAGAGTAGGAGAGGCTGCAGTACCACTTTTGGCCAGATTTTTACATACTGCTCCTTTAAATCTGCTCTTGGGAATGTTTACATTAACTTTTCATTTTAGAGAACATTAAATACTTGTTATGGCCAATTTTTGTTAATTGATTTTGTCCAAACATTAGGTTTAATTATTATTATCAAGTTTCTTTGCACTAGGCTTGCAAAGGGGCGGACATTTTACAGTCAAGTTCCGGTAGGTTTTTGGTAAACTTCCATGGGTTTAATCTGATGATTTGAGTCTACGTTTCACGAAGCTTTGCAGCCGATTGAAAGAGATTTACAGCAGAGTCTGGACGAGAGACAAACACTGAGGATTCTTTGGATTCCTGGTGTTTTCACATTCCCGGGACGGAGCGTTGCGACCGGCTCTGTCCCAACAAAAACAAGGATTAAGCTGGAATCCTCACTGGAATGTCAACGTGTGAACATCTCATTCACACAGCGACTCCCAGAGCAGTCAATTTGACTCTGGTCTCAAATTTTATTCTAGTCTCTCTCTTGTCACTTGCTGGTCTCTATTTCTCTTCTTTCTTTGGTCTCTCTCAGGTCTCTCTCTGGTCCCTCTGGTCTCTCTTTAGTCACTCTCTTTTGCTTTCGGGTCGCTCTCTGGTCGCTCTCTGGTCGCTCTCTGGTCGCTCTCTGGTCGCTCTCTGGTCGCTCTCTGGTCGCTCTCTGGTCGCTCTCTGGTCGCTCTCTGGTCGCTCTCTGGTCGCTCTCTGGTCGCTCTCTGGTCGCTCTCTGGTCGCTCTCTGGTCTCTCTCTGGTCTCTCTCTGGTCTCTCTCTGGTCTCTCTCTGGTCTCTCTCTGGTCTCTCTCTCTGGTCTCTCGCTCTGGTCTCTCGCTCTGGTCCCTCTCTCTGGTCCCTCTGACTGGTTTCTCTGTCTCTGGTCTCTCTCTCTGGTTTCGCTCTCTCTGGTCTCTCTCTCTGGTCTCTCTCCCTGGTTTCTCTCTCCCTGGTTTCTCTCTCCCTGGTTTCTCTCTCTCTGGTCTCTCTCTCTGGTCTTTCTCTCTGGTCTCTCTCTCTGGTCTCTCTCTGGTCTCTCTCTCTGGTCTCTCTCTGGTCTCTCTCTGGTCTCTCTCTGGTCTCTCTCTGGTCTCTCTCTGGTCTCTCTCTCTGGTCTCTCTCCCTGGTTTCTCTCCCTGGTTTCTCTCTCTCTGGTCTCTCTCTCTCTGGTCTCTCTCTCTGGTCTCTCTCTCTGGTCTCTCTCTGGTCTCTCTCTGGTCTCTCTCTGGTCTCTCTCTCTGGTCTCTCTCCCTGGTTTCTCTCCCTGGTTTCTCTCTCTCTGGTCTCTCTCTCTCTGGTCTCTCTCTCTGGTCCCTCTTTCTGGTCCCTCTCTCTGGTTTCTCTCTCTCTGGTCTCTCTCCCTGGTTTTTCTCTCTGTGGTCTCTCTCTCTGGTCCCTCTCTCAGGTCTCTCCCTGGTTTCTCTCTCTCTGGTCTCTCTCCCTGGTCTCTCCCCCAGGTCTCTCCCCCAGGTCACTCCTTGCTCCTGGCAGGAAAAACCTATCTTGAAATTCATAAGTTTGTTATGACCTTTTATTTTGCACGTATCTGTTGACATGGGCCTAAACAACCTGCCAACCTTTCCCACGGTTGTCTCCTCCTTCTCACCTGTGGTTGATGGTCAGTCCCAAGTCCCTCCTCGGGACCAGTGGAGACCCTCTGTGCTGAGATGGAGCTGTCAGAAATACACAGTCACTTTAACAACAACACAGACGCTAACTACAGTAGCATTTAGAGCTAAAGTACATAACCTATTCTTTCATAAAATACATGTGGTTTCTGTAAAAAAGATCCTTGTGAGTCACTATTTGCCTCTATGAGCTGAGAGCTGATTGGCTGAGAGAGGGTGGTCCTTTTTTTCACTTTTCTGTCTGAAAAGCTGATCTAAAGATACCTCACCACCTCCATATATACAGTAGTGCCTCTCTGATCTCTCTTTCCCTTCTGGTCTCTCTCTGCTCACTCTCTGGTCTCTGCTCTGAGGTCCCACTCTGGTCTCTCTCTCTCTGGACCCTATCTGGTCTCTCTTTCTAATCTCTCTCTCATGTCTCTCTCCGGATTCTGTCTCTGGTTTCTCTATCTGATCTCTCTCTGGTCTCTCTCTCTGGTCTCTCTCTCTGGTCTCTCTCTCTGGTCTCTCTCTCTGGTCTCTCTCTCTGGTCTCTCTCTCTCTGGTCTCTCTCTGGTCTCTCTTTGCTTTCTCTCTGGTCTCTCTTTGCTTTCTCTCTGGTCTCTCTTTGCTTTCTCTCTGGTCTCTCTCTGGTATCTCTGGTCTCTCTGGTCTCTCTCTGGTCTCTCTCTGGTCTCTCTCTGGTCTCTCTCTGGTCTCTCTATCTGGTCTCTCTATCTGGTCTCTCTATCTGGTCTCTCTATCTGGTCTCTCTATCTGGTCTCTCTATCTGGTCTCTCTATCTGGTCTCTCTATCTGGTCTCTCTATCTGGTCTCTCTATCTGGTCTCTCTCTGGTCTCTCTCTGGTCTCTTCTTGAACTTCTGAAATTCAATTATTGTGTCACAGAAAAACAGGTAACTTTACAAAGGTTCCTACCTGAAATAAATAATAAAATAAATTCACAAATAGAGGCCAGAGATACACGTGACAGAACCAAACTGGAGGAACTAGTAACATGGGATTTTCCACACTGCTCATTGCATGGTTTAAAATGAGGTACCCCAGCTTTAATTCTCTTGTATGTATATGTGTATAACTCACAGTCGATGATGTAGTAGGGTCCAGGGGTGCGTGCGGACAGCGGCGGGCGCAGGTCGTCGGAGTTTGTCGATCCGTTCAACTGTAGAGCTGCCACTGGTCGGTTGTTCTTCCCTCTGGACACAGGGAACACAGAGGTACAGCCTCAGTCCTGGATCTACAGCCTCAATCCTGGATCTACAGCCTCAGTCCTGGATCTACAGCCTCAGTCCTGGGTCTACAGCCTCAGTCCTGGGTCTACAGCCTCAGTCCTGGGTCTACAGCCTCAGTCCTGGGTCTACAGCCTCAGTCCTGGGTCTACAGCCTCAGTCCTGGATCTACAGCCTCAGTCCTAGATCTACAGCCTCAGTCCTGGATCTACAGCCTCAGTCCTAGATCTACAGCCTCAGTCCTGGATCTACAGCCTCAGTCCTGGATCTACAGCCTCAGTCCTGGATCTACAGCCTCAGTCCTAGATCTACAGCCTCAGTCCTGGATCTACAGCCTCAGTCCTAGATCTACAGCCTCAGTCCTAGATCTACAGCCTCAGTCCTAGATCTACAGCCTCAGTCCTGGATCTACAGCCTCAGTCCTGGATCTACAGCCTCAGTCCTAGATCTACAGCCTCAGTCCTGGATCTACAGTCCTGGGTCTTCAGCCTCAGTCCTGGACCAGTTCTGGACTTATCTTAGACTGGTTCTGGTTCTGAGCCGAGTCAGATTGGTCTTCCACCAGATAAGAGCTGCTTTTTTTACCACGGCAGTTCTTTCATACAATTTGGGAAAAATCCTCCGATGTACCTTTAAAGGACTACTAAATCTGGCAAAAGACTAAACCATTTCTGGGGGAATTTCCCACAATTCTATGGGTTTGAATGGAAGCAGTCAAAAAGTCGGCTCTCGGAGTTCTAGTATTAATAAAATCCATCCATCCATCCATTCTGGGGGGTCTCTCACCTGGAGGGGGTCTCTCACCTGGAGGGCGGCTCTTCGATGCGGTTGCTCAGCTGGGACTCTTGGCTCTTGCTGCGGTTCAGGTTTGTCAAGTTTGGGAAGAGCTGGAGCAGTTTCCTGGAGGTGGGGGGAGTGTGGGAGACTTTGGCCCCTCTCCCCCTCTGCGTCTGGGGGAGGGGGGGAGACGAGGGGTCCGAGTCCGGGCTGAAGGCATCCTGTAGCTGCACCAGAAGGAGAACCACTACGTCAAATATGTCATAGTGGCTTAAAAACGACATATGAGATGTGGTTTTCCTGCAAATGACCTGAATCTGAATCTACTATTTCAATCATCTGTCATTTTCTCTTTGGTCTCTCTCTGGTCTCTCTCTCTGGTCTGTCTTTCTAGTCTCCCTCTGGTCTCTCTTCTGTCTTTCTCTGGTTTCCCTTTAGTCTCTCTCTGGTCTCTCTCTGGTCTCTCTCTGGTCTCTCTCTGGTCTCTCTCTGGTCTCTCTCTGGTCTCTCTCTGGTCTCTCTCTGGTCTCTCTCTGGTCTCTCTCTGGTCTCTCTCTGGTCTCTCTCTGGTCTCTCTCTGGTCTCTCTCTGGTCTCTCTCTGGTCTCTCTCTCTGGTCTGTCTTTCTAGTCTCCACCTATATACCTTTAAAGCTCTCTCTTCTGTCTTTCTCTTGTCTCTCTCTAGTCTCCCTCTGGTCTGTCTTTCTAGTCTCCCACTGGTCTCTCTTCTGTCTCTCTCTGGTCTCTCTCTGGTCTCTCTCTGGTCTCTCTCTGGTCTCTCTCTGGTCTCTCTCTGGTCTCTCTCTGGTCTCTCTCTGGTCTCTCTCTGGTCTCTCTCTGGTCTCTCTCTGGTCTCTCTCTGGTCTCTCTCTGGTCTCTCTCTGGTCTCTCTCTGGTCTCTCTCTGGTCTCTCTCTGGTCTCTCTCTGGTCTCTCTCTGGTCTCTCTCTGGTCTCTCTCTGGTCTCTCTCTGGTTCTCTCTCGGGTCTCTCTCGGGTCTCTCTCGGGTCTCTCTCGGGCCTCTCTCGGGCCTCTCTCGGGCCTCTCTCGGGTCTCTCTCGGGTCTCTCTCGGGTCTCTCTCGGGTCTCTCGGGTCTCTCTCGGGTCTCTCTCGGGTCTCTCTCGGGTCTCTCTCGGGTCTCTCTCGGGTCTCTCTCGGGTCTCTCTCGGGTCTCTCTCTGGTCTCTCTCTGGTCTCTCTCTGGTCTCTCTCTGGTCTCTCTCTGGTCTCTCTCGGGTCTCTCTCTGGTCTCTCTCTGGTCTCTCTCTGGTCTCTCTCTGGTCTCTCTCTGGTCTCTCTCTGGTCTCTCTCTGGTCTCTCTCTGGTCTCTCTCTGGTCTCTCTCTGGTCTCTCCCTGGTCTCTCCCTGGTCTCTCTCTGGTCTCTCCCTGGTCTCTCCCTGGTCTCTCCCTGGTCTCTCCCTGGTCTCTCCCTGGTCTCTCTGCTCTCTCTCTGGTCGCTCTCATATAACGTCCCATGTCTTGTGTCCTGTGTCCCACCTCGTCCCCGGTGGAGCAGATGGAGGGTCTGGGCGGCAGGTGGGAGCAGGGCACCACAGAGATGGAGATGGAGCGACCGTGGGAGTATGGAGTGTGGAGGATGGGATGATTGAGGGGGGAGAAGGGGCTATCTTTACTGCTGCTGCTGCTGCTGCTGCTGTCCTGCCGCTCCGAGCCACAGGACGAGACGCTTGACACTGGGACCACCTCACACACTGCACCAGAGAGAGAGAGAGAGTGAGAGAGAGAGAGAGAGTGAGAGAGACGGGTTACTGGGACCATCACACAACCTGCACCAGAGAGAGAGAGAGAGTGAGAGAGACAGGTTACTGGGACCATCACACAACCTGCACCAGAGAGAGATAAAGAGAGAGAGAGAGAGTGAGAGAGACGGGTTGCTGGGACCACCCCACACCCTGCACCAGAGAGAGAGAGAAAGAGAGAGAGAGAGCAAAAGAGAGACAGAGTTACTGGGACCACCACACACCCCGCACCAGAGAGAGAGAGAGAGAGAGAGAGAGAGAGAGAGAGAGAGAGAAAGAGAGAGTGAGAGAGACAGGCTACTGGGACCACCACACACCCTGCACCAGAGAGAGAGAGAAAGAGAGAGAGAGAGCAAAAGAGAGACAGAGTTACTGGGACCACCACACACCCCGCACCAGAGAGAGAGAGAGAGAGAGAGAGAGAGAGAGAGAGAGAGAGAGAGAGAGAGAGGAGAGAGACAGGCTACTGGGACCACCACACACCCTGCACCAGAGAGAGAGAGAAAGAGAGAGAGAGAGCAAAAGAGAGACAGAGTTACTGGGACCACCACACACCCCGCACCAGAGAGAGAGAGAGAGAGAGAGTGAGAGAGACAGGCTACTGGGACCACCACACACCCCGCACAGAGAGAGAGAGAGAGAGAGAGAGTGAGAGAGACAGGCTACTGGGACCACCACACACCCCGCACCAGAGAGAGAGAGAGAGAGAGACAGAGTTACTGGGACCACCACACACCCCGCACCAGAGAGAGAGAGAGAGAGAGACAGAGTTACTGGGACCACCACACACCCCGCACCAGAGAGAGAGAGAGAGAGAGAGAGAGTGAGAGAGACAGGCTACTGGGACCACCACACACCCCGCACCAGAGAGAGAGAGAGAGAGAGAGAGAGTGAGAGAGACAGAGTTACTGGGACCACCACACACCCCGCACCAGAGAGAGAGAGAGAGAGAGAGAGAGTGAGAGAGACAGAGTTACTGGGACCACCACACACCCCGCACCAGAGAGAGAGAGAGAGAGAGAGAGAGTGAGAGAGACAGAGTTACTGGGACCACCACACACCCTGCACCAGAAAGAGAGAGAAAGAGAGATGGGAGAGTAACTGGGACCACCTCACACCCTGCACCAGTGAGAAAGAAAGTGAGAGAGAGTGAGAGAGGCGGGTAACTGGGACCATCTCACACCCTGCACTAGAGAGGGGGGAGAAAGAGAGAGAGGAGGGAGTTACTGGGACCACCTCCTCACACCCTCCAAAAATGACAGGGAGCTACCTCTAGTAAGTGATTGGAGTGTCCTGTCTCTCTCTCGCTCTAAAACTTTCAAATCAGGTCAGAGATCTAGGGGTAAGAACTATATTATATACTGTTATATTTTAACCGCCACGTCCAATCAGTAACATCAGCAGCTTTTTAACATATATAAAAACCCAGAATCAAAAGTATCGTGTCTAAAGCAGACATGGAGATTCTTATCGTACTTCTTTCTCCTGTAGATACCATGACTACTGCTCACTGGTCTCCAAACGAGTTCTGTAGCTGCAGCTGAGTCCGTACTAGAACCAGGAAGTGGCATCGCATTAGAATCAGAATCAGAATCAGAATCATTTTTATTGCCACGTAAGTAACAGGAGGTCACAGACTAGGAAATTGCTTTGGCTCAGTGCAACAGTCAAAAAGAGATAATAAAAATAAGAATAAAAAACACTTCTAAAGAATACATTTAAATTTAAAATAGAGTTACAGTTACTATGTACAATATACAAGTGCACATAGTGCACACAATGTAAGGTGACAGCAGTACAGTGAAGTAAAGTGACGTATGATGGGCAGTAAAGTGACTTTATAAAGGGCGGGGGGACAGGTTAAGAAGTGTTCAAGAGTCCAACAGCAGAGGGGAAGAAACTGTTCTTTTGGCGGGAGGTTCTAGTCCTGATGGACCGCAGTCTCCTGCCTGAGGGGAGTGGTTGGAATAGTCCATGTGCAGGTGAGAGGGGTCGGCTGTGATACGACCAGCCCGGCCTCGAGCTCGGGCGACGTACAGGTCCTGCAGCGATGGACGGCTGCGGCCGATCACTTCCTCTGCAGAGCGCACAATGCGCTGTAGTCTCTGTTTGTCCCTGACTGTGGCTCCAGCGAACCACACGGTGACGGAGGAGGTGAGGATGGACTCGATGATGGCCGTGTAGAACTGCACCAACATCTGTGCAGGCAGTTTGGCTTTCCTGAGCGGCCGCAGGAAGTACATCCTCTGCTGGGCCTTCTTGATGAGGGAGCTGATGGTCGGCTCCCACTTGAGGTCCTGGGTGATGGTGGTGCCCAGGAAACGGAAGGACTCCACAGAGGTGATGGGGGAGTCCATCACGGAGGGTGGGGGCGGGGGGACAGTGCTGTTCCTGAAGTCCACAATCATCTCCACTGTCTTCTGGGCGTTCAGCTCCAGGTTGTTACCACTGCACCAGGACACGAGCCGGTCCACCTCCCTCCTGTAGGCGGACTCATCGTTGTTGGAGATGAGTCCAATGAGGGCGGTGTCGTCCGCGAACTTGATCAGCTTCACGGAGTCGTGGCTGGAGGTGCAGTGGTTGGTGTACAGGGAGAAGAGCAGGGGAGAAAGAACACAGCCCTGTGGGGCTCCTGTATTTATAATCCGAGAGTCCGAGACATTCTTCCCCAGACGCACTCGCTGCTTCCTGTCCGTCAGGTCCTGGTCTCAGGTCTCTGCTTCCGGTGGCTCAGAGAATAGACTGTCTCTCCATGGCCTTGCCCCAGATTACAAATAACAAATAAAAGCAAAAATAACTCCAACTTTGTTGAGTCTCTCTCTGGTCTCTCTCTTTGGTCTGTCTTTCTCCCTAGTCTCTCTCTGGTCTCTCTCTGGTCTCTCTCTGGTCTCTCTCTGGTCTCTCTCTGGTCTCTCTCTGGTCTCTCTCTGGTCTCTCTCTGGTCTCTCTCTGGTCTCTCTCTGGTCTCTCTCTGGTCTCTCTCTGGTCTCTCTCTGGTCTCTCTCTGTGTTACCTGAATCAGTAGCACTCTTCAAACAGGGGAGGGCAGCAGAGTCCTCAGAGCTGGAGTCCAGGCGTCTCATGTTGGGGTCCGTGGACACCTGCCCCACTGCAGCCTGGAGACACAACACATGCAGTTAGAAACAGGAGAGATACCAGAGACCAGAGAGAGACCAGAGAGAGACCAGAGAGAGATCAGAGAGAGATCAGAGAGAGATCAGAGAGAGATCAGAGAGAGATCAGAGAGACACCAGAGAGAGACCAGAGAGAGACCAGAGAGAGACCAGAGAGAAAGAGAGTAGAGAGAGAGCAGAGTGAGAGAGGAGAGAGAGACCAGATAGACTCCAGAGAGAAACTAAGAGGGACGTGAGAGACATACCTGAGGGAGAAACCAGAGAGAGAGCAGACAGTGAGACCAGAAAGAAAGACCAGGGAGAGACCAGAGAGACAGAGACCAGTTAAAAACAGCTCCAGGTTGTATGATGTCATAGTGGCACAATGACATCATACCATTATAGCTTTTAAACAGAAGGGGGCGGAGTTACGTTTCTGTGGCTGTGTCCCGGTGCAGTCTATGGTCAGAGGTCTCTCACATTACTCGTTGACTAAATGGGTGTTTATGGCGGTGCCTTCAGGGTCTGACCGTAAAGTGGGAGATAAGAGCATGACTCAGCTGCAGCCGTGACACTGGGCTTTCCAAACACACCACGGGGAACTACAGCCTGAGTCACCGTAAACACAGATCAGCTGTTCTAAAATACTATTCCACAAGTGAAAACAAGAGGAAGGGAAGCTGGATAATCCTGTTTTAAACCATACACACACACAGTACATAAGTCATATCAAAGCACAGCCTTTATTATCACTATTCAGGCTGGTTTCATGTGGTTGATTCTGGGTTTAGAGGCTGGGGAGGGAGGTAAAGGGAGAGAGCAGAGGGGGAACAGAGAGAGAACAGAGAGCAGAGAGAGAGAGAGTAGAGAAAGAGAGACCAGAGAGAGAGCACGAGAGAGACCAGAGAGCACAGAGAGAAAGAAAGAAAGAGAGAGAGAGCAGAGAACAGAGAGAGACAACAGAGAGAGTGACCAGGGAGTGACCAGAGAGTTAGATCAGAGAGAGAGACCAGAGAGAGACCAGGGAGAGACCAGGGAGAGACAAGAGAGAGACCAGAGAGAGACCAGAGAGAGACCAGAGAGTTAGATCAGGGAGAGAGATCGGGGAGAGAGACCAGGGAGGGACAAGAGAGAGACCAGGGAGAGACCAGAGAGTTAGGTCAGGGAGAGAGACCAGAGAGAGACCACGGTGAGAGACCGCGGTGAGAGACCAGAGAGAGACCAGAGATAGACCAGATAAGATAGATTTTATTGATCTCACACAGGAGAAATTTACATGTCACATTTGGCATGGAAAGAATCACTCAGATTGTGCAAAAGACAGAAGTGTGTAAACATGTTAAAGGTAAAAAATATAGTCTGTGCAGGGAGAGATGCACAATGTGGTTTTACTGCAAATGGCAAATAAATGAATCTGAATCTGAGACCAGAGAGAGACCAGAGAGAGACCAGAGAGAAACCAGAGAGAGACCAGAGAGAAACCAGAGAGAGACCAGAGAGAGACCAGAGAGAGACCAGAGAGAGACCAGAGAGAGACCAGAGAGAGACCAGAGAGAGACCAGAGAGAGACCAGAGAGAGACCAGAGAGAGACCAGAGAGAGACCAGAGAGAGGGCAGAGAGAGACCAGAGAGAGACCATAGAGAGGGAAGAGGGAGAGAGACCAGAGTGAGAGAGAACAGAGCAGATTGAAAAGAGAGAGAGCAAAAAGATAAGATAGAGCAGAGAGACAAGAAGGAAAGAACAGAGAGAGACTAGAGAGAGAGTCCAGAGAGAGAGAGTGGGAGAGACCAGAGGGAGACCAGAGGGAGACCAGAGAGAGACCAGAGAGAGAGACCAGAGAGAGACCAGAGAGACGAGAAAGACCAGAGAGAAACCAAAGAGAGACCAGAGAGAGACTGGAGGGGAATGGCTGCTTTATGGTCATATGGTCACAAATATGTGTTCTTGTAAAAAAAAAGAAAAGAAAAAACATATATGTAAAATTCTCTTTTTTTGTTTTTATAATTATCACAACATCCTTCTTTCATCAAACACTGACTTGGAGTTGTGTTTAGGTCCATCCAGGCTGAGAACAGGACAATCTGGCACCGAGAGCCCCCTCCCAAACTCTGACTTCTGTGATGAATCTTCTGACGTCGTCCAAATGTTATTTTTGTGAATTTCTCCAGTTTGTTTTTACAGCTGTGTTCAAGTGGCCACACCTGCATCATGTGGAAGCCTGTTCCTGTCAGGTCTCAGGAGCTAAGCAGGGCGGGGCCTGGTTAATGCAGTGATGGGAGAGCTCGAGGTACACCAGAGAGAGGGAAGAAAGAGACCAGAGAGAGAGAGAGACCAGAGAGAGGGCAGAGAGAGAGAGAGACCAGAGAGAGGGCAGAGAGAGAGACCAGAGAGAGAGAGAGACCAGAGAGAGGGCAGAGAGAGGGAAGAAAGAGAGAGAGACCAGAAAGAGGGAAGAGAGAGAGAGAGACCAGAGAGAGAGAAGAGAGAGTGAGACCAGAGTGAGAGAGAACAGAGCAGAAAGACAATAGAGAGCAGAGTGACAAGAAGGAAAGAACAGAGAGAGACTAGAGAGAGGTTCCGGAGAGAGAGAGAGTAAAAGTGTGATTGTAAAGTGCTAAACTGCTGTTGTGTCTTTAGGCACTTCACACATTATCTGTCTGTCTGTGTGTGCATGTGCGTGTGTGTGTGTGTGCGTATAGTGAGAGCAGAGAAAGAGACTAATGATGCCATGACTCTTAAAACAACTTTCCCTAAATTATTTGGAAACCATTAATAGATTACTAAATATTATTTTGAACCCAATAATGACTGAAGAGGAAGTGAATGGAACTGAATCATAAAACCTATAAACTTTATTGTAGTTTGAAATGTTCTGCCCCAGCTTTAGTTAGTGTCTGTTTTCAGGGATAAAAAAGGCTTGTTCCCTTCACAGGTCATTTCACAGAATATGATGAGAATAGAGCAAGTTTATCTTCTTCACACGTAAAAGTCTTTATTTTCAGGCACAACAACTTCCTCTTTCTCTCAAAACAGTTGCTTCTAATCACTAATTTTCATAGATGTAGGTTTCACCTCTGTCACAGAGAGAGAGAGCAAGAGAAAGAGAAAGAGAGCAGAGAGAGAGACAGACAGAGGGAGATAGAGAGAGTATAGAGAGAGAGAGAGAGACCAGAGAAAGTAGAGAAAGCAGAAAGAGAGAGTCCAGGGAGGGACCAGAGAGAGACCAGAGAGAGACCAGAGAGAGACTAGGGAAAGACCAGTGCGAGACCAGGGAGAGACCAGGGAGAGACCAGGAAGAGACCAGGAAGAGAGCAGAGAGAGACCAGGGAGAGAGAAGAGAGAGACCAGAGAGAGACCAGAGAGAGACCAGAGAGAGACCAGAGAGAGACCGGTGAGAGACCAGTGAGAGACCGGGGAGAGACCAGTGAGAGACCGGGGAGAGACCAGTGAGAGACCAGGAAGAGAGCAGGAAGAGAGCAGAGAGAGACCAGGGAGAGAGAAGAGAGAGACCAGAGAGAGAGCAAAGAGAGGAGCAGAGAGAGACCAGAGAGAGAGATGAAAAGTGACAGCAAGAGGACCACCCTCACTCAGCCCAAAGGGTCCAATAGTGACTCACAAGGCTCTTCCTTATAAAAAACATCGGAGGCTGTGTTTTCTAATGTCGTGTTGGCGAATCGACAACAAAGTCCTCTGAGATAATACTGTTGTGCTTTAGAATATGTTAGCTAAGATCTCTTCTGTTTCACTGATGACCCACTCCAACAGAAAACAATTTGGAAAAACAAGAATCAGCAAATTCCTGGAGCCTCCAAACAGAGACTGGTCTGAGTCCGAGTCCGAGTCTCAGTCCAGGGCTTCACACTCTGCCAACACATTCCTGGAAACAAAAGCAACTTTTCACCAACAAACGGACAAACGAGGCGACTGGAAGTGCTTTGTCAGAAGGGTTTGGGTTAGAAAAATACAGAGAAACACTTACATTTCTAATTTTTCAGCCATTTCAGCGAATTCAATTCAATTCAATTCAATTCAATTCCATTCAATTCATTTCAATTCATTTATATTCAATTCAATTCCAGCAGCAGTCGTCTCGGACTTTACACACGTTACATTCAGTCATTTATAAGTAAACTCTGGGGATAAAACAGAGAGAGTCTTAAATGAAACAGGTGTGAAATGGGGTAAGGCAGCACGGTGGCTGAGTGGGTAGCACCTTCACCTCTCAACTTCAAGATTGTGAGTTCGACTCCTGGTCGTAGCAAAATGTAAACTTTATTGCAATCGCTTGAGTTACTTGGTAATATCAAGTAAAGTATGTACTCGAGTAATTCAAGTGAAGTTAATATGCAATTTATTTCCAAGGTTTTTTCAAGTAAACATTATTTGTTAGGGTTTACAGTGTGGTCTCTCTCTCTCTCTCTCTGGGCTCTGTTTCTGGTGTCTCTCTGGTCTCTCTCTGGTCTCTCTCTGGTCTCTCTCTGGTCTCTCTCTGGTCTCTCTCTGGTCTCTCTCTGGTCTCTCTCTGGTCTCTCTCTGGTCTCTCTCTGGTCTCTCTCTGGTCTCTCTCTGGTCTCTCTCTGGTCTCTCTCTGGTCTCTCTCTGGTCTCTCTCTGGTCTCTCTCTGGTCTCTCTCTGGTCTCTCTCTGGTCTCTCTCTGGTCTCTCTCTGGTCTCTCTCTGGTCTCTCTCTGGTCTCTCTCTGGTCTCTCTCTGGTCTCTCTCTGGGCTCTCTCTGGGCTCTCTCTGGTCTCTCTCTGGTCTCTCTCTGGTCTCTCTCTGGTCTCTCTCTGGTCTCTCTCTGGGCTCTCTCTGGGCTCTCTCTGGGCTCTCTCTGGGCTCTCTCTGGGCTCTCTCTGGGCTCTCTCTGGGCTCTATCTCTGGTCTCTCTTTGGTCTCTCTCTGGTCTCTCTCTCTGGAGTCCATGCAGAAACATATACTGTAAGCTCTCATTTGTCTCAGTCCATATGTAGCAAGCGGTAAGTATGCAAATATTTCCTCATGTGTACATTAGTCACTTAAAGCTGGGGTATGCAACTTTCAAACTGTTTAACTGTGTGATAAAACCCATGTCTCTCGTTCCTGCCTCTAAAACAGCGTGTTTGCAAATCGAATAAGCCTGCAATAAAGCAAGTAAATGATCTGATCATTATTTCTTTGCCAACATAATGCATCATATTTCTTCATAGACTCCCAGAATACAGTCATTTTGACTACTTCCCAACCCAAAAAAAGGGATTAAAACTGGTGAATGAAGCATGAAACTCAGCATAAACAGTAAAAAGGTTAATGCTAAATACCAAATATGTGTTGCTATTTATGGGTAATTCTTAGCCTAGCCTTACCACACCATTGTAAGTAAGTAAGTAATCTTTATTTATATACCGCCTTTTCACTGCACATCGGAGTCTCAAAGCGGTTTACAATTGTTATTTTTGGGAGTGGGGTTGCCAGTACAGGAGGCACGTGCCAGACCTATTGTACATATTTTTAGTGGTAGGGGAAACCGGAGCACCCGGAGGAAACCTACGCAGAAGCGGGGAGAACATGCAAACTCCACTCAGAAAGGCCCTGGTCCAACCGGGATTCAAACCCAGGACCTTCTTGCTGAGAGGCGAGAGTGCTATCCACTCAGCCACCGTGCCGCCCGATTGTACTTATTTCATTTTGTACTAAGGTCTGGATTTGCTCCATTGAGTTCCGCTAACTCGACAGGGTGACAGTGGCTCAGTTGGTAGAGCATTGGCTTTTGGGCCTGAAGGTCGTGGGTTCCAGCCCACCGTAAGATCTACTTCATGACTCCCACTGATGACTGCTGCCGTTGTGTCCTTGAACAAGACACTTAACCCAACTTTGCCTGAAGCCCCCACTGAAAGATCTCAGCTCCTGTGGACTCACCACTTGCAGGAGGATCAGTGAGGGGCTGGTGCTCTGTGGACTGGGTGCAACTCTGACTGCCACCCCCCCGACCCAGAAATGGATTAAGGGGAAGAAAATGGATGGATGGATGAGTTCCGTTAACAGGTGGGAGGGGTTAACTCCTTTTACCGTGACGTTAGTAATGCGCCCAAGTGAGTGAAGCATTTGGACTGTAAATATTAACAGACTTAGTCACGCCCATCTCCGTCGTTGAAACTAATGTGCCACCACTTTGTCTTCAGTGGCCATTTTCCACATGGGTCCCCTCAGCGTCTGGAACATAGGGTTAGGCCAAGAGCGACTTTTGGACACTCGTGTAAAGACGTTTTCAGAGGTATGAAGACGCCATCCAAAAGAGACCAGAGAAACAGGTAAAAAAGCAGTAATTACTCTTCCAAATCTAAAAGCCGTCAAATTGACTGGTGTGGGAGTGTTATTGCAGAAGATGTAACTAATGACTTCCAGCTCGTGTTAAAGTGTTAAGACACGACTCCGGCACTTTGTCAGGAGCCGAGGCCTGTGAGCAGCATTCCACTGAAATGATGTCTGGGCATGTCTGAACCATGAAGACATATAACTCACTATCAGAGAGACCAGAGGGACACCAGAGAGAGACCAGAGTGAGACACCAGAAAGAGAGACCAGAGAGAGAAAGGAGAGAGACCAGAGAGATTAGAGAGAGACAGGAGTGTGATCAGAGAGAAACCAGAGAGAGGGACCAGAGAGAGAAAGGAGAGAGAGACCAGCTAGAGAAAGACCAGAGAGAGACCAGAGAGAAATCAGAGAGAGATCAGAGAGAGACCAGACAGGGACCAGAGAGAGACTAGAGAGACCAGAGAGAGATCAGAGAGAGACCAGAGAGAAACCAGAGAGAGGGACCAGCGAGAGAGACCAGAGAGAGAGACCAGCTCGAGAAAGACCAGAGAGAGACCAGAGAGAGACCAGAGAGAGACTAGAGAGACCAGAGAGAGATCAGAGAGAGACAGGAGAGAGACCAGAGAGAGAGACCAGCTAGAGAAAGACCAGAGAGAGACCAGAGAGAAACCAGAGACACCAGAGAGACCAGAGAAAGATCAGAGAGAGACAGGAGAGAGACCAGAGAGAGAGACCAGCTAGAGAAAGACCAGAGAAAGACCAGAGAGAAACCAGAGAGACCAGAAAGAGACCAGAGATAGAGACAAATAATCACACATCTGAACCCCACTCCATTTACACTCCACCAAACCATTCCACAGAGACAGCTAACTGTTTTTTTATTGAAAACATAAAACAGCAAATGGACAAATGTGGGGTGGTTGGGGCAGGTTTTTTTTATTTCAAAATTTCCTTTTAAAACGTAGCTATTTCATTTCCTTCTCGGATGCAATAAAATGGTTTGAATCCTATTTAAAAAATCTCAGTCAGAATCAAGAACTTTGTAGTTCTCTCCTCCCCTCCCATTAAAACAGGTGTTCCACAGGGGTCGCATTTGGGTCCATTTTCTCCCTCAACATAAATGACCTTGTTGCATCAGCGTTCAAATGTACGCTAACGACACTGTTATTTATGCACACGGCAAGTCCAATACCACAGATAAATGGTCGGAATATTTTTATTGCAGATGAAAAATTGCAAATAGTTTCAGAATGCAAATATCTGGGCGTCACAGTAGACTCAAATCTCACATTTAAAAGTGTTTAAGTGAATAAGATCTGTAAACAAGTCAAATTCAATCTTTCACATATTTGGTTCATTAGATCACAACTATCTCTGCAAGCGGCAAAAATGTTTATGCATTCCATGGTCTATCTCCATGGTCCTGTCTCCATGGTCCTGTCTCCATGGTCCTGCCTCCATGGGCCTGCCTCCATGGGCCTGTCTCACATTATGTACTGTTTAACAACTTGGTCACAGCCAAATACAACAACTCTAAAACCAATAGAATCATTAAACAAACAGACAATAAAAGTATAAAAGTACTGGACAAAAAGCTCTTACGACATCATCACTGCAGTTTGTCCACATCCGGAACTACTACAACTCTCAGCGGGTAACCAGAGAGAGACCAGAGGGAGACCAGAGGGAGACAAAAGAGAGATCAGAGAGAGATCAGAGAGAGACCAGAGAGACCAGAGAGAAATCAGGGAGAGACCAAAAAGAGAGACAGAGAGAGACCAGAGAAAGATTAGCGAGAGAGACCAAAGAGAGGGACCAAAGAGAGGGACCAGAGAGAGAGACCAGAGAAAGAGACCAGAGAAAGACTTGCAAGAAAGAGACCTGAGAGAGACCAGAAAAAGACTAGAGAAAGATTAGCGGGAGACCAGAGAGATACAGTACCAGAGAGACTGAGAGAGACCAGAGAGAGACCAGAGAGAACCATTGCACCATTCGTCTAGGTCCCTTTAGTTGCATGTGAACTGTGTTTTCATTGTGTGAATGTGTTTTTCTTACTCCTTCCTATATTCTGTGTTTTACAGCATTTCGTTATTGTATGATTGTATGACTTTTGACTGTTATTATCTTTAAGGAGTCTACGTTCACCTGTCCAGGGACTGCAGATCAGAAATAACCCACTCGGCTAATTCTGCTGATTTTACCGACATTTTTATCAATGCACATTGTCCCTGTCAAATCAACTAATACAATAAATACACTAGACTAGACACAGAGAGACCAGAGAGAGACCAGAGAGAGACCAGGGAGGGACCAGAGAGAGACCAGAGAGATTAGAGAGAGACAGGAGTGTGATCAGAGAGAAACCAGAGAGAGGGACCAGAGAGAGAAAGGAGAGAGAGACCAGGGAGGGACCAGAGAGAGACCAGAGAGAGACCAGAGATAGACTAGAGAGAGAGACCTGGGAGAGACCATAGGGAGAGAGAGACAAGAAGGAGACTTCTCTTGTACGTATTTGTGCTAATAAAGGAATCAACGCATGTGTCACAACTTATCTCCATCCAATCAGAAAACAGTTTATTTTGGGGGTAATAATGATCCCTGTGAGTCACTTTCCGACTCTTTGGGCTGAAAGCTAATTGGCTGAGAGGGTGGTCCTCTCTTTTTCATTTTTCTGTCTGCAAAAGTTGATTTAAAGATGCGACAGAGGCCAAATATACATATAATAATACTGTTATAGAAAGAGGAACTAGACATGGGTTTAATGACATAGTTGAATCGTATGTGGTTTGAAAGTTCCGTACCCCGGCTTTAATAAATGTCCATAAATCCATCAGCTACATCTGCAGTATTCATTATAAAATCTATATATTGATTATTTCTTATTACATTTGTATATACACCACAGTTTTTCTGACTTTCACATGTGTTTTAGCTGCAGACCAGACACTTCTGCCTTTTGCAAAACTGTCTGTGCATTTACAACACGCAGAACCTGTCCTTCCTTGTTATGCTAGTGCAAACTCCAAACTCAGGCCAACCAGGAAAAGACCAGAGAGACCAGAGAGAGACCAGAGAGAGAGCAGAGAGAGAGAGACCGGAGAGAGAGAGACCAGAGAGAGAGCAGAGAGAGACCAGAGAGAGAGAGCAGAGAGAGAGAGACCAGAGAGAGAGACCAGAGAGAGAGAGAGAGCAGGGAGAGAGGCCAGAGAGAGAGAGCAGAGACCAGAGACAGACCAGAGAGAGAGGGGCCAGAGAGAGAGAGAGACTGTAGAGAGAGAGACCAGAGAGAGACCAGAGAGACACTAGAGAGAGAGACCGGGGAGAGAGACCAGAAAGAGACAGTCCAGAGAGAAAGAGAGAGAGACCAGAAAAAGAAACCAGAGAGAGACCATAGAGAGACCAGAGAGAGAGGGAGAGAGACCTGAGTGAGAACAGATTGAGAGACCAGAAAGTGAGAGGGACCAGGGAGAGAGACCAGAGAGAGACCAGAGAGAGACCTGAGAGAGAGAGACGAGAGAGAGATTCGAGAGAGATCTAAGAAAGAGAGAGACAGACTCCAAACTCCAAACTCAATCCAACCAGGAAAAGCCTGAAAGTTGAGTCTAGCACAACTTTAAAACTAAAATGCAAAAAACCAAAAATCCACTTTACCATGTGTTCCACTATGTGCACTGACCACTGCTCCTCCGGTCATACACTCCCATGTTAGTCCAGAGATATTCCACGGAACCATGTGAAAAGCTGCCAGAGTCGAGCTGTCCTATAGTCCCAGGAGTCCCGCCCCTGTGTGGTCCCCTCGTCCAATCAGAGGAGAGGAGCAGAGATAGCCTTTTGAGCTTCCTGGAATAGCACAGTGTGAGGCGACAGCGCGGCTGCAGAAGGAATGAGGAGTGGAGAGGACTGAGTAAATCACACATATACAGAAATGGACTGGTTTAGATTCTGGACAGAGAGAGAGAGAGCAGAGAGAGAGAGGGCAGAGAGAGAGAGAGGGAGAGAGAGAAGAGAGAGAGAGCAGAGAGAGAGAGAGAGAGCAGAGAGAGAGAGAGAGAGCAGAGAGAGAGAGAGGGCAGAGAGAGAGAAAGAGATCAGTGAGTGGATGCAAAACAACTTCCTTCAGCTAAACGCAGACAAAACTGAAATGATTGTCTTTGGTCCCCAGAAACAAAGAGAGAGCGTCATCTGTCACCTACAGTCTCTCTCCCTTAAACCTTCAAACAAGGTCAGAAATCTAGGGGTAATACTGGACTCAGACTTAAATTTTAATAGCCACATCAAATCAGTAACATCAGCAGCTTTTTACCATCTAAAAAACATTTCCAGGATCAAAAACATAGTGTCTAAAGCAGACTTGGAGATTCTTATCCATGCATTTGTCTCCAGTAGGTTAGACTACTGCAATGGCCTGCTCACAGGTCTGTCCAAACAGGCTGTAAAACAGCTGCAGTACATTCAAAATGCAGCAGCTCGAGTCCTGACTAGAACCAGGAAGTACGACCATATTAGTCCGGTCCTCAGGTCTCTGCACTGGCTTCCTGTGGCTCAGAGAATAGACTTTAAAACAGCTCTGCTTGTGTACAAATCTCTCCATGGCCTCGCACCAAAATATATTAGTGACATGTTAGTCCCATATGAACCAGCCCGGACTCTGAGGAGCACAGGGACTGGACTCCTGTTAGTGCCCAGAGTCAGAACTAAACATGGGGAGGCTGCTTTTCAGATTCATGCTGCTAAAATCTGGAACAATCTCCCTGAAGATGTGAGACAGGCCTCCTCTCTGACAATGTTTAAAACCAGGTTAAAGACAGTTCTGTTTAGCTGTGCATACAACTGAGGGATTTTATATTTGTATCTTTCTTTTTAATGTTCTGTGATAATTTATGATTTTAATGCTTTCTTGTTTTGTTCAGCACTTTGAATTGCCTTGTGTATGAATTGTGCTATATATATAAACTTGCCTTGCCTTGCCATTAGAGAGAGAGCAGAGAAAGAGAGAGAAATGAGCAGAGCGAGAGATCAGAAAGAGAGACCAGCGAGAGAGGTCACTGAGAGACCAGAGAGAGACCAGAAAGAGATCAGTGAGAGAGACCAGAGCAAGACCAACCAGAGACAAGAAAGAGACTAGAGAGAGATCAAAGAGAGACCTGAGAGAGCCCAAAGAGAGACCAGGGAGAGAGAACTAGTTGCAGACCTACCAGGAAACCTTCAGTCAAACAGAAGCAGACCTGAGCTCAGTCTATTGATCCGGTTAGTCCGGTCTGGACCCGATGAAACGGCTCAGGTTCCTTTCATCAACTCAGCAGTTTCTCACAGACTAATATTACAACAACAACTGATCCAACTTTTGGTTTCTCTGAGCGTTCACTTCACATTCCCTTTTGCACTTACTATCACACATCTATAATAATAATAATATAATAAAAATAATAATGATACTAATAATTCATCAAACTTATAAAGCTCTTTGTTGGTCTCTCTCTGGTCTCTCTCTGGTCTCTCTCTGGTCTCTCTCTGGTCTCTCGCTCTGGTCTCTCTCTGGTCTCTCTCTCTGGTCTCTCTCTGGTCTGTCTCTGGTCTCTCTCTGGTCTCTCTCTGGTCTCTCTCTCTGGTCTCTCTCTGGTCTGTCTCTGGTCTCTCTCTGGTCCCTCTCTGGTCTCTCTCTGGTCTCTCTCTGGTCTCTCTCTTTGGTCTCTCTCTGGTCTCTCTCTCTTGTGTCTCAGACGCTTTACAAAACATACAAAATAAATAAATAGAAGAACAAAATGAAGGAAAGGTGAAACAGGTTTTGAGAAGTGATTTAAAGTTCTACTCTCTCTCTCTCTCTCTCTCTCTCTCTCTCTCTCTCTCTTATATTTATATTTTGTAAATGCAAAGAGAAAACTATCATTTCAAATATATTCTCGTTTATATGTCTTCTTTGTTCTTCTGGTACAGAGTACTACAGCCACAGTCCTCTCTCTCTCTGGTCTCTCTCTCTCTGGTTTTTCTCTCTCTCTGGTCTCTCTCTCTCTCTGGTCTTTCTCTCTCTGGTCTCTCTCTCTCTGGTCTCTCTCTCTCTGGTCTCTGGTCTCTCTCTCTCTCTCTCTCTCTCTCTGATACAGCCACAGTCCTCTCTCTTCTCGTCTGAAACTCTAATCTCAGGAGGAAAGGCGGATCCCAGACCTGCATCGTTCACTTTTTCCACTTATTTAAACACATATCAGCAAATACACACTTAGTCTATTCAGAGTAACACAACAGGGATAGAGAGTACAGGGTCTACAGTCTCAGTCCTGGGTCTACAGTCTCAGTCCTGGGTCTACAGCCTCAGTCCTGGGTCTACAGCCTCAGTCCTGGGTCTACAGCCTCAGTCCTGGGTCTACAGCCTCAGTCCTGGGTCTACAGCCTCAGTCCTGGGTCTACAGCCTCAGTCCTGGGTCTACAGCCTCAGTCCTGGGTCTACAGCCTCAGTCCTGGGTCTACAGCCTCAGTCCTGGGTCTACAGCCCCCTCACAGGGCGTCTCTGCAGCTGCATTTGACAGAAGTGTTTGGTCTTGTTTTAATTTTTGTGGAAACACTTTTCTCTGTTTCATAATCGATGCAGGAGCAGACAGGATCCAGATTCTCTCTCAGCTCCACTCCCAGACCAGCAGAGAGACCACACTGTATACACACGGGGAAGTGCTCATGGACAAAGTTTTTCTCCAACTCGCTCTGGCTCCTATTGACTTAAATATAAAATTAGACTTTGCTAGCTCAGCAACCAGCTAGCTTATGTTATGGTCTGTGGTCTATGGCAGAGAACTTTGTCTCTGGGAGTGACACCACCTCCACCTCCACTTCTACAGGCGCCTTTCAATGTGGAGAAGCAGCTCTACTCTGAGCTCCACCCGTGTGACTGAGCTCCTCACCCTTTCTCTAAAGTAACCACAGTCTTGTGCTTTTCACATTATCTAGCTACTACTGCTACTACTACTGCTACTGCTGCTGATACTACTACTACTACTACTACTACTACTGCTTCTACTACTACTACTGCTTACTACTACTACTACTACTACTGCTTCTACTACTACTACTACTACTGCTGCTGATACTACTACTACTCTTAATTCTACTACTACTACTACTAAAACTACTACTACTACTGCTACTACTGCTGCTGCTACTGCTACTACTGCTACTACTATGCAGCTACAACTACAACTGCTACTGCTACTTATACCACTACTAGTTCTACTACAATTTAAACTACTAGTACTACTACTACTACTACTACTACTTATCTACTGATACTGCTAATACTAATACTACTACTACTACTAGTACTACTACTACTACTACTACTACTTATCTACTGATACTACTTATACGACTACAACTGCTTAACTAAATCCAGCAATTTAAACTACTAATATTACTGCTACTTGTAATGGCGGCACGGTGGCTGAGTGGGTAGCACTCTCGCCTCTCAGCAAGAAGGTCCTGGGTTCAAATCCCGGCCAGACCAGGGCCTTTCTGAGTGGAGTTTGCATGTTCTCCCCGTGTCTGTGTAGGTTTCCTCCGGGTACTCCGGTTTCCCCTACCACTAAAAATATGTACAATAGGTCTGGCATGCGCCTTCTGTTCGGCGACCCCGCTCCCATCTCTGTCTGGAGTGAGAGGACAAGTGCCCAAAAAAATAATAACAATTGTAAACCGCTTTGTGACCCTTGTCTGTGAAAGGCGGTATATAAATAAACATTACTTACTTACTTACTTACTACTTCTGCTACCACTATTACTACTACTACTACTTATCTGCTGCTACTGCTAGTACTAATACTATTACTACTACTGCTACTTACACTGCTACAACAACATAACTTATCCAACAATTTAAACTACTAATACTACTACTATACTGCTGCTACTGCTAATACTACTATTACTACTACTTGTCCAATGACAGCAGGTCTGTGAGAGTGAAGCCGTGTGATTGGACTAAACCCCACACGTGCGTTCGCGGCTCCACATGTTGAGAAACTTGGTCCTGAAGGGTTTGGTGACTGTGGTTAAACCGTCACAGGAAGAAGTAAGCTCTGCGTAGATTCTAGAGTAAATCATCAAGAGGCACAAGTTTTTGCCTGCATTCAAAATATAAACAAGATAAAATATGGTCTTTTTGGAAATCTTGTATTCACTGGTTTCTCTCTCTGGTCTCTCTCTTGTCTCTCTCTGGTCCTCTCTTCTCTCTGGCTCTGGTCTCTCTCTGGTTTCTCTCTCTCTCTCTTTCTCCCCTGTTTTCGCACAATGTTGTTGACTAAAAGCAGAAACTTGAAAAACCTGCTGCTCTCACAGGCTGCAGCACGAAAACACAGAGAAGCTCTCACCACACGCCACACCACATCCATCCCATAATAACCTCCAAGAGAGAGAGACAGACAGCGAGAAAGAGAGGGGGGGAGAGGGAGACAGAGAGAGAGAGAGGGAGAGAGAGAGAGAGAAAGAGAGACAGAAAGAGAGAGAGAGACAGAAAGAGAGAGAGAGGGAGACAGAAAGAGAGAGAGAGGGGGAGACAGAGAGAGAGAGAGAGAGACAGAAAGAGAGAGAGAGGGGGAGACAGAGAGAGAGAGAGAGAAAGAGAGAGAGAGAGGGAGACAGAGAGAGACACACAGAGAGAGAGAGATGGAGAG